GTTTGTGGCATTTTTTGGATTTAAGATCCAAAACCATGTGAGTCTGGTTGCTGGTAAAATCAAGCACAGATGTGATGGTGCACTTTGTATATGATTGAATCTGTTCAATAACAAACATGCAAAAAAAGAGGCAAATCTAAAGCAAGCGGGTTGATTCTGCTCTCTATTGTTCAGGTTGAGGCTGATCCCGCTCTGCAAACCTCTGAGGATCCTCAGAGGAGTGAGTGCACACTTGATAGCATGGCCACTCTTAAAATGGAACTGATGTTTTATAAATAATTTCAAAGAAACAAACATCAGCCCTCACAATCACAGCCATTCAATGATATTCATTTGGCATAAGTCAGTTTCATTTCTGCGTGCTTTTCATCAGAAATGGCTTAAAAAGTGGAGTTAGTCTGAATTTTTCATGTCGTGGGCTTACTGGGGACAGTGGCCGTGTTCTTCACTCGCAGACGTCTGACAGTGCATGGCAGCAGAAATAACAAAATGGTCACAAACCCCAGCTGCACTCCCCGGGTCACACAGGCTCTTAAAATATTAAAGAGAGACTAGCAACAAACCAAAGAGTTGATAACAGGTCAGAAGCAGGTGATAAAAGAAGTTTGGGTAGGGACATTAGCCTTTCTGCTAACTTTGCGCTTCCTGACATTATATTCTCGCCATTTGTTAAACAACATTATACACTTCAGAGAGCATGAAACAGGTTTGGATTTTACTCTGAGGGATTGTGGGTCTTAGAGGAATACAGTATTTCACTGGTGTGAGTTCGCTGCAGAAGTGGTATGAGAAAAATTCACACTTTTATAATTATGCATTAATTCTACATATTATCATCTGCACTCGTGTTTTTCCTCTTCTCTCTAAGAAAAAGATCTCATGCTCCATATTTCCACAGACTTGTGCTGTTGTTCTTATAATATCATCATCATGTGAGCTACAGAAACAAGTAATAGATGGCAATAAACAGGTAGGGGCTAAAATGACTTTAGACAACACATGAGCTACTCGGGGTGGAAGAAAAAATCAATACAGCATAGTATTGCGATATTATGTCTGGTGATATATCGTTCCATCTTATTTACCAAGTATCGATTTTTCAAATTAGTTGTTAATATGAAGTCAAATCTATGATAATGAAAAAATAAAATCAACTTTTCGTCCAGTGAGGTTGGCAGAGGTGACATCGTAGAGCAGGAGAAAGTTAGTACAACAAATATGTATAAGGTTTGCAAGATGTGCTACATGAAAATAAAATACAGCGTGAATAAGACAAACATAAAGTAAGACGAATGTCAAATTAGCTAAACAGTTGAAAATATTGTGAAAATTGCAGTATATTGTATCGCGATATTCACTGTTTGCTCACTGGCTTTGTTATTTCTTTGTAAAGCGTCTTTGAGCACCTGTAAAAGCGTGTTATAAATAAAAATTATTATTATTAATTATTACTGAATTGCAAAATGTTAAAAAAAACGCAATAATATCGTTTCATGGCCCAAGTATCGTGATGATATCGTATCATGGGGCCACTAGTGATTCCCACCCTTTTGAGCTACAGATGTATGATAATTAGACAACATTTAATGATAGTTTCATGCAGAATGTTTTGTTATCTTTATGGAAACTGAACAGGTGAAAAGAATGGTGCAACATCAATACACTTTAAAGCAAATGTACAAGGGCAATAATGAAATTAAGATAAGATTATACAGCTCTGATGTATGTTTATATGGTGTTTTGAAAACTTTGAGAGCTCCAAACTGTTTAAAAAAAGAGTATAGTGTGTGAAAATGCTGGTCAAATCATTGAAAAGTGATTGGATTATGAGTTGAATTGGTTGAATAAAACAAAGCATGAAAAAGTGAGTTGCTAAATAATGTAAAATCAGCCATTCTTTGACAACACTCTGCTCCAGATTAAAACCAGGACCATAGATCTGGACACGGGTCTCTGGCGAATCATCTCAGGTGTGGTATCAGCCCAGTAACCATGTCCCTTTCACTTCCTCTGAACATCCCGCTCACCTGTCCTGAGGTTAATTTGCTGTCAGCTTTGTGGTGAAGAACCCTGTTTAGTTAACTCTGCTCTTGCTGGGCAAACCCCCTTAAAGGCCATCAATAATGAGCAGGTGTAGTGCACTTCTGCGTATGGACGCGTGTCGCTGTGTGTCCAGGGAGGACAGCTAATAAGGGTTTAAAAGCCACAACTGTCCACTCCGCCCCTTAGCAGGCCTCCAGCTGTCTTTTTTTCTGTCAGAGAGCACCCTGATTCCCAGTGACAGGGCGGATCACTGATGGCAGCAAACCACAGGGGGGGGGGGGTTATGTTAGCATAGCACAAAGCACCTCCACACTTAATCAGATTAGCCATGCACGCTAATTAAAGACTTAAGGTAAACACAGGCTTTGTGTTTTTTTGAAAATCACACAGCACCAGGAAAGAAAGGGAAGAAATACTTCACTTTGATTTATTGATGGAAATTGCAATGTGACGTCTGGCAAACAACATATAAATAAGTTAAAGGCCATCTTAAATGCATTCCCATGAAATTTTTAGTGCCGCTGTAATATAAGCCACTACCTGTCATGAATCCCAAATAACCTTGGCTCTATCCTCTTAGTTGAGCCCTAGTGTGCCTCATTCCTTATTACTGGCCTGACAAGGAAATGTTTACCCATCCGACAAGAGACAAGCCATTTCATAGTCGGCAAAAGCAATTTCACCTGACTGGAGGAGCACATGATGTCCCCCATATCCTTGCTGGCTATAATTTTGTTGTCATTTTGTGTGCTGTGATCACATCATCGAAGTGACAGTGCTGGGCATTAGGTAAAATCCCTAAGCTGGTGCTCACTTTCAGGCTTTTTCTCTCCTTGTCATTCACATTGATTAGATTAAACCCAGGTGGTGAGCCGGTTTCTTTGGCACAACAATAAAAAACGGTGATACGGGGCACAAAAGGCCTATGCTTAAGCTTAACAAAAAAAAAAATGTTTCTTTGTCAATTTGTTTTTTGAACAGATTTATAAAGTGCCTTTTAGAAGATAGAAAAATAAACAAATCAGGATGCATTTTCATTTTGTACATGAATTCTTAACCTTTACACTTTAAATGTGTTTATCTTAATTTTATCATTAATCAGACCCCTGTGTTGACCTCAGCTGGTCAACGCTATGGTTGTACAGGAGGCACAGAGCTTAACCTGCGCTGTACTAACCCCCCCCTGAGGGACCAGCCTGGCCAAGAGCGTAACAAATCAGCCTCTCCGGTTCTGTCCACTCGCTGAGAGAGCCAATAGAAATGCTGATGAATAAGCACCTGAGGGAAACAAACCAAGTTTCTGCATGGGTGTCCAACAATTGGTTTCAAAAAACAAGCCAATTCTGCTTATTAAAGATTAGTGATGGAAGTGAACCATAATCCAGTAATGAGGAGAGCAGAGAGCGACCTCTCTGTCTTGCTCGGGTGCAGACAAGCCTGTGCTTGCATGTTTCACAGGAATAGATTGCTGGACCCTATAGCCTTAAGCTGTAATGACCCCTCTTGTTAGCTTCAAAGATTCATGGCTGTTCATTAAAGATACACTCTGGATGTGGATGTACCCACCAGAGGAACAGGCCTCCACTTGGTTTACTCTTAACCCCTCTTGGCGGAGATTGTTCTGGGCACATTTGCAGAATAACTACACCAAAAGTTTTTTTTAAGTAAAGTGGAAATTATGTTTTAAAGCAATACTGGAGAGTGTCTGTAATAAGGAGCGTGTCATGAAGTGCAACTGAACTCATCTTCTTGTTACACAAAGCTATAGTATAGTGTTGCATTAACACCCCTTTAACACAGGCTGGACTGAATCACATTATTGTATGGATGGACCTGATGAACCGGGCGTTTTTGCGTCTACTGCTGTTGTTTTTTGTTTCTGGATAATAGTTTAATGTTGAATGGGTAAAACAGCTTGAAATACAGATGGTAAATTTAAGGAGGGAGCAAAGGATGGCGTATACCAAGTCCTATCAAGACTTGGGATCAATTTTACAACAAGGTCACTGACGACTACGGCCTCTGTCCATAATGCGTATACTTATCTAACTGAGCTGAAAAGGTGACCCAATCCCGTGCAAAACTGAGCCCAGATACTGGACTTTAATTACAGCACTCCTACTGAAAAACAGTTTGTGTTTGGAAATGGCTGCAGAAACTGTATATTTGCAACGTAATCCCTGATACAAGCAGTTCTTCTTACCCCTCATTTGGTCATTTGGGTTATCAGTAAAATGAAGCTTTTTATTTCGCAGTGAAGATCATGAAAAGACTAATTATATAAAGAAAACTTTCTGGCTCTTTTTTTATTTGTACATCTTAATTAAATCTGCTGCTGACAATAGCTGTGAACATCTTAACTGTCAGCTGTGTCAGGGATTATTGACAACAAACTTCATCGCTACTGCACGTACTGCGGGAAAGGCTCAAAAATACATTTTTCATTCCTGCAACTCAGGATAACAAACGTGTTATAAATTTGATTCAAGAAGCACAGTTTAGACTTACAGATAATCAACAGAAACCTTGTTCTGATGGGAGAGAGACCTAAACATTAGATCCAATTCTTTGTTGAAAGGGCAACTGGATTTGGACCTGCTTGAGGTTGAAGACATCTCATCTCTTAAGAGCCTCAAGAAAGTCTGAGTCCAGTTGCCCTTCAAAATTGGATGACCTGTATGAATGAGAACCTACACAGACTATAAAATTAGATATATTCTGAGACACTGTTGTGTTTTGAAATGACAACCATGGGTTGGAAATGAATAAACAGTTTCCACAAGCAATATACTCATATATTAAAGATAAAAACACATTTTTTAAATATATACTTCATATCTTGAGTTTTCATATGATGTTTCCTCAGTGCGCACATTCCTGTTTCCACGAAGTCAAGTCCTTTTTAAGTTTATGCATTTTAATACTGTTTCTGTTGCATCTAGATCGTGGGGTGGGCGTGAGGGGTTGGGCTGGGGTAGATTTGGGTATTCTTTTAATCTTGGGTTGGGGTAGATTTGGTTATTCTTTGTTTCTTTCATTCCATTTTCTGTGTAAAGCATTTTGTGCTACATGTTGTGTATGAAAAGTGACATATAAATAAAGATTGATTGATATACACATTATGATTTATATCTGTATCTATATCTCTAAATCTGTATTTGCATATCTGTAATTACAGCTATACTGTCTATATCTGTGTGTCAACATAATTACTATTAATGGAGTACATTATTTAATATTAAAATATATCAAGTACTACAAAGCACACTGATTTCAATTAAAATCAGTTTTACAGCTTTGTTACTCTCCTCTTTTGGCCTTTTGCCTTTTTTTTATAGGAGACCCAATACTGACAGGAAATGTGGGGCAAAGAGGAGGAGTGATCAACCAAATGACCTGTACAACAGAGACTGTAGCCTCCAAGTTTGGGGTGCACTTAAATGTGCCCCATCTGACGTCATTTTTACCCCTTCCTCAGTTTGTTGTTCGTCTGTGTGTATAGCAGTGGACTGCATGCTGCCACCTACTGTGGTGGAATGTATAAACTTTTCCAAACTGAATAAACATCTTTAACTGTTGCTTTTATTAGATAGAAACGTAATTTTTCAAAAAAAATAATAATAATACTACTACCACTAATAAAATCTTGCCTTTATAGTTTATTCCTAGTTTTAAAAGCCTCTTACTCTGAACCAAACTCCTCAAATCAAACCCATAGAGAAAAACTGCATCTTCCTAAATCAAACTCACTTTTTTTTAATGCCAGCTTTCTGCACAGGTTTTCCTCTCCTTTCCTTCCTGTGACATGGATTTGCCACAGCAGCCCTGCTATCAGTCCTCCGGTTCATAACTTTACAGGTTATCAAATATTAAGCAGCACTGGGACTCATAAACACATCTTCAGTGGGACGCTATGATTTCACGCTATATCACAAACATTTTAAGGCATCAGATGCGCTGCCTGTCATGGACTGTCATTTTTGGTGTGTTAATAATATATCCTGGTTTCTCCCGCAGACATACTTTGGCACTCATGGCGCATAAATAGGTAAATAACGCGGATAAATAGGTAAATAACACAGCTGACGTGAGTGGAGGACAACCTTTTAAGTGTTTTTCTTTTTATATTTGATTTTTGTGTTTTTCTTCTTCACATTTCTATTTGATAAACCAGTCAAAGTCCATATGCTTAAATCAAATATAGGCCCATGTCACCCTACAAACAAATCACTTTGCTCACAGCGCTCCACAGATTGTCCTAATTAAGAGCTGTCTAATTAAATTACAGCCTTGAGTTAACCAATGGCGATACTTGTTTCATTAGCTGAGAAGGCAGAGTGATGGAAAGAAAATCCTCCCTGATTGCAGGATGGTGTCAATTGGCTAATTTGCTGCCTTCGGTGCTTCAAGTCATCGCAAAAGGCGTTTTCCTCGTGTTAGATTTGGAAAAGGCGTGTGCTCAGGCTTGTGATATAGGTTCAGCTGATTGTGGCTTCCTATTGAGCCATGCAGGTCGAGAATTGTATCTCGCCGGCGAGTGAACTCTCCAAGAAATTTATGAATGTGGGCAGTGGCTTCTCGAGCTCCGATGGATCAGAGCTTTCGTTGCAGGACCATCCTATTATATCTGCGAGTGACAACCTGGAGAGAAGTTCACCTCTGAAAAAAAACTCTAGGGAGATGACGAATCAGTCAGAGGCAGACAATTTTCCCGACTCCAAGGACGCATCAGGGGACGTCCAGAGGGGCAAACTCTCTCCTGATCTTCACGGAGTCTCTGACATCCGTCATAATTTCGATGGATCTGCAGGAGAAAGGTGCATCTTTTCTCCATCCGCACAGCCTCAGTCAGTCTCAGCAGCCACCATGTTCCCGTACCCAAGCCAGCATGGACCCGCGCACCCGGCTTTCTCTATTGGAAGTCCCAGCCGTTACATGGCCCATCATCCGGTCATAACCAACGGAGCTTACAACAGCCTTCTGACCAACACTTCCCCACAAGGCTACGCCGCGGCCGGCTACCCTTACGCGCAACAGTATGGACACACGTACCAAGGAGGCGCTTTTTACCAGTTCTCCTCCGCGCAGGCAGGACTGGTGCCGGGGAAAGCTCAGGTGTATCTGTGCAACAGGGCCCTGTGGCTGAAGTTCCACAGGCACCAAACGGAGATGATCATCACAAAGCAGGGACGGTAAGTGCGCGCACACATATGGCTCATACACCTGCAGAATTCATCCATTTTTGGCAACGTTGCTCTCTATTCTCAATCCTTAAAATAAAAAAGGGGGAAAAACTTGGCATCATCCTCAAATCTCGAAACAAAAACGGAAAACTTAATCTGATTTTTGTGCTTTTTTTTTGGCTAAATTTGTGCTCTTTTTATTCCCCACAGACGGATGTTTCCATTTTTAAGCTTCAACATCTCTGGGCTCGACCCAACTGCTCACTACAATATATTTGTGGATGTTATTCTTGCTGATCCAAATCACTGGCGGTTTCAAGGAGGCAAGTGGGTGCCGTGTGGAAAAGCAGACACAAATGTGATCGGTATTACACATCTTTATCCATTCTTGTTTAACACAATTTTATCTTATTTTCCCAAACATATTTACCCACTTTTTATGGCTAAAAAATAACATATAAAAATCTTTACATCAAACTTATTTTTTACATGGATAATCTGATTTTATGTGATAATTTTTTTGTATTTTGCTTCTTTTTTTTGTAGGAAATAGAGTTTACATGCACCCGGACTCGCCAAATACCGGTGCGCACTGGATGCGCCAAGAAATCTCATTTGGAAAGCTAAAGCTCACAAACAACAAAGGTGCCTCCAACAACACGGGGCAGGTAACCAAACATTTTCTCCAATACTTAAAATGATTCATATTTTCTTTCTTTTTTTTATTTGTGTGTGATCAAGTGTAAAATACTTTTTTCTTCCTTCTTTTTTCTTTCTTTTTCTTGGACAATCTAAATTTCTTCACCCTGAGTAGTTTTCTTTAGACTCTTTTAGCGCAGTTTTTATTCCTTTAAAATAATCATAAATTTGTGAATCCGTTCAGTTTTCTCTTGTAACCATAAATCCAAAGTTTGAAGGCGAGTTCCTGACGCGCGTTTCTGATTGCATCTCCAGATGGTTGTTCTCCAGTCTCTCCACAAGTACCAGCCTAGGCTCCATGTGGTGGAAGTAAACGAAGATGGGACAGAGGACACGAGCCAACCAGGAAGAGTCCAGACTTTCACCTTCACAGAGACGCAATTCATCGCAGTCACAGCCTATCAGAACACCGACGTACGGCCGCTTCATGTTCCACATAACACCGAAAATATTCAACAAACCAAACATCTTTTACAATTCAGCAGATTTTTTATGACGCGGAAAAACATGTCGATTTTTGGTTTCAATTTTAGAAAAATTTAACTCTTGTTTAAAAATCGGAGCTGGGTTTTTATGACAATCTTTCTTTTAGTCTCAAGTTCCAGCGAGATTCAAGGGGCCAATGGCAGAATTTTGCGCACATCTCGTGGTTCAGTCCTGATCATTTTTTTCCCACACTGACAGTTTGGTGCGTAAATCTTTTAACACAATTTATTGTCTGATCAGTGCGTCATTTATTCCCACAGATTACGCAGCTGAAAATTGACCACAATCCGTTTGCCAAAGGATTTCGGGACAACTACGACACGTAAGTAGCTCATTTTTTTCCACTAAGAATTTTTGTAATTGTTAAATCTCCATTTTGATTTGCCGAATTAATTGGAGGGTCTTTTGTCAAATTTCTGAATGAAAGGTGGCTTTGAAAATAAAAGTTTTGCGCTTTTGAAAATGACAGCATTTTAAACACATTCTTTTTAAATCTAACAAACAGAAATTCACATGATTATGAAAGATTCGTAACGATCATTTTTTGTAATCTGTACATGACAGTCTGCATAATTTCTATGGTGGTATTGCATTTATATTCTAACTTTAGTGAGATAGTGGGATGCGTAAAATTTATGCGTAAAATTCCCATTCGAAAAAAAGGAACCAGGACAATTTGTTCAGATTTAATGAATGTAACTTTGGCTTTTTTCTTTATTTGTTTTCTTTCTTCAAAAGATCTGAGCCTCTAGCGTAAAAACGACATTGCTTCCCTAAAAGAAGCCATTTGAAAGCCCCCTTCCCCCTGTCAGAAACACACTCACTGCTGAAACGGATTTTGACCTGAAAGCTTTTGATTTTTAGACAAACAGCCTGTTTAGCCGCTGAATTGTTTCTCTGTTTTTCCCTCCATCTTTTCAGTGTCTACACAGGCTGCGACATTGACCGCCTAACTCCATCACCGGGTGACTCTCCGCGTTCACAGATCGTGCCGGGTGCGAGATATGCCATGCCTAGCTCTTTCCTACAGGACCAATTTGTCAGCACTTATGCCAAATCTCGCTTTCACCCTGGCGTGGGGACTGGGCCTGGCACTGAGCGCAGCGTCCCACTCGGCAACAGCTTGCTCTCCCCGCAGCAGAGCGAGGAGCCCACTGTTGCCACCCCCCCGCAGCGATGGTTTGTCACCCCTGCCAACAACCGACTGGACTTTGCTGCCTCGGCATACGACGCCGCGGATTTCGCCGGTAACGCGGCCACCTTGCTGTCCTACGCGGCGGCCGGAGTGAAAGCTCTTCCCCTGCCGACTGCGGGCTGCTCCAACCGGCCTCTTGGCTATTACGCAGACCCGTCAGGCTGGGGAGGACGCACGCCGCCGCAGTACTGTGGCGTCAACAGCAAATCCAGCTCGGTCTTTTCCTGCTGGCCCGCTAACTCTCTCAGTGGGAGAGCAGGGACCAACTACCTGTCCGAGGAGGGAGACTCCATCCCCACGGAGAGGTCACCGATCGGCGGCTCTGAGGAGACCAAACCCAAAGACATGACCTCAGAGTCAAGCTGGATAGAGACGCCGTCCTCCATAAAGTCCATCGATTCCAGCGACTCTGGGATCTTTGAACAGGCCAAAAGGAGGAGAATCTCACCTTCTGCCACGCCTGTTTCAGAGACTGTGTCCCCGCTCAAATCGGAGCTGCTGGCACCCAGAGAGTGCGAGAAAAACTGCACAAAGGACATTGGTTATTACAGTTTCTATCCTCACAGTTAAACACCCAAACTATCTATCTATCTATCTATCTATCTATCTATCTATCTATCTATCTATCTATCTATCTATCTATCTATCTATCTATCTATCTATCTATCTATCTATCTATCTATCTATCTTTAAAAAAAAAAAGGTTAAAAATTGAATGGCCAAAGTGTAAATTCTTCCACTTCTTCCTCTCTCTCTAACATGAGCTGGGCGTCCACTGTTAAGTCAGAATACACTGTAAATATATTGATATATATATAGTGTAAATATACTAATTGATCATTTGGTGATAGTGATTGTACATAAACTAGAATTCATAAGTAGTGTCTTAAAGAACAAGCCCTCCTCTGTCCTGTAGCCTGAAAACTTGTTAGTAAAGAAAGCTATTAAAAACCTGTACATGAAAATGTTCTTGTGTAGCATAAACTGGCACAATAACCCCTGTCAGTGAAGATGTATTTTGTACTTTATCAGAGCTGTAGGTTACCAGATGTTTATGGCGTTACCGATCACTGCTATGTGTTCATGATACCTGTGCTTAAAGAAGTTATAAATGTTGGTTAATGTAGACTTAGAGTCTCTTTTATGTTTTGATTTGGCAGGTTATTTTGATGGCCTGTGTGCTATAATGTTGTGGAAATCTCTGTATCTGCTGTAATGTGACTGAAGTATAATAAATGATGTTATCATCAGGAAAAGTATTTATTTTAGAGGAGAATTGGGGTCATATTCAGCAAGAAAAAACAGTCAAGCAGTCGCATAAAGCTGTGAGGAAAAAGTCGCTTTATTACAAGAATAAAGAAGTTGTTGAATATTATGAGAACAAAGCTGTAGTGTTATGTGACAAAGTCATGATTACAGGCTTTGGTTAATCTATATTTAGGCAAAAATAACATATGGGAGCATATCCGATGAGCAAAAAGCAAAAGGTGTTTTAAAATAAGGATAGTGGATTAGGTTGAGAAACAGCTGTTGCAGAGGTCAGCACAGGCCGCCTTTTTTCTTGCCTTTACTTCTCGATTTGATTCTGAATCCTGATGCGCAGTGGGGCTCGTGTGCAAAAGTGAGCGGGCAGTTTTTCATGAAATGTGTATTTAAGTGGGCCTTTGACCTCAAAAGATGCCACGTAGCCCTCATTTGAGTCCAGCTGCAGGCTGCTCTCTTGATTTGCCCTCTTTTAAAACAGCATAAAGGCCCTCACCTAAAACTATGACTTTGTTCCTCAGCTTCTTTCAGACAGAGGGTTTGGCCCACATAGAAGAAAGATTCAGATTAAGAGAAATAAGTTGTAGTATAAGAAAGAAGAGACAATATGAACCCCTGACCTTGACTAAAATTGAGGCGACAACTTTGAATTTGTAATGACTTAAGTCTTGATACTTAACGAATCTTTATTGGTAATATTATTGATTTTTTTTAACAACTTTTATGACTTTTGTGACATCTCAAAACCTCAGTTTTAATAGGCTACTTTGTTCTCTGAGATAACATCCTTTTCTCGTTATAGTTTACATCGACTTTATTCTTGTAAGATCATGATCGTCATTTAGCAAAAGTTTTTACTTAAAAAATCTGATATAATACCCTGCCTATGCCCTATCATGCTGCAACTGAAGATACCTTATTTGACTGTTTTTCATGAACGCACCATATTCCCACTACACTGTCAAAGTATCCTGTGGAGACAAGAGCTTAAAAATATAAAATAATAATAATAATAATAATAATAATAATAATAATAATAATAAAAAAGGAGTGGACAAATTGTGATTCTGGTAACGTGATGCGTGCAAAAAAAAAAGAAAAGATAATGAAAGAAATCTGCTGAAGGCACACGTTTATAAAAGGCCATGCTTAATAATTTGTCAAGGACAACTTTTATATTTTCAAAGATCAACAAGCAGTTTAATGATGTGACAAAAACAGGACAAAAATTTAAAAGAAAAAAAACGAGAATTTTTTATTAATTTGGTAAATTATATCCTAGAAAAACTGAAATATATATGTGGTTACTAGAGTTTACAAACTCCCATTTGTTGGATCTTCAGATTTTTTCTTTCTTGCTACATTTACCTGGAATAACACCCCCACCCCCCAATTTTAGATGCAAATATCGTTTTTTTTTTTTTGTCTTTTGTTATGATAAGGCTGCAAAAAATTCACAAAAAAAGTGGAGCTGTAAGTTTCCTGCTGGGCACCCTCAGAAAAATATCACACACAAATAGTTGCGTGTGAAACATGCAATGGAACCAAATGAGCACACGTGAATAAACCTTTTTTTCTTTTTCTTTTCTTTTTTCTCTTTACAAAATAGCTATGGACAATGCAAATGTTTGGTGTTTTTTTTCGATTGATGCTCAGCCTCAAACACTCGATATCTAATTAGATCATCTAAAAATGATTGAGCTCTGTCTGCAGAGAAACATTATTTAAACAGATGCATAATCATCTCTATGCACGCTTAATTGGGATTTCAGTGCAAAAAGAGAGACTCACAGCTGTTAACGTGTTGGATTTCGTCTCAGAGCGCATGCATGTTTGTGTGTGTATGTGCGTGAGTATGTGTGTGTGTGTGTACTTGCAGTGAAAGTCAGGCCTTCTCACAGACAAACAGCAGATGGCGATAACTGAATGCAGGTCTTAAAATCAAAGCGCTCTCTGGAGGTCGTTCCAGTCCAGAGGCACAAAATCTGAAACGCACGGATGTCTCAAAAACCACTATTAAGCCCTCTAATATAAGCGAACTTTTATTCCATTTATGCCTCTCTGAATTTAGCAGCACGTGGATTCAGATCTACACCAGATGGCGATTCACTACTACCCTCAGGCTATATTCGCTGGTTTTTGAGATTCAAACAGCCTCATCATAATGTCCTCAACGGGTCCCAACAACAACACCACAATAGAGGTGACAGTTTGAGGGCCCACAATCCTCTGCAGAGGGTGGAGAGCAGTTTTAAGCCTGTCTTTGAGCCATGTTGTGCGTCATGTCATACTTTGAGTGCCCTGCCATTACATCAAATACCAATAAAATAGATAGAATTTTTTTTTTTTCTCCACAGTCTACTCCACTTAATCACTCATCTGAAAATGCGACGTCTATCCCTTTGGCTATCCAGAGTTGATTCAGATTGCATTTCTTGATCCTGCAGCAGGTTACTTCTGGTAAATCTGGTTCAGTTGAAGGCTACAGAACACATTGAAAAATGCACACAGAAAGCAGCAGTTTTGGTGTTGTTGAATTTATATAATTTACAGAGCAAACATCTGCATTTAGGGGAAACCGGGGATGGTTGTAACACAGGTCAATTGTAACACTTTCAATTTCTCCAATCAGGAACAAGTAACAAATCACTCGACTCAAGGTCCTTACACACCGGGGCCCACACGAATATAGAGCGCAAAATTATGAAATATTCGGAGGAGAATTTTGACGCGCCTGACTATACACATCAAGCCCGATGCGATTTTGTGAATTTTCGGGTGCAAAAAGACGCATCCTGGGTGGAAGCGAGAAGACTGACAACACCAGACTAACTGTTTTTCAGTTCTGATTAGACACTAGTGTTGAGATGGCTGTCTGTCATGATAGCATGTACTGAGTCGGGGCCAGTACCAGATAAGCACATTAAACTATAATCCATAAACGTAAGGTAACAACCGAGACCTAATGGTGCTGTGACATCAACGTGATTGAGTTTAAGACAGTGAAAAAACATATGGTATGTTGTATCTGAACAGGTTAGCTTACGAGCTAAAGTTACTTAGCACAGATGAAAGTTAAAACAAAGACGTTCAGCAAACTGTTAAAGCACACAAACCATCGTCATATGAGAAATCCGACGCAATGACTCTCCACAAGTTGTCCTTCAGGTCGTTATCTTTGTAATATTTGTGTCTTTTATCAAAATGCACTCTGTTTTCCGACATGTAAACAATCAGCCGGTCGGCCATGTTGGATATACCGGTGAATTTGACGTCGCAACAACACAAAATCTGATTGGTCAAAAGTGGACCCACAGTATGCAAAACTTTAGAAAAATCGACCATGATCCAAAAAAATAAATGCCGCAATATCGCAGGACGGGAAAACGTTGTTGATGTGAACACTTGTATTGACAGGATACGGGTTCGAAAAAAATTTTGACGTCCGAAATGATCACACGACAAAAATGGTTCCAGAGTGAAAGGACCTTCACTCTGCACATGCTTAGTTTAGTCCTTGTTCCATGTGTATACATGTAGGATCCTGTGGTAGACTCAGGCTGTGTCTGAAATAAATCACTCAATCACTAACCCCTAACTCCCATAAGGTGTTTCATTATATATCTCACTATGTAGTGAGGTCAATCACCGGTGGTTTCGGAAACTACATGGCGCACCGTTGTGACGTCACTGCTCAGACTGCTGTGTCTGAAGTTACGGCTGTTGTTTCGACATCTCTTAAATTGTATGATGTTGTGTAGATGTATTTGTTTCTCCAGGATGTTCGTGAAATTAAAATAATAATAATTTAAAAAAAAAACAATAAATTAGTAATTTATTTAAAAGGCCTTATATATTCATGCCAATTAATGTTTGCTGCCTCATATTGTGCACGAGATTATATGACGCAGCAAACAATTGTTTTTGGAAAACTGTACGCATCACTTCCAAGTGAAGTGAAGATAAAAAACTTACACTGAAAATGGCAAATAGGGCTCGGGTTCTGTCTCTTCTTGCTCTCTTTGAATTGTTGTTGGAGACGCAATGCATGACGGGATCCCCACCACCGGCGAATGACCATCGGATGGTCACTACATTTTGCAATGCTCTATGGGAAATTTTGAGTCGCCTATATGGGGCATTGGAATTGATCACTCAGGTTTCGGACACCCCTCAAAATGGTGCTAAACCCCATATAGTCGCCTATATAGGGGTCAGGGATCCATTTCAGACACAGCCTCAGCTAGTTTTAAGAGAAAAAAAAAATATTTTGAGGTAAGAAAGTAGTTGTTTTTTTTTAATTCAAATGTTTTTATGATAGCATTGCCTGCTTTGTAGTTGAACAAAGTTGTGATTAAACTTAAATCACATTTTTTGGTGTCTATTTAGATATTTTTCTTGCAAGTTGTTTCTGCCAAAGTTTTAGCTGTTAAGCGGGGTACACACTGATCAAGGACAACAATAGGAAGATTATTTTATGTCTTCTAAGATTATCCTATAAGATTATCCTGTGGTCTGAGGTGTATTAAGAGTGAATTTGTCCCGATAATTGGGTCCAAAATGGGTCGGGGCCAACAATCATAAATATTAAACTTGTTCAATATTTACGACCAAAAATCTTCACGTGTGTGGAGAAAGCCGACGACTCCTGAGTCATGACTCCATGAATTGTCACGTGAAACGTTATATAGCCATCAAGAATCGAGCTGACTGAGGAACACGGTTTGTGTTTGGCAGGTTTGAGTCGGCAAGCTTTCAGCGCACTTTTTCACGCCACTGGCGAGCACGAAAATGTCACTGCGCCCGCTGATTCTGTCGACACCTCCCCCTGCCACGCCACCACGCCCAGCTTGGCGGATCTTGGCTCGCCTCCGTGTGCATCAGTCCACGAAAATACCAAACTGGCTGTACGCCGGGCTCCGCCAGATGAAAATACAACTGCGCGGGGTCCGCCACCCTCCGTCGCCTCACCGGTGAGGCACGAAAATAGAGCCCATAGACTCAAATAAACACACACACACACACACACACACACACACGTACACGCGCGCCCAGAGTATGTTATAGCTAACCCAGACTATGGGCTGAATTGTAACATTTCAATCCTTGTGTTTGCGACAAAATTATGCGTAGTCTGTTTGTGTTGCAGGGGTAACTGCTACAGTATGAAGGTATTTTTGGTGCAAAAGGTTTGTGCATCTGTAACATGTGATTTGTAGTTGTGTACAGTGATTGTGTAAGTGTATTAGTAAATGTGAAATACGCACTCTAAGAGTTGTGTACAATAAGCTTTCACGGAAGTAGTTGTGTTGTTTTAAAACACAGATACAAATCGATAATTACAACCACTGGAATCTTCCCCAGGAGTCACAGATTGAGCTATGAATCGAGTTGCCGAGATGTTTGGTGCAAAAGTCGCTGATCTGAGATTGATGGGTTTTACAACCAATCAGAGGTGATAGCATTTTGTCTCACAGCCAATCAGAGAACCGATCAGAAATTGATCAGTCAGTTAGAATAAAGTTTTTATTTGCACTTGCGCAGTACGGTACTCCTTAAGTACTCCTCTGATTGGCTGTAAAACAGGCGCACCAATATGTTTTGCACCAAATATGCTGCAACAATAGGCGCAAAAATGTCAGTTTGAATCTGTGACTTGTAAAATAGGATTTGTGCACCTGTGATTAAGATTTGTGAATGTGTAAATGTTGTGTTGTACTTCTGGAAATAAAAAAAAATCTACAAGTACACAACTCATAGAGTGCGGATTTCACAATTACTTATACACATACATATTTACTGTACACAACTACAAATCACATGTTACAGATGCACAAACCTTTTGCACCAAAAATACCTTCATACTACAGCCTTTAATTTCAATTTTCTATTTATTTTTGAAAATGCGAACAGTACAAACTGATGAACATACATTTACATGTAAATATGTGGGATTACAGCCAAATGGCTAATTTCCATCCCCAGTCCCATTGGTAGGTTGATGTTAAACATAAAAGCAATAATGTTAAAAGTACAAACAACATGACTAAGACAGGAAAACAATGCGCTGACAATATACATAAACACGTACACAGACCAAAAACTTAGTGACCAATAGCAAGGGGACCAAAAAGATTAAAAGAGAATTGTAAAGTGCTAATTAGAGTGTCATGTGCTCAAGGTGTCTAAAGTGCCATTTGATACGGTACAGCTTGTTAAAGTGACAAGTGCACAAGTGCGTAATTACATTGAATTGCATGATGTGAGGTACATTGCAAGATTGAATTGAATTGCACGATGCCCATAGCACACGATTGCTCTAGCAGATGTGTGTCTAGAATTGCACATGGTTTGTATACATAAATGTATTATGTATACCCTTTAGTAACAAATTTGCATACATGAATGAGAATATGTACGCCAGAACAAATTAAGAGTGGTACCCCAAAGCAATTAGCCAATTAGACATGACAAACAATTTTAGACATGATTATGATAATAGCAGACACATATACCTAGTTTGTGTCACAGTTTGAATGCATTGGCTTAAAGCAGCTCTATGATACAGACAGAAATGACAAAAATGTTACAACCATCCCCGGTCTCCCCTACAGATAGAGAATTGGCGAAAAACTGCAGAGTAAAGACTTGGTGCGTTTTCTGCTGTCCAGGAACACCAGTCTAGAAACAGTTATATAACATTTTCTAACACACACCTCTCTCTGTATTTCACACCACTGAAAAATAGTCCCTTTGCAGCAGGTTTCTTTTTACACATGCAGATTTCTGCGTCCACGTCAGCTCGTAGACACGCGCATGTTTGGATGAACGAGGTGGACAGCACGCGGGGCGCAAATCAGCAGCACCAGGCTGCTTGACCGACCGATGATGATGATATAAACATGTGACTGCTGTGTTGTCGCTCAGTTACAGCTACACCTGCCGGGATTACACACACACACACAGGTCTCTTCTCTGCGTTCGTGAGGAAAGAAGCTGCTGCCGGGAGAGGAGGATGGACACCACGGACCAAAGTGCTCATGTAGAGCCGCTGCTGCCAACGGTAACAAGTCCTGGTCTCTGGGGACACATATTTACTTAAGCAGATCAATATTTAAGGCGCCTCTGTATACGGGCTGCCAGGCTTGATTTATCATCTTCCAAAAGGCAGGTGGTAAATTTTTAAACATGTTTTGTTTTGGCAATGCAGGCATCCTTGAAATACTTAATGTCAAGTCAGTGGGTGTAAAGAAGCTACCTGTGGAGTTTCACTCAAGTAAACAAAAGCAATGGTTGGATGTTAGATATGATACTACTTCTCTTCTAAACATTTTTATTCAGTCTATTATTTTATTTTTCATTATGATGCTGTTCTATTTAACAATGTGCAATTTACACTTATTTATGTTCAATCATATCATGTACATGCAGTATATGACAGACCTCCTACTGATGTGGTTTATTCACACAAACCTTGTTAAATGAGGTGTTTTGTGTCAAACTAGGTGCCAAATGCAACAAATGTTCTGCAGGATGATGCTGTCCTGACATACTGCAGCTACAGACTGTACAAATTCATGCTCAGGCAGCTATCTCCCACACACAGACATCCTTACAGAACCAACCTGCAATAATCTCCACAAGTGTTATGGGAGACTTTTGGTCAGTCCTATAGATATGATGAAAGCAAAGCTGAAATCCCTCAGGCTATGTTTCGAGACACACGTGGGCAGTCCCTGTAGGTCTTTGCTGATCATTTGGAGGAGATTTGTTATTATCCATTTGCTGTTTACATAAAAAAAAACAGATTTTTCCATTTAGCGAAAGGCTTTAGGCTGACAGGGTTTTGGCTTGGAGAGCGTCATTGGTGCTCTGGTGGTTGTTTTAGAGCCGCATGGCTTTGGTTTGAAAATCTAAGGTCACAGCTTGACCCGAAGAGTCAGTGAGCATTTAAGAACCTAAAAATAACATCAGGGTGGATGCTAATCTGATTTGGAGTGAAAATGTTTGGATGTGGATATAATACTGGAAGGTGACACTAGAAACTTTAAAGTTAAAGCGATGACTTTTTCATGTTTCAGGTCAACTCTCCTTTCGGCTCGTCATCTGGTCGTGGAAGTTTGGTGAGTTGCATGCTGTGGATTTTTTTTTTACTCACATCACTATAAATTGCAAGAATGAAAAATATCTTCCAAAGAGTGCAAGCTGAAGCAGTGGAGGAGCCTCCGGACTGAAGACCAAGTTGATTACATGTGACACGATGAGCTTATCTGTAGCTTAACTTGACACTTAGAGCAGAATGAGAGAGGAGACACGGCATGAATGAAGCTTTGTCTTAAATGCTGCTGCTGCATGGGCACTGCAATGATGTCACAGTTATAATCTGGCGATGAGTGACTGGTGGCTCTGCCCATGGATGCTCAATCACAAATTACAGCTGTTTGACACAACAGAAGGGGATGAGCTGCTATCAGGCATGATGTGAGGCGGAGAAGTAGGAGTTAGCAGAGCAGAGCTCAGCTTTCAGAGAGAGGCTCAGTCCGCCTAAAGTGATTATTTAGCGGAGGATACCGAGGTTAAGCTCATGCATTCTGAGAACTTGGATGCTCCCTGGCTCCACAGGTATAAGGTAAGACAAGACTTGATCTTCATCTTCGCTGCTGTGATCATCATACAGTGAGTGTATGCTGATGTTTCCTGACTATGTGTATGCATACAGGAGAGCAGGTTGACCCAGACTGTTGCGTGAATGTTTTTCAATCTTTTTTGGTGGTCTGAATGAGAGGTAGACTGATTATCGGGGCTGATATTTAGTATTTGGACGATTATCTGTATCACTGTGCTGTTTTTCAGATGACCGATGGACTTAATCTACTAAAGAGTAAGCTACTTTGGCTCCTCTGCTGGTCTGTCTCTCATTTTTGGTCCATAACATGATCTCATAGGCCAGATGTCACACAACCATGTGACGTAATTGTGGATAACTACAAGTTCCTGGATGTTGAAAGTTTCAGTTTTGATGGAAATGTTACAAAATGCATTCAAGCAGACTTTAGTGTTTGAGTGAATGCGTATCAGTTTCAAAGATCAATTATTGGTAGATAACCCCGTATCAGTATCAGCCCTGAAAAAACTATATTGGACCAAACAAGACCGTGTTTCGCAAGCAGTGGTATCTGATGCTGTTCTTTAACATTATGACCTACCAGTTTGACAATCTAAAAACAGCTAGCTGGGTTTCCAGATATCAAAGTGGGGTTGGTTGACTTTTTTATGTATCCAAAGTTCTGTGCAAATGAGCTTCTTTTTCCCCACAAACTACCCCTGATCCTTCTCACAGATGGCAGGTAGATGACCATTATCCACCAAACATGAGCTCAAAGCTCTAAAACACCTTAAAAGGCATCTGAAAAAATTAAGCACTACTTATGCGACCTCTTACAGGATGTTGAAGTTTGCAGCGGGGAAATTGAAGGATTATAGTGCATTTTGAGCCACATGAAAGCCTGTGCTGTTAATGATATTGCTGCCACTGATGGTTGCAAAACTGCCTCAGCCATCTGTAGGGATCAGGTCCAAATATGTGCCACATCCTGTGATATCACTTCAGCTGTGCGGTTTGCCAGGCCTTGAATTTGACTCTGCTAGTTAAGTAGATGATTCATGGTAAAATGTCTGAAAAGCAGCAGTTGGTTTTGTTTTGGCTTGGAGGGGGTAACTGGATCATTATACTTTCTTTGGATTCCTGTTTTTATTCCCAAAACCTGTTTAGATTGAGCACTGAACAAATCTGGTCCTGGTCTGATCATCATACCTGAGTTTTTCAATCTTTTTTTTTTTATTTTTTTTATGGTACACAGAGTTAGGAGCCTTTCTTCTGCATTTACTCCAAGTCCCTGCTCACATCATAACACACAGTTTCACTCACACTCTACAAAGATGAGGATAGTTTTGCATGCTGATAATTCCTGATAATTTTCACTAGGGGTGTCCTGGTACAACTTTTTGACTTCTGATACGTTACCGATATTGTAGCCTTCAATAATGACCGATACGGATATTGATCCGATATTGGCACAAAATTGTGCATGTTTTTCACTTGACTGCAACGTCTTTTTCAGACTTAAACAAAAAATACTGCTTAACGGCTGACATCACTCTTACTCCTTGTTACTTTGTTAGTACCTTAGTACACACTGTTGTTGTGATTTTGTGCGCTCAGCTTGTTGGATCAGGGTGCTGCTAGATAGAGATGCCGGAGCTTGTATCGGCTGATTTCGGAGATTTTAGATGCAGGCCGATATAATCCGATATTCATTCTTTTTGCTGATATCGGACTGATATCCAATATCAAAATCATAACGGGACACTCCTAATTTTCACTACAGCCCACATTGCATCCAGGTCTGATAATTTGGATTGAAGTCACTCACTTTTTATACCTGTTAGGAAAATAGTTTTCCTATGGCGCTGATGTAGAAGGGGTTGAGTAGGAGAAAATGACAAGAACAGTGAAACACAACTTTGTCCTAAAATTTTGGATAATGTATCCCTTGCTTTCTTTTGTGAATTCCCAGGGTTCAATCCAGGACTAACAATATCTGCTCAGAGCTGTCTGTAAATTAGGGCACTATTATAATACCGCGACACATACGGCTTTGGTGGTTCAAAGGCAAATTTAATTAAAAAAAATAGTGCAATAAGAGTGGCACCAGACGGTAATACGGTTTGAATGAATCTGACTGCACAATGCACAGTTAATATGGGCTAATGTGACGTGTGTTGTGGTAACCAGTGGCTTAGTCTGAGCAGATATCCGCCCTGTGTATTTGTACACAGATTATCAACATCAGCCCCATGACCTGGATAGTCCATGTGGCACTGCTGCTGTGAACAGCAGAGACCTTTACAATCAAAATGCCTCGCTGGTCAACTGGTGGTGAAGATGGCTCAGCTGATCCTAAGCCAGCACTATGGATGAAAACACTTCAATTAATTCTAAGAATAGGCCAGTTGTTAAGAGTTAATCCAGCAGTAAAGGCAGACAGTTCTGAGTATTTAATATCAATGTGTTTAGTATTTAATGGGGCAGCTGTTGCTTGGTGGTACAGTTGATCAACTCTCAACTTAAAGGTTAGAGGTTCCCAGTCCATGTCCACATGCATGTCCCTGGGTCTTACACTTAACCCCAAACTGTGTGAACGAGATTAGATAATACTGGTGAGCACTTTACATAGCAGCAGCTCTGCCATCAGTGCGTGAATGAGGTGTGAACGGGTGATGTAATGTATAGTAAAAGTGCTTTGAGTGGTCAGAAGACTAAAGGGAGTACTGTGTAATACAGTCCACTTATCATTATTCATTAAAAGCCCGGCTGCTGAAGCCTGGATTTACAGAGAACTGCTGTGAGAGGTGTGCTTGAATCTTTACCTATACTGTACATTGGCGCACAATAAACAACAGCATTCTGTCAAATGTTCTCGATGCTAAGTAGAAAGTTGGCTCAAGCACTCTCAGTTTTGTGTTGCTTGAATACACGGTTTGGAAGAGTTGCAGATTGCCTTTGGGAAAGGGTTCGCCTGTGTGTTTAATCAGATAACAGTAAACACATGCACAAGAAACAGGCAACAGGTGAAGCTAGAAGATTAGGCTGGTGTTACAAATACAAAAAAGTGCTCCAACTCTTGATAGTGAGAACTATGATGAAACAGGGCAGGTAAGGCCAATATGATATAAGCGAAACCCATCAGACAGGGCAGACAGTTACATAAGTGAGAAACTGCTCCCATTTGGTTTATAGGAGCTGGATCTTTGAGCCAAGTTGTCTAACACTTAGACTTCCTCCCCACCTCTGTGTGGATGTAGGCTACTGCCATAGTTCTGCATTGCTGTGAAGTACATTTATGCGAAAACAACAACGTTGAAGAAAATAGAAATTAATGGTCTGAATAACTGTTTTTCAAATCAGTGCTCATGTTAAAAGTGGATAAAAAGTGAATAGCAATAACTAGCAATTAACACGTTTAAGAAACAACAGATGTGTCCAGTCCTGGAAGTGTCAGATGAAGATTTGGCTAAACTGAACATACAAAACTCATCAGTGTTTAATATTCATGTTTTAGACATCTGAGTAATTAAAGTCAGACCCAGATTGGTCTGTTTGGTGGCCAGTAGAATGAGAATAGAGCTGACAGAGTTATAACAGAATTGAAGTTTCACACTCATAAGAACAAAGTAATGATATAATGAGAATAGAGTACTAAATTTGATATTACAAGTGTAAGGGTGTGATTTTAAGACAAGTAAAGCTGTAAGCTTAAGTAAATTTGCAAACTCCTAAAAAGTCATAAATTTGTGAAAATAAAGTCTCAAACTCTTGAGATTGTGCACAAACAGAGCATGGTACAGTGTTTGAAAAACTAAAGTAGGGGAGTATTGTGTCAAGTATTGTGTCAGTGCAGAGTTATAAGCAATCAAATAGAGAGTGTGAACATGTGTGAAAATGTCATTAAACATAGCCACTGAACAAACGTTAACATAAAATATTATGCAACTGTTTTTTTTTCTTCAAATTCCTGACCACTTTTTCTCGCTTTCTCCTCTCCTTTAAACCACCGTCCTCTCTGTAAAAATAAAGTCAGAATTTCAACATGACAAATGCTGATAAACAGCAAACTCTCTATGCTAATTTCAGTCTCTTTTAAACATGTGACAACTAACCCCAAAATGACTGAGACATGTTGACCCAAACTACCATGTTTGCTAATTCTAGCTCTAGCTTAGAGTGAGTTTAAAACAGAACAATGACTGAGGTATGACAGGATGTCTTAATCTCTCCTCTAACAAGTCCACATGTATCAGTGCTAGCATTTTTATCTGGTAGAAGCTTATTTTAAAGTATATTAAGTTATCTTTTTTTACTTTGGGTTGTGCGAAATGGTTAGTTGGCGCTCATCTCAGCTCACAGGCGACAGGACACGACCTCTGACCATATAAAGGAAGAAAACTAGTATTCCACTTTTAGTTGCTTCCTCTGGTGGCAAAGTTAATTGCAATGTGGCAACTTACCCATGTGACAACAAGCCCCGGTCTCCCCTACAACTTTAGAGGACCCTCCACCTCAGTTTAATGCTGACAGCTGGCTGTTCTCAACATTGCCCATTGAAAACACTTTTTGTATTACTACTGTCAATCTGTGATTTTAAAAGAAAAATCCAATAGTTTCTATTCTGTGACTGCATCAAAATTTCTTACTGTTATATCAATGTAGGCAATTTAGAGAGGCACAGACTTGGGCTGTCACTGTTGAACATAGCCAAAGGTTTGGGTGTAAAGTTGTTAAAAACCTTAACAGAGCACAAAGACAGGAATATAGAAGACAGAAATAACAAGCAGTTGAGTGCTTTAGATTAGAATATTTATCCGCAGTCGAAGTAAATTAGTTTACAAAAACAGTAAGACAAATGTTTTTGTCTTTTTTAACATCTTCCCAGTTTTGCTGAAGAGTTTTCTTCCCTTCCCCATCTGCACCATGATGCCACACTCACAGGTTGTGAGTGGGCGGCTTGTCTTGTTCCAGGACAGACTGAAGAAGTAGTTGTTGACCAGTGACCTCAGCCTTACCAGCACAGCCTCAGATACTTTCTTCACACTCTGCTTACGACACCTCTGTGATGTCTGGTACCCCTGTTAGCACTGTCCGTTAGCCCTGATCGAAACGGCACATTTTGGCTGTGGAAACCCCGGCCATGTTGTGTTAATGTTTTAGTGTTTGATTCAGAATTCATCTGAGTAACAATGAAATGCTACAATCCTAGAATGAATCACAGAGTTTCTACATGAACACAGAAAAACCGGAGATTGGTTTGTCCTCTTCAGGCGTTTTCAAATAAAAAATGTTTTCTTTTTCTCTACCACAGATTCCCTTTTACCACCTACTCCCTCTCATCTTCTTTCTCAAGTGTTATATAAGCAGGCTAACATTCTCACACCACTGAATACTCTCAGTGATCAGACTCTAATCAAGTCCATGCATGTGCCCCGAGCTCTGTCATGCGACGGCAGAGAGAGTGGAAGTCTGGCTGCAGGGTTCTTAGTGGGCTTTAAAGACATGTAACTCCTTGTCCTATGAGAGTGCTGTTTTTTACTTGGGTCAAATGAAGAGCAGTTGTTCAGTAATTGTGAGGGGAAATCCATCTGCCTGGTGGTTCTGGGAATTTTTTTTGGACCAACCACCGTCCCCTCTTGTAATCTGACAAGAGCTCTGCACTGAGGATTATGTTCTTTTTTGCAGTGCCTGTTCTCTATGAATGTCTATGTGGCCTCTAAAAGAAAAAAAAAGCAGAAATCCAGTTTGGATCTTCTCCATGTTGACGGGTCTTGCACGCCTGGTGCGTGCTCTGAATTAGTAACATCATATTAGGGCTCACAGCCAGAGAAATATTACACTAGTTTGAAATGTGGGTCTCTCTGCTCATGTCAAGAACAAGTGTGATGAAAAGATGAAAGTGGATAAGACAGAATATGGCTGAATCTAGTGTGATCTTTCTAAAACAACAAAGTGACATAAATACTAACAAAGAGTCAAGCAGACATTCACCTTTTCATTTTCAATTCCATTATTGCAAAGAAAGGGCTCTGAACACAGGTGAAGTTTGGGTCTGCCCTAAAAAGCTGTCTTTCTGGACTCAAATGATTCTCTCGCCTATTCAACAAGATACCCGCAATTTGTCTCTATGGCAACCGTGTTATTAGGTTTGCTAATGTGTTTGTTCTTAATACCCTCTACAGAGAGGCCAAGCCAAGTCAACCAATATTTCCGGCTTAGTTCATGCTGCATTAGTCAAAGGAAAGATATGTTGCGTCATGTTTAGCACTATTAATGGAAAGAAAGTACTTGATAGTTTTTTAAATGTGTTGTGTTTGCTACTGCATCCAACAGAGAAATGAAGACGAGGCCGTGGTGGACAGAGGAGGGGCGCGATCCCAACAAGGAACCAACTTCGAGCAGGAAGATCTTGAAGGTACCTCAAAAACACTAAATGCATCTGCATTACAAAAAGCTTTCGAGCCATGAAAAGCTGCTGCAGCTGAGTCCGCCTACTCTGTCTTTACAAATGCTGCTTCTCTCTTGACAGCTTTTTCAAAGTAAAAAAGACCAGAGCAGAGTGGGAGGACAGTGGGAGAGCTGAGTTTGCATCAGTGATTTCACAGTCACTCAAAACCTGGACAAAAGCAACTAAGACACAAACAGGACAGTTGAGTAAACAGAGATGATAAAGGCTGGCAGCTGTGTATGCAGATACAGGCAGCAATAAAGAAACTTGACAGGAATCAAAGCTCCGATCATGAACTTTTTCTTTATACTGATTTTGGCAATACCTGTGGACTAGGGCTGGGCGATATGGCTTCAAATCAGTATCATGATTTATTGAGTAGTTCACCTCGACGACAATAAAGGGACGATAACTACTCCATAAGCTGCTCACCCTCTCCCACATTACCTTTGTCTACTTCAGTCGCCTCTCCAGCCGCTACAACTTTTGAAGCGTCCTCCATCTCCTCACCTGTCTTTCCCTCTTTGTTACAGACTTAATGGGGTGGAGTCACATCTCCAACGTAGGACAGCATCTTAAAGGGACATGAGACCACACCAAAACCAACTTTTATTTATTTATTTTTTTGACGCTGAATATATTGACATGGACAAAATAATGTCGGTTATTGTCGTAAATTTCGGTATCTCTAAATATTTGGTTTATCGCCCAGCCCTACTGTGGACAGGGTGAAAAGTGTCACCCTTCTTTCTCATAACAGTCAAATGTATGGTTTAACTTATTTAGATTCTTTGCCTTGGAAAATGGAAACAACAAGCAGGTGAATATTCTGTCCTCACAGTTGATGTTTTATAAGGAACTTTGACAAGAGCCAAGACAGACTGGGTCAGACTATCCTTAAAACTGCAGCTCTTCCCAGTCCAGAGTGGTCAGTACCAGCCAAAAAAATGATGATAAAAAAATATTAAAAAAAAAAAAAAAAAAGGAAAAGCATGTGAACCAAGCGGCCTCTGCTCATTGATGTAGGGGGCGAGTATCGTCTGGCCTGTGCGGAGCTAAAGCTGCTGAAAAAGTATCTGCTGGCTCTGGTACAAAGGTGTCAGAAAACACAATGAATCACAGTTCGACGTGTGTGGGACTGTGGAGCTGCAGACCAGTTGGTGTGCCAATACTGACCCCTGTTTATGGTGGAAAGAGTCTACAGTACACAATGGACTATGGCAGGTTCGGGGTGTTGACTTGATCTTTAAAATCAGGACTGTAAGTTTCTGTAGTGAACATACTGTAACCATTATACCACAGCACACCTTTGGAGGTCAATACTGATTGGTCCAGACCTGGTGAGAGGGGTATATAGCAGCTTGTCATAATAACACTATGGCTGTTTTGAAAGGTGTTGAAGGTGACACTGCTGTTCGGTGGGTTGTGTAATTTGTCACTGAGACTTAAATTCTTTGCTGAGTCTTCATCCGTTTTCATTAGAGCACAAGAGTCGTGTTTATTTCAGAAAACTTCTGTTGTTTATTCTCCCTGCTTTTCAGCATAGCCGTACAAATCACTCTGTAGAGTACTGTATGTACTGTATCTGCTTGTCTGAATCTCTGTGTCATATTGCAGTGAGCTGAGTGGGCTGACTTACGAGTGCAAACACAGACACGCTCTCGCTCTGTCTCTCCCTCCTTATGCTGTCTCATACCTGCAAAAACACAAACATTCCCACAGATACTGAGCAAGGCTTTTTTAAAGGGATTAAGACTGATATATGGATTGACAACCAGGCATACTTGTACGAGACCAATGATGGACACATGTTAGTTACGAGTTTGGACATGAGAGGGAACAAAATGAGAGATAATGTCTTCTGTATTTTTTCATGCATAATCTGGCATTTTAGTCAGGGTTGTATGTAGACCTGGGCGATAAAACGATAATGATATGTATCAAAAATTAATTTCCCTTCATCTCAATATAAGACATGGTCAATATGCTTTCGGATAGCTGGCATTCATGTTTTGGTAGACTATACTAACCTTGCCCCCCCTTACCTCTCCGATCACCTCCACATCGCCACCCCCTCACGCTCCCTCAGATCCTCCTCCTCCCTCCACCTCTCTGTCCCCTCTGCCCGGCTCAGCACCGTGGGGAGCAGGGCTTTCAGTCGCTCTGCCCCCAAACTCTGGAACTCTCTCCCCCCGGACCTCAGAAACATGGACTCACTACCCCACTTTAAATCCAAACTCAAAACACACCTATTCCAAATTGCATATTCACTTTAACTGTCCACTTTCACACTTGTATGTTGTTTTTATTTATTTTAACTATGTTTCTGTGTTTTTATGCCCTGTACAGTGTCCTTGAGTGTTCAGAAAGGCGCTTTTAAATAAAATGTATTATTATTATTATTATAGCCTATGAAAAGGGGAGTTACTCCGAGTCCGCTAGGCACTGAACAGGCGCCGGTGCAGTCGAAACAGCTGACCATTCAGTTCGCTTTCTCTTGTGCAACGCCTTACGACAAAACGTTGAAGAGAACCAAAGACCTCACCGATGCAGTAGCTTATTGTGTTGCAAAAGACTTGCTACCAATAAGTACTGTTAAATTTCATTTAAGAATAACAGGGAACATTTAAGATTTTTTTTATACTGTGATATTTATCGACATCGACTGATATGAAAAAATATATCATAATAAACTTTTTCCCATATCACCCAGCCGTAGTTGTATGGTTGAATACTGTTACATTAGTATGATTTCTGTACAAACTCAGTGAACTAAGAAGGCAGGTATTAAAACAGTTCAATGTGATGATGTTCAGTTGCCCCAAGATTAACCCTTTCTGACAACAGTCATTGTTTTTATTGTTCCCTAATCCTATGTTGGCCAGTTAATTCTGATAATGTATTATTACAGAGCATTTACAGGTGGTATTTACTTGTTGCATTATGTAGTGTTGCACATTATACACTGTTTATGCATAGCGTATAATCTGTGGTGCAGCAAATCACAGTGCAACACTCATCATGCAGCAAAAACCTACAACAGAGAGAAGAGGTAGCGCTTAACCGTGATCAGTGAAATCATAATGATTATCTGTTAAGCTGCTGACAGGGACAGTGTGCGCACACACACACACACTCACAAATGCAGTCGCATTGCAGATGACCCTCCGGTAATCGCTGTTGGATGTGTCCCCAGGTCACAGGACTCTCTATATAGGGGTCCACGTCCCCTTGGGCAGCACCAGGCACCGCAGCCATCGCAGGCACCGTCACCATGGAAATAAACTCAAGAAGAGGAGCAAAGACCGGACCCTCACCTTGGTGGAGGGTAGAGAGTCTCCTGTTTACGGTACTGGACGCAGGCGTTTATGCCACTGTTTGTTGTATCTCACTGACTATGAATGCTTTGAACAACTCAGTCTCTATTCCTTGTGCTTTCAGACACACCCTCTCAGAGAGTCCAGTTCCTTCTGGGTACTGAGGATGACGACGAGGAGCACATTCCTCATGACCTCTTCACAGAGATGGATGAAATCTGTGCGAGAGATGGCGAGGACTCAGAGTGGAGGGAAAGTGCCCGGTACTGTCATCAACATTAGTATCTACATATGACCTACATGTTGTTACTGGAAACTCTGATTGGATGGACCGACTGTGTCCATGATCCCACTTACACTGATGAGAGATGTAGCTGTGTGTGTCTCATGTTTGGGTTTCCATTGCATTAAGTAATTGCTATTCATCGCTGTAATTGCTTGGGGAGGAATGAACTTTTAAGACTTTTCCTTGTTTGATCAAAATATATGGTTTACTGGAATCCTGTTATTTGTGCATCTGCAGAAATGGTGAATCAAGTGTGTTTTCTGTATAGTGATACCCAGGGTGATAGACAACAAGAAATGAGAGTAAAAGAGTCGATCTGAGACTGATATTAAACATAGAAGAGCTATCCAGAATGAAATGTTTTTACTGCAGCTAGAACAGATGGCCAGACAGTTTTGCCATCTGCTTGCTCGTTCTGACCGGTACTTACGGCACTCCTGTTACAGGTGGCTGAAGTTTGAGGAGGATGTTGAGGATGGGGGAGAGCGATGGAGTAAACCCTACGTAGCCACTCTGTCTCTGCACAGCCTGTTTGAGCTGCGGAGCTGCATTATCAACAGCACTGTGCTGCTTGACATGAGGGCGAACTGCATTGAAGAGATTGCAGGTAACTGGTGAAAGGAGGAACTGAGAAGCACTGTTTTCTTGGTGCTATTTCCATTTATTTGATGTAGTGTTGTGAGGCTACTAATCTCATTCATTTGACTAAAATGGCATTTGAGTGTGGATTATCTGCTATGAAACCTCTCGACCTCTAGTTATGAAACACGCTGAACCTAAAACTGATCTTTACACAAGGCTTAAAGGGGTAGTTCTGTTTTTTATATTTTTAAGTGAGATGAGACTGTAATTGTATCACTGACAGGAGATGCCAGTCAGCTCAGCCCCTTTGTTGAGCAAGCTTGGCGATCAACTGTTTCAGACAGGGCCAGGCCCACCACATAATTTAGCTGATTATGTTGGTCTCCAATCATAGAACCATTCTCCATTTAAGCTCTAAATCTGTCACTGCTTTATTTTGCTGTCAGGAGGCCCAGTCATTTTTGCACTATTTCCGGACACAACACATATAGCCTATGTTCCTCTGCCTTATTGGGTCCACAAATATTCAAGCCACTGATACATAGTGAGTGTCAAGAGTATTTTTGCACTCTCTGTTTGATGTAGTTTAAGAGCCAAATGCCAAAGATTATCTGCCAGACACAATGATGGCTGTAGGGGTTTTATATTTCAGCTCGGTCTTCAACAGCTAACAAAAATATATTGTCTACATCGTTGAGTATGATTGTTGAGCAAATAAAAAAACAACGAGAGCTGAAAGGCCTTTTTTGGTTTCCCCTGAATATAAAAGGAAGTTTGTAAAAAAGCAAAATAAAACAAAAAAGGGACATTCAGCACATCAGGGAAATTTTAATCAATCAACCAATCAGTCTTTATTTGTACAGCACTTTTCATACAAAACCATGTAAGACAAAGTGCTTTACACAGCAGAGAAATAATAGAAACAAAGAATACCCGAATCTACCCCAACCCAGCCCCTCATTCCCACCCCCGATTGAAGCACAACAGAAACATGTATTAAAATGCATTAACTTGGAAAGGGCTGAATTTCAAAGAAACAGGAATATGTGCGCTGAGGAAAAGCCATTTTAAAATTCAAGATAAGAAAACACTGGAGGTTAGTTTAAAATCTAAAAACCACAGGAGCATAAAATTAAATTGAGGAAATAAATAATTAATAAAATGAAATAAAAACAACAGTAAAAGATACTAAAATAAGAGCATCAAAAATAGCTCAATTAAAGACAATCCTGTCATTAAAACTAGAAAGAGATAAATGTGAAAACACCCAAAGTTAAGTTAATGATATAAAATTTAGTTAAAAGCAAGACTAAAAAGGTACGTTTTAAGTTTGCTTTTAAAGCCTTCAACTCTAATTCCTCACATTCTGGTGATCTGCTGATTCTGGTATGATCTGCTCTTTCTCACAAGGTAATTTCAGAATACTATGAATCAAATCAAGAATTAGTAATTAGTAATATCTAATAATATTAGAATTAGTAATATCATAACATCAAGTTGCTTTAGTATGCCTCCCTGCTACAGCTGTGTGCCTAATGAAAAAAAAAAATCTGTATCCATGCAAACACCACATCAATGAGTAAAAGTAGTTTTACCATTTCATGCAGTAGAAGCTGATTGCTTCCATTTACACAGTGATTATGAAACAAAGTGCTTTAGTGGTGTTAATCCCACTTAAAAGACACTGATGTTCACATGGCATATACTGTATGTATTAATGGTTTATGCCTTTTTGTTCCAGACATGGTGTTGGACCACCAGGAGCTGTACTCACCACTGGGAGATGAGCTCAGAAAGAAAGTTCATGAGACACTGCTTAAGCGCCATCATCACCAGAATCAGAAGAAGCTGGCCAATCGCCTGCCGATTGTGCGCTCCATCGCTGACATAAGTCGAAAGACATCAGATATGCACCTGGATAAGAACGGTGAGGAAACAGAGGAGCTAGGATTTTGTCTCCTGAATCTGAAGAGGTTACAGGACACATGAATATTTGAGACTTTTCTCAACTGAGTCCCATCGCTTTGCAAGTTAAAGAGGTTGGAAACCACTGCTTTACTAAAGACTGGAATAAACATGGGCAGCAGTTGTTTTTTCACATAGATACTCTGCAAATATGCAATATGTGTGTTTGTCTTGTAAACATATGGTCTTAAGTTGTGTACATTTCCGTCTTTTCTTCATATCTGATCCCATCCACCACCCACCATCTGCCCACCAACCTGCCACAGCCCCACTGAAGTCAACAGGTGCAGTTTATTCAGAACACCCATGCCCTGTTACCAGCTTACACTTAAATAACATATTGACAAGGAGGATATTCACATGATTTGTGTTGCGATTCATATTAAGCTGCTTTTGTTGACTACGAGTTGATTAGGAGATTAACGTTAAAAAAAGAAAAGCTCCATGAATATGCAGTTTGTTGCTGATTTTACACATTATTGAATTTCTGGGATAAATATAGCCGTCGACTGGCTTGTAAATGGAAGTGCTACTTGCCTCTGTAATTGCCAGCAACATTTGACAAGAATCAGGTTTGCCAACAGTCCTCATGGCAAAATTAGTGACACTCGACACATCAAACGCTTTAAATTATCTGGTAGTTTGTGAGACGTCTTTGTGGCACATTATGAACTGTTTGATTTCATTTTCAAGCTCATTTCAACGCAGATAGAAGCTCTTCATCATGCCTTGTGGGAGTATTGAGGTTCAGTTTTTGACCCTGCTGTTCAATGAATACTGAAACAAGGCCAGGCAGCTTGGCGGTGATCAGATTATTATACAGGAAACAGATGGTTGAATTAAGGATGCACAGGTAAAAGCATATGTGTTATTCTAACCCATGTCTTACCCTCTGGAGTGAATCTGTATCCCTGTAAATCTTTAACTCTCATTATTTGATCACCAATGATTGAGTTTCTGAAATGTTGATAAAGATCCGTATTGATTATTTTTCTCCTATCTGAATTATCCAGGTCAGATGACGGCCTCCCAGTCCCACTTAGATGCCAAAGGAGACATCAGTAGAGACAACAGTTCTGTGGACTTCAGCAAGGTGAAACACACACAGACATACCTGAGTTTCTCTCTATCTTTGCATCGTATCAGAAGTCTTGTGCTTCATATCAGATTCAGAGGAATTTCTTTCACTTTTTATTATCATTTAATGATTGTGTTTCATTACCGATAGAGCTCTAAATCTTCCAATTTAAAGCCAGAGAGGTTCCAAGGGTGCTTATTTTTGTACAGTTTAAGGTTACACAGTTTTATACAAAAAAAAAAAAAAACACCGTAAATGTCAGCACCCCAACCACCCACCCACAGGACTTGTACAACTCGTACTGTGAGAAAATCTATGTCAAATATCTTCCAGAGCTTGGACAGAATTGAACAAAGTAGGTCTTGTTGAAAGTATCACAGCAACCGCAATGAAACCATGTCTTGATTAAAGGAAGGGCATTTGGTCTTTTCAGCCAGGAATTATAAAATGGGAGTTTTGGATTTTACCAATGAATTTAAATACGCATGCAAACCACAAGAGAGGAGAAAGCAATGAAATTTCTCTCTCCAGTAAAATCCTCAGAAATACCAAAATGAGAGATTAAAGGGCTGGGAACAACAGGCCCACTACAGGCTTTTTTTAAACTGCAACTGAATTGTTTGGAGCCTCTTCACCCACCTCCACTGGTCACTGGTCTTGAATTGAGAGTCTTTCAAAGAGGACTCTACAAGGATATAACCTAATGACTGAGAAAAGCTGTAAAAGGTGGCGCTGCCAGCTCGTCCATGCAGCTGTGTATTCCAGCATGTTTTATGCAGCAAAGCAGCTGTTTGCATTACTAAATAAATGGGGACATTTTTATAATCATGTCAGGCAGTCTTAGTGATGCATGTTGGGAATGAAACTTAAGCGAGTTAAGTGGTATCTTCCAGGTAAGATACCATAACCCAGTTACATGCCTCTGCATTTTATACTGGTATACTGGTTTCCCTTCAGCTCACTTTTAGATGTAAACAAATGTAAAAAAAAAGGAACTTAAGCAAACTATGAACAGTGAGAAAATACATCTATAAAAGTATATTTTTCCTCATAATTTCTTGATTCGATGTAAAGGAGTCTGCCTCAGTATCTAAAGGAACTTAAGCACCAGAGGCGCTGCACTGATATGGTCGTTTACTTTCATATAACAGAATCCAAATCTGATCTCCCCATGAGGTTATGACATATTTGTTATGAGAAGAGTTATTTGGGTCTTTCAAACAAAGAACAGCAGGTTACTGTTGGTATTTTTAATGGAAAGGTCAGGGATTAGGATTATAACCATGTTAAGTATTATAAAAATCATTCAGCACTGATGGTAACCAGACAGAAAACACAGAGATAAAACCCCTCAGTCTGGAACCTTTTGTTCAGGTCAATATTCAACCGTTTTATATTCTTTGTTCGCTGCATGAAAGCATTTATAAACAGGTGCTTTGCTTTAAGTGTGTGAATTGAATCAAACAGATAATACACAGTGGCCTTTCTCCTGCTCCTACAATCTAACACAACACGTTTTTTTTGCCACAGATATATCTTCTTTTTCAAAGCAGTCTGAGTTTAATTCTTAGTCCATCCATGTACTAATAATATTCTTTTGGATGCTTCTAATATGAGAGCTATATGAGCCGTACGAAACATATTAAGGAGAGAACAACACTCCAGTCAACATTGGCTAACTCCACATAATTATCGCTGAAAAATCAACACCTTCTATGATCAAGATTTTACTGTAAATGGAAGACGAACTGCATCAATTAGACACAGTTAAAGAGAAAGGACCACTAGTTCATAGTCAGAGCCACTCCCTGTAGACTTTAGGCTCTGTTCTCATGGGAAATTAAAGATTATGTATCATATATGAAATATTATGCAACAAATCATTACATCTTTTCATCATTTCATCAACATCCAGTCATCTTATGTAATATTTATAGAAACACATCCGTGACTTATTTAAATGTTATATATGTGATGACAGACAAAGCTTAGACAGCTGGGCCAGAAACCAATCAAATCATGTCAGTATAGAAAGTCCCTGAATATAAAACTAAGCATAGAAAAATGATGCAAACACAGACGGTTGTTTTTAACTGACAGGCTCACAGGACAGAGTGTTAATTGTCTTTGGTATAACATGCTTTTATTATCCGCTTCAATTTGTCCTCTTTCAGATAGATCTTCATTTCATGAAGAAGATCCCTCCCGGGGCTGAGGCGTGTAACGTGTTGGTAGGAGAGCTTGAATTCCTGAATAAGCCCGTGGTGGCGTTTGTACGTCTTTCACCAGCAGTGATGCTCAGCGGGATGTCTGAGGTCCCCATCACAACAAGGTTACTGCAAACTGATCTAACTATGCCAGTTTCATTCCCACTATAATTTCATCTTATTCATGCCACTGAAACATTTCTGGTGCTCTCTGATGTTTTTTTTTCTGTCAGATTTCTGTTTATTCTCTTGGGGCCGATGGGCAGAGGGCCTCAGTATCATGAGATTGGAAGATCTATTGCAACACTCATGACAGACGAGGTAAAGATTCGCTCAAGCAGCGTGTGTTACAGTGATGGTTTGGTGTAGGATTTATTTATTTCTCGACTTGGATTGGTTTGAATGTCAACCAGATGTCATATTCAGATTTTCTGCAGGCACTATGCATAAATTCACAGTCCAGCAGAACTCAACAAATTCCCAAAGTGATGGAACATTTCTCAGCATGAAACACAGCTCAAAGCTTTTTATGAAAATCATGCGTTTGGCGATTAGTCATCCCTCATGTCCTCCTTTTTGTTTGGGATTTAGGCTGCCATCCATCATCACTGAGGAAAAGATGGGCCTTGACAGAATCCAAACTTTGTTATAGTCTTTTTGGACTCAGTAGTTCTCATGAAATTTTATAAGTGGGAACTATGAGTCAGTGGTTAAGAAGTTGTTATTTTGGACTTGGATTTTGTTGAGTCTTTTTATGGTAAATCCTTTGCATGTTTATTTTGGTTAACTGCATCCAAAAACATGAATGTGAATGTCTTGGCGCAGCGTGCGCACTGAAAAGAGCAAAAGACTGAGTCCCACACTTGATGTCTCAGTGATATCACCTGTTGGTTTTTGAGGCAGTGAAGCCCAATGATGGCAGCCACCATATTGAAAACACTGAACCAGCCTAACCTTTGGTTAACAAGCTGTAAAGAGGTAGAGTTAAGACAGCCACACCCCTAATATCTTCAAAACACAAGTGTAGAAATAAAGCAGACTTTTTGGCACCTTGAAACAAGGTGGAATTTAATCCAAAAAGCAAAATTGCCATTTCAGTTTGAAGGTTGATAAGGTTTCCTGTTTTTTTGTGAACCAGTCTGAAGTGGATACTCAAAGAAATGCGGTATTTAGCACTTCTGCATATGCTTTAATTTTTCTTTAACATCAGAGCTTGCTGCTTACACCGCAAAAACTCCAACCTTTGCAAGTCTTTTGTTTTATTTCCGTAACAAAAATTTACTTACACTTACTGTAATAGTAGTCACATTCACCTAGCTAGACCAGGAGCACATCTTATTTTTAGACAGTAGATGCCAAAATTAAACAAGTGTTTTTTTCTCACCACACTGTCAGATTTTTATTTCTTTACTCCTTTCAAACAAATCAAGGCTTACTTTTGTGCTGATATTCAGTCTGTTCAGCCCACATTTTTAACAAGAAATGACATGAAAACACTTGTTCAGTTTGGAGTTTTTGCAGCGTAGACATTTTTTGTATCCAGGTTTTCCATGATGTTGCCTACAAAGCTAAAGACCGAAATGATCTGATCGCTGGGATCGATGAATTCCTTGATCAAGTGACCGTCCTGCCCCCCGGAGAGTGGGACCCATCTATACGGATAGAGCCACCAAAAAATGTTCCGTCTCAGGTATGTTTTAATGTACAAGTACTCTTTTCATTTCCTGGTTTTCTCTCTTTTTTGATTTCTGTGAAAATACTATTTTTTTAAACAGGAGAAAAGGAAGAAAAGTAATATCTTACCAAATGGACTAGTGGAGGGTGAAGATGAGGAAGAGGACAGTGGTCATGGGGGTCCAGAACTGCAGCGAACTGGAAGGTGGGGGAAACACAAAGGGAAATAACTAGAGGAAATCAGACTTATATAATATATTATAAATATTTTAATTCTCAGGGGGAAATTGGGAGCAAAGACCCTAAAGAAAACAGTAAATAGGATTTTGTATTTTTAATTTTAAAGTCAACAAATAAACACTGGGCCATATCTGGGTAAACTCAGTCCATGGTTTAAATGATAGAGTGGTTTCCATAGAAACATCCTTCCTGGTTATATCTATTTGCAGCTAGACTTTCCTGTCATTGGATCATATCACACTCAGCCATGCTCAAGAATTGAACCCCGGATGAAAACCAATGGTGGGAAAGCAAGAGAGGACAAATTCTCGCACCTAGATAAAGCTGTCAGAATGAAAATCTTGCTTTGTACAAGTGAATTATTTCTGCATTTGCAGGTGGTTTGGTGGTCTCCTCTTGGATATCAAGCGGAAGACACCCCACTACCTATCCGACTACACTGACGCTTTCAGTTTACAGTGTGTGGCCTCTTTCCTATTCCTCTACTGTGCCTGTATGTCTCCTGTCATCACCTTTGGAGGACTACTGGGCGAGGCAACAGAAGGACGCATAGTAAACCTCACTCTCCTCCCTCTACATGTTCTGATGATGTACACTGTGCTAGCTTTTAAGCATATCAAACCTGTACATCAAACTTGGTAAAGATTTGAACTCAACACTACACTTCCAAACTTTCATGGTCTTTTCCCTTTCCACAGAGTGCAATTGAGTCACTGTTTGGAGCCTCGCTGACTGGAATTGCCTACTCTCTGTTCGCCGGGCAGCCCCTCACCATCCTGGGCAGCACAGGGCCGGTGCTCGTATTTGAAAAAATACTGTTCAAATTCTGCAAGTATGTTTACCTGTTTGCGTAAATAATCTCATTAACTGACAGATGACTTCAGGTTATTTTCAGCAATTGGCACATTGCATAATGTGTTATTGCATTGTCCTTTGCACATCGGCTTGCTGAGGGATAATTTCTGTTTACTGCCTGTCCAACACCTGGCGTCAAAGAGATCATTCGATGCTCTGGATGTATGCATTAGAAACCATTCAACAGCATTAATCACCACATGATGCGGTTTGATGCATTATCTCTACACAGGGAGTATGGTTTGTCCTATCTGTCCCTGAGAACCTGCATTGGTCTGTGGACGGCTTTCCTTTGTATCCTGCTGGTGGCTACTGATGCAAGCTCCCTTGTTTGCTACATCACGCGTTTCACAGAGGAAGCCTTCGCCTCGCTCATCTGCATCATCTTCATCTACGAGGCCTTGGAGAAACTCATCCACCTGGGGCACAACTATCCCTTCAACAAGAACAACAACCTGGACAAACTCACCACCTACTCGTGCGTGGATACTCGTTCTCACATACCGCGCTGTCCAAAGCCGTGAAAAAGAATAATTGCTGCATGCATTTCTTGAAAGCTACTGTAAATCCCTGACAAATGAAGGATTATTTAGTCACCCAGATGTTCATGTGCTTCCACAGATGTTCATGCGTCGAGCCCTCTGACCCAGGCAATGGCACCCTGAAGTACTGGGAAATTAACAACGTCACTCCCTCAGAAATCTATTGGGAAGCTCTGGAGGTCAAGGTACGATCGTTACCAACTTTGAGATGTGGCCAAACTAAACAAAAAATCCTAAACAAACTAAAAGTGGATGTGTTAGTCATAGTCGAGGCTTTTATAACCAAATAACTGCAGGAACTGTTGGGTAAGACAGAGAGGTTGAAATGAACACATTTGGATTTTCCACCTTAAAGTGGCATGCTCTCCCAGATGGAGGAAACTGAACATAGGAGATTAAGGGCATGTAGGCAGGATTATATTGGATTATTCTTTGCAAATCACTATAAAAGCACATTTTGTTGTACTCAGTTAAGTTTTTTTTGTTCTCATAAGCCATGTAATAGGAAACCGAGAGTCTTGCCAAGCACTCTTGTGCTCCTCATGGAGTGATGCATCTCAGTAACTCTGCTCTGTCATTGTCCATGTAGGACTGTATCGAAAAGAAAGGGGAGTTTGTGGGCAGCGCCTGTGGCCCTCATGGACCCTACGTTCCTGATGTCCTCTTTTGGTGTGTCGTCCTTTTCTTCTCCACCGTCTTCATGTCCTCTTTCCTAAAGGAGTTCAAGTTCAGCAGCTACTTTCCCACAAAGGTATCAATTATCATCACATCAGAGTCTACTATGATCCAGACATGGCAAGAAAAAAGACACTGCAGATTCTAAACATGTCTTGAGTTGAAGACTACAATGCAGGGGTACACTCTAGTGGTCAAGTATAGGCATTGCATCTAAGAAACATGAAGAAGAGGAAATGTCATATCCTGTTATTCTGTGGTTTCTTTTTTTGTGGTTGTTTAAATTAGGTGAAATAATAGGGGCAAATGTTTTTTAATCATATATTTATTGGCATTTTCAGTTTGAACATAAACAAATCACATGTTGAATAAATGTACATAATAAATCCCCCCAGTCCCTCCCTCGCCACCCCATGTTGCCAGATCCTCTAAAATGAGTATAAAGCGAGAAAGAAAATAAATGCATAAATAGTAATAATAATAAGGATATTAATAAAGATACATTACACTGTAAGTTATCCTGAACATATAATGTAAAGAAAGGGTATTGCAAAAAAAAAAAAAAAAACAGGTTCCAGAAAGAGAAATACAAATTAAATTGAAATAATGATGAAGAAAATAAAATTGAAAAAGAAAGAAAGAAAGAAAGAAAGAAAGAAAAACACTGTTCACCATATGTGCAGATTTATCTACACTGTTTCTATGTTAAATGCAGCTAGGGCTGTAGCCATGTTGGGTCTGGAGGAATCTCAGTTTGCGATGGTGGTAAGGTTGTCAAAGTAAGTCAGAAAAGGCCTCCCCCAACCTGAGTAGATTTCTCCCTATTACCTCTCACACTAAATTCAACCCTTTCCCATTTAAGATTTTCCAGATCAGTAGTATTTGTAAAGTTGTAAAGGCCACAACATTACACATTTTTGATGGCCAGTCACATTCCACAGGTCTTAGACCAAATATGGCTGTCAAAGGATGTGGATCTACAGTTATATTGAAAACATTACTCAAAGAGTCGAATATTGTGTTCCAAAATGTATGGAGGGTGGGACATGTCCAGAACATGTGTAATTAGGTCGCCAGTGCACATTTGCACCAGTCATACATATGGTCAACGTTGGGGTAATTCTTGGCTAGTTTAGCTTTGGTTAAGTGGATGCAGTGAACACTTTCAAATTGTATGAGGCCATATCTACTACATGAAGAGGATGAATGTAGCAGCCTAAAACTGCCTTCCACAAATTGTCGGAATAGGGTCAAATGTTTTATCTGCATTTTAACTATTTCCCATGTTTTCTCCCACACTAGGTGAGGTCCATCATCAGTGACTTTGCTGTTTTCTTCACAATCCTCACCATGGTGTTAGTCGACTACGCCTTAGGGGTCCCTTCTCCAAAACTACAAGTCCCCAGTGTGTTTAAGGTGACCACTTCAAAAATGTTGTCGACAAATGTTTAAGGAAACTGATCAGTTCTCAACAAGCTACTGACTATTGTTCCATAAAACTACCCTGCTTTTGTTTTCAGCCAACCAGAGATGATCGAGGGTGGTTCATCAACCCCCTGGGGCCTAACCCGTGGTGGACAGCAGTCATAACGGTCATCCCAGCTCTGCTTTGCACCATCCTTATCTTCATGGACCAGCAGATCACAGCTGTCATCATCAACAGGAAGGAACACAAACTCAAGGTGCTCTCAAACCTTGAACCCTGGTCACACACCACATTTGTATAACATGTCCTCTCATGAAGTGCTTCAAATGGTTTTTATTTACTGGTACTGCCCCCCTTTCAGAAAGGCTGTGGGTACCACCTGGATCTCTTCATGGTTGGGATAATGCTCGGCGTGTGCTCTTTGATGGGTTTGCCCTGGTTCGTAGCAGCCACCGTCCTCTCCATCTCCCATGTTAACAGCTTGAAGCTTGAATCGGAGTGCTCGGCTCCGGGGGAGCAGCCAAAGTTTCTTGGCATTAGAGAGCAACGCTTCACTGGCCTTATGATCTTCACCCTGATGGGCTGCTCTGTCTTCATGACATCTGTGCTGAAGGTCAGACTCAGTCTCCTTGTTGTTTGTGTGCAGTTTTCACTCCGTATTATAGAGTGTGAAATAAATGATCCCTCTGTTAGCTCTGAAGATTTGGCTCTGAGGTTGTTTAACAGTCATTGATTACATTATAATAGAAACAGTCTGTTTAAACACTAACAGTCTCACATTCATATGATAAAGCCAGGGGAACTTTTGCATGATCTGGTTCTTTATCTTTTAGTCTTTTGTTGTTTCCATTGTGTTGTCATTGAATTTGGATTCTCTGAGTTTAGCATCCCTTTACATGCTTTTTAACAATATTCACACAAACTGATTAAATACATATTAGTGTTACTGACGGAGCTTGTGTTTCCCCTCAGTTTATTCCCATGCCTGTGCTGTATGGAGTTTTCCTTTACATGGGAGCATCTTCGCTCAGAGGCATTCAGGTAAACATCTTTACAATTTGCTGAAATCAAGTGAAAAAACCTAAGTAGAGGTCACTTGCCTCACAAACATTGAATAAGACTAACTCTGCAGTCTGCAAGTTGCCAAGGTTTAAGTGCACTAAATCGAACCAACAGATGTTCAGAGTAGAAAGCATCACCCAGCTAATAGATTAACTGGAATCACACTGAGTTTTTTGGGGTGTTGCCTAGAGTTAATGTTTAAAATAAGCCTTTCAGCAGTCGTCTGATTAGACTGACATTTGTTCAGCGTGGTTTGGGTTTAATTTGTAGATGCTCCTGCTGGATAATCTGTGTAGACAGCTAATTCTCACCAAGCCATGATAGGGGCTCGCCTCCATATTGTCTCGCTGCCCAGATAAAAAGTGTTAATTGGCCTCTAGTGTGTTCTCAGCATTTACTGAACACCTGACTATTATTTAATTGCCCTGTTTACTTCTTTTTTCTTCACTTTAAAAAACTGGCTATTCTTGGGTTTCAGAGATAAATTCAAATAAAGCTCAACATTTTATAAAAGCATTTTATTGCATAGGTGAAATTGTTGCCTTTCTGATCTAATTTTACTTTAACACATAAGCACAGAGAAAAATTCAGCCAGATCGATGCCTGGGAGGCTGCGAAAAAAGCTGCAAGTTATGACCTAAAACACACCAAAAGCTGCAGTTTTGCTCAAAGGCACTGCACACTTTTACGGCTTTGATGCAATTTTGTCACTCTCCCGTGTTTGGTTTTGGCCACAGTTTGAGCCGACTGTGCAAAATCTCAGCTGGCACAGTAATTGTAATGGTGGTAAACATAGAGGAGCATGCAGCTTCTACACAGAAAGGTATGTCCATTAGAAAGACACAAACTCCAGTCCAGCTGCGTGTTTGTTATTATGCTCTGTAATTGCTAGATGTGTGCACAAGCAACTCTTTAGTTCCAGTGATATGTTTAAAATGTGTCTCTGCTGCCCCGCAGTGGCAGGAAATTAGTCATTACAGTTTTTGTTCCTTTATTTTTCTCAACAAGTTCTTTGATCGTCTGAGGCTGTTTGGGATGCCAGCTAAGCATCAGCCAGACTTCATCTATCTGCGACACGTTCCCCTGAGGAAGGTGCACCTTTTTACCATCATCCAGCTCACCTGTTTGATCCTGCTCTGGGTCATCAAGACCTCCAGGGCTGCAATTGTCTTCCCCATGATGGTAAGCAGTCACCCCACGCCCTTTTCGTTCATGATTCAACCGTTTTTTGTCTGTTTCATACAGTTAATATCAATACATTAATCATGCTCTTTATTGTCTCTTGTCCGGACTCTGATGTGTAATTGTGTTTGCAGGTGCTGGCTTTGGTGTTTATTAGGAAGCTCATGGACTGTTTCTTCACCAAGAGAGAGTTAAGCTGGTTGGACGACCTCATGCCAGAGAGCAAGAAAAAGAAGCTTGAGGATGCTGAAGAGGTACTGTAGTGCTAATAAATACATACATATATACAAATGCTTGTGTTATCTACATATACTTGTACCTGAATTTTAACATTTGTTTGTCAAATTTAAAGGAGGAGGAGCAGAGTATCCTTGGAGAGGATGAAGGAGTAGTGCAAGTGCCATTAGAAGGGTACAAGTAAGTTAAATAGTGCTTACAAAGTTTTACATTGTCTGTGATTTTTTTCCTTTATAAAGATAAAAAACTTATTTATTTGTTATTTTTTCTTTCCACAGAGGTATACCCGTCATCAATATCACTGATGAAATGTCAAAAGGTTCTTTTGGAAATACTTGGACAGCCAACAGCTAAGACATTTGAGACGAGGTTTCTAAACATTATGGTAAGCTTTTTGTTTTTTAAATGAAGCTCACTCATGCACATATTTCTGATCAAGTTAGCTGTGATTAAAAAGGAAATTACATGTATGTCTCCTTAATTTACAGCATTATTTGGCTCACAAACAAAAATGAGTTAACAGCTAAACAACAAAGTCTAGCTTCCATAGTAAGTGCCAATAAAAACAAGTTCACAATCATAACATGGAAATAACATTTACAGCTGTCTATCAGTAACACCAATGCAAACTTAAGGCTTGTGTCCATTGATGGCGTTTTTGCACTTACAGCCCCTAATTTTAGTTTAGAGCGTTCTTCATCAGCGTTTACTGTTGCTAGGTTACAAAAGTTGTCCCCTGGTACTTCTGCTACAGAAAGCTGTAAGCCTCATATTGGTGATTGTTCTACTACATGTACAAAGACATGAAAACAACTGGTAGAGACTGTGTCCTACCATCTGAAACCCTGGTATCTTTAACCCTGTAAAACAAGTGTGGGTAGTTTGTTCATGCATACCTCATCTGTTATTAATAAAGTTTAATCAAATCTTTTTTTTTATTTAGTTGGTGTTGGAATAGTAACATTTATGAGCACAGCAGTTTTCTACAAGTTTTACTAATATCAACTGAGAGTGCTGTGAGCAGAGCAACAACAACAACAACAACAAAAAATAACAACAAAAAGGGGATGACAATGAGGGCATTTGTGTGCTTAGGCTGCTGAAATAGGCACCAAGAGTCCCAAAAATGCCTTTAGTAGACACAGGCCCTTGTTTGCAGGCTGTAACCTGCATCTTCAACTTGTGTGCAAACTGCATTCAAAAAATAAAGTGTTATATAAATTTAGAAGGTCAACTATATATGTACTCTATTGGGGTTTTCATGGGTAAGGGACTATCAGTGTAGGTGCCAGTTTTTGGCTTTTGTATTGACAAATCAACAGATGAAATCCAGACTTCCTCTCCTGAGCTGTACCACTTGGTGACCAGATTTATCTCTCTGACCTTTTAAAACCCCCATATTTCATCTCGGACTCTCAGATCCTCTGACCAGCGCCTTCTGACTGTCCCTCGGTCAAGATTAAAGTTCAGGGGTGACCGGGCTTTTTCCGTTGCTGTGCCTAAGCTCTGGAATGCTCTTCCTCTTAATGTCCGACTTTCCCCCTCACTGCCTGTTTTTAAATCAAATTTGAAAACGCACTTTTACGCCCTGGCTTTTAACTCCTGAGAACTTGGCCTTTTAATCATGTTTTTACTGAACCATCTATGTCCCCCTGTTTTTAATGTGTTCCTGTGTCTTGTTTTATTGGTCATGTTAATTGTCTGGATCTTTTTATTTTGTTTTTAATTTTACTGTACAGCACTTTGGTCAGCGCTTTGTTGTTTTTAAATGTGCTACATAAATAAACCTGGATTGGATTGGATTGGATGTCCATGAATATACTGAATATTAACAACACATATATCTTACCTTTCTTCATAGTTCACAACCAAGCTCACAATATTCCAAGGCGAGAACTGGGGATGAAGACGATTGAGGGCAGTGTTGTGTGTCTTTGTCACTGTCCCTTCTGTGTGATCACAAATAAATCTTTGTGGTGTGCTACATTTTACTGATCCTTCAAGTGCAGCCATGTAAATCACTCTGGGTTAGTGAGTAACTGTTATCTTTTATCGTGTTGTTCATGTCAAGAAGTCTTTGTTATTTCAATGATTGTACACAAAAAATAATTTAAGGTTGTCCTCTGAGAGTTTTTGGATTGATTTGTATTTATTTTGTTATATTCTTTGTATTTTGAAATACCATAATATCATATCCTTGAGATCATAGATATTTATTTATTAATTCCCTATAGTTCTCTATTAAGTAACTTATTTGTAGACTTTGATGTGAAATGTAATATGATGACCTAGTAAGTATTAAAAAAGACTAAATGCCATTCTTGAAGGTACATAGCCATACATGAACATATCAACACTAACGAGATGGAAGGCTTGTATTATTACAGATTATGTTGTATTTTTTCATGGGATGGGACTGTCATGATCCCATGGAGTTGATTTTGAATGTTGGTAATGGGGCTTTGAAAATTGATAAAGGGCAATATAAAATATATACACCTCTGTGAACAAAATGCAATAGCACTTTTAACCAGAATGTCAATATTCTATTTATAAGACAACTTATTCTGCTATTTATTTTGTGGAATATAATATATATTATATATGTTTGCTGCAAAATGGAGATTTAAAGCTCTGTCCTTAGATGTAAGTGCATTGCTTATATTGTAAATGGAAATTTTAAGTGTCATAAATTGTTTAAATGTTTATATCAAGTATTACAAATCATGAATCAAAAGCTTGATCATGCAGGCGTTTTATCCTGAGGTCCACTTTGAAGCGGAAAAAGACCAAGAAATGGTTTATTTTTGAAGAGACAAATATACCATGTACAGCTTGTCAATGTTGCTTTAACATAATAAAATTTTAAGAGCACTTGTGTCTTTTCATTGTCACAATTTCACTGTAAACACAGTAGCAATACAAGAAGACATGTACATATAAAGGTAAATCAGGCTATCTGATGCATAACTATTGGATGGTGTGTGATTTAATTCATGAAATGATGCTAGCTGTAGGGATGTTTTTAGTCAACACCTCCAAAAACTGTGACTGAGGAGGGGTTTGGATTGTTAATAGCAAGGGACCATCATAAGAAATATGCGCACAGTATAGTATACAAAGAAAACTAACAGCCACTTCCTGGTTACAGACACTCAAGACCAACAGCACACGACAGAAGTAGATAACTTAGTTTCAGCCAACAACGCTTAAATTATTGTAAGTGTTGTTGCTGGACATTCCCCCTCTTCTTCACCCTCCTCTTGGTCCTTATTATCCCCATCTATGGCACACAAAGTCCATATGAGGGAAGTGGTCCAATAGTCCTGTCAGATTAACACCTGCTGGAGTAGCTTCAGAGAGCCGCAGCCAACTTTTCAGCACCTATGCTGCAGCCAGTACTTGAGACAAAAAACATCCTACCATGATGTCCTTTTCTATGCACTGCCTTCAATTACAACTTGACAAGAAGCTTCAGAAATAAGCTATGCAGGCCAGACTTAGAGAAGTAGAGAGGACGATCGCGGAACAAACGTTTTCGTTGGGGGATTTTAATGCTTGTAAGAAAGCCAATTATGATATTAACTTTAATCATGTCCCCAAAGACATTGGTATCCAAGAGTTAAATAGCTCCTATGTTACCTGCCTGGATATCTACAATGTGTTGTAGATATCTGTAATGAGAAACCCTATATACATGAATGGCAGAAGTTACGTCATTTGTCCAAGGCAGAATGTAGTTGCGGATGTATTTTCCCTGGGCGATTGTGAGTCACAGATGTCTGCTACACATATCCAGTCTAGCTATTTAATGTTGAAACAGATTGCCATAGGCTTATGCATTTCTGCATTCTCAACATAATGTCCTTTTGTGCATTTTTTTTTGATTAGCCTATTGACCTAATGTTTGCATATGTCACAACTTAGGCCGGTTTAACCAAAAAAAGCACTTTGGTTGTAATGAAAGGTTTATTAAAACTCATAAACTGTCAATGCCAACCATTAAAGGCTTCAACACTTTACAAAGCATGAAAACGTGTTTTTGTAGAAGGCAATGTCATTAACAACACTGTGTGGGAGGGACTTAAGGTTAAAAACAGAGCTGGTACTTAAGTGCCAGTTGATCTGGTTTAAGCTGTCATTGTCCTTTTGACCTATTTTTCTATATTTTTTCCATAGAGGGTCAGCTAAAAACTTTGTCTCACTCTCATTGCTTGATACTTTTATGCTTTCCTGGTGGAGCTGACTTGGATGGGCAGAGATTTCTGTAATCAACAGATGGCTGTGATGTGCTATAGTTGACAGCTCAGAGATATGAAACATCCCAAAGCATGTCAGGCTGCTGGCTCATGTGAATTTCTGTTTTGTCTCAATGCCAGCAGGACCTCAGGAGAGTCGACCCAGTCATTGTTCCCAACGAGTCGCTTGATTGACACGATGTCCTTCCCTTTCATTTAGCATAGCCATCCCTGAGCATCACTGGGAAATCCCTCTCCAGTGAACAGCTGACAGGTGACACACATCATCTTGTTACCTGGTAAAAATCCCAACACACATATCTCCCAGGAGAGAGAAGTGTTTATTGATTTATTTTCTGCCTGCATAAACAGAGGAGAGTTTGTCAGAAAAAAAAAAAAAAAAATCAGCGGTGCACATGGTGCTCTTGGCCCAAATGTAACACTGTTGTTAACATTGATACTGCTTTTAAATTCTCAACTCAACTCTGAATTTTCTAGAAATAATTAAGTCATTCAAGTACTTTCTTTTAGGTGCTATTCTGATGGACACTTATTTATGTTTTCTCTGAAACAACCACAGAGGTAATTCATCCTTTTCTAATCAATATTTCAAAGCAGAAACAGCCAATTAAAAATGGAAATGATTGATTGTACACATTTCTTTATTGAAAACTAAGCGTGACTTTAAAGTAAGAAAAAAAAGGGGATACCTTTACTGGTAATCATACAGGTTGCAGTTCAGATCAACATCCTGACTCAAAAACTTTTTTACATTAGAGAAGGCTGCTAGAAATGGAAATCATGAAATTTGAAAACATGAGGGATGATGTGAATGGTTGAAAAAATTGTACAAAGTCTTTTTGATTGAGACACATTTCAAACACAACTAACTTACTCATCAACTACATTCTTGCTTTTTGCATCTCAACAATTCCATCAACCACCAAGGGCCAACAGAGCTTCTTATGAGAGGAGTTTAATAGCAGGAGCAAGAAAAAGGGCTCATACATGTTGTGAAACATAACAGCACAGAGTGGGTCTGAATTGCTAACATTTTCTTGGGAGCTTCAGAGGAGTTTAGTCTCTCCTGCCTCGGCCAGTCTTCAGCCAGGTCACAAACTCCTTGGCAGCCTGGTCCTGCAGGTAGGAGCTTACATCACTGGTGTAGGTGCCGTCTGCATGGCGTCTAAATAGACTTCTGTTGACGGAAATACATCAAGAAACACCATCAGAAAAAACATCTAAATCAGCTTGAATCATGAAGACATCATCTATGTTGAATATGATTCATTACACCACGTTGGTTCAGAGAGAAATAGACAAACTTACCCATTTCTTTTTGAATTTTTAAGCCACTGTACAAAGTCTTGTGCTCTTCTTGTCTCCAGGTATTTGCTGTAGTCATTCGAAAAAGTTCCCTCTGAGTGTCTCTTCATGTTTGGGAGCTCAATGGGTTCATTGAGTATGGAGTTTTCAGTCAATAGCCTAAAAAATTAAGATCAATATACAAAAAGTTACACAATGACATCTTAAAAGCCACTCTTTCTGTCACGTATACGTAAGAGCCTATGTCATCCATACAAAAAAAGTAAATGAAAATGAGAATAAATTGAAATAACTACAAATGCAACTGCAACAACAAGAAAGAAACTAAGGTATGTGATTTTTTTTTTAAATTTTACTATTCACCTGAAATATTAATTTTTCAATTTTTTTTTCCTAATGAGATTGATAAAAGAATTTGCAATAGGTTACATCTGCTCAATTTCAAAACAGATTCTGCTTCTCTTGTGTCAACAGCCCTGTGTGCTGCAGATATCGATGGTAATCTCCCTGCTCCAGTGTAATTAGGTTTAAAAACTGAAGCACACTCAACTAAAAATACAATATAAGAGCGATTCAAAATAAAATCTTTACAAAAAACTTATATAAGCTTGTTCCTATTCTGTGAAAAAAACTGAAACATCTGAGTTCAGTAGAGCCCTTCAAAAATGTACCACATATGTAATCACTCACTTGTCCTTATCAAGTTTCCTCCAGGGATCAATAAAGTTCTTCTCATCTTATCACAACTTTTGAGTTTACATATTATATATGCAGCTCAGGCTGTCTGCAAATGCTGTCATGATAGTAACTAACTGAACTTCTCCAATAGGATGGTTAGATACTGATGGAGCTCACTGATCAATGTAAAAGTTGAGATTTGATCTTACATGGAGTTTCTGTCTGTGTCCTGATCAGGCGCCTGCCAACTGCTTTGGACGATGATGAGGAGCAGGAGTCCAGCCAAAGAGTGAACACTCATCATTGTTGTAGCCTCTGAAAGATGAGCACAGAGGAAAGGAAGAGGAAGAAAATGAAAGAATGTTAAGAGCAAAACCTCGCGTAGACAGTTCAGATGATTGAAATGAAAAAGTAATGAAATACTCACCTGTGCTGCAGTCTCTTCAGCTTCTATGAGAAGGGTTAATAAATTGACTTGATTGGTGTCCGTCTTGTCTCTTGGTTGTAAGTTCCCCTCCTCATCACCTCACTCTTATATAGTGGAGCTGAAGAGCTAACTCTCAGGTGACTCCCCCCGTCACTGACACCTCAGCGAATCCTCTGTTACTCTCAAGCCATTAGCCAGCTTCCGTCTCAGTCTGCTGAATGTATTTGACTTTGTTCAGAAGAAAAAAGGTCCTAATGGATAAACCTTGACAAATAAAATTTAACAAATAGTGGCACACGTGTCTGTTCTAGTGTAGTGACATGAAAGTATAACAAACTGAATTGTTTCACAGTTTCAATCTTTTTCAGACTTAAAAAACAAATCTGTATTTGAAAAGAAACAAAACAATTCTACAGTATTTGCACATTAATTGAACTCTGAAAGGAAGAGACTTAAGGATTTTTCATAAAAACTTCTTGCTCCACATTACCAACCCGCAGATTTTTCATGAATAGTTCTTATTTCACATAACCAACCATACGAAAACATTAAATTATGTTGTGTTCCCACTGAGTGATAGATGGCTAATGGACGTCTTGTTTTTTTTAGACCTAAATTCAACAGTCTAGATTCTGTATATTTTGAGATGGAATTTAGACGTTGCACTTTAACCCATTATTTGATAACTGTTTATTTCAAAAAGCAACTGTGAGTTGCATAACTAATCTCCAAGTACTTCATCAAAATAATCATGATAGCTGTTGAGCAATATACAGTTAGACCTCTGTTAGCTGGCTAGTCTAAACTTGGTCTAAATTTAGACGTCTAAAAAACTTTCATTTTTAGACCTGTGGTAGCCTGATTTTAGACCAGTTGTCTAGGCTACATTTAGATGTCTATTAGACATGTATTTGACCAAAAAATGCTCAGTGGGTTTTTTAAGATGTAAAAAATATGTAACTTTTTAAAAAGTCATCATTTCAAGTATCCTTACAGAATAAAGATGTATGTGAACACAATTAGGACAGAAATTGTAATTCACTTCCACAATAAAACATATTTTTAAACAAACTTTATTTTTCTTATGCGACACCACATATTACAACACTCCACAACAAATCAGTGCAGTGCAGTGCAGCTCTTGGTGACACAATCTCCATATTAAATATCTTAAATGCATGCAATGTCTTTCAGTATGTAAAAAATGTAAGATTAAATATAAATGCTCATTTGTGTGAGCAATAAAAACATAATCGCACATATAAAAACAATTGTCAAGAGTCAAACCTGATAGAAAAACATAAACAAATCAGAAAAAATAACCTGTAGTAATTTCCTATTAAGATGGTGTCACAGTTTTCACATCTGTTTGGGATTAACAAGGCATCTCTGCAGGAAGTGGCTCATGAGGGTGTACGTATGATGGTAGGCTGATCCTCTGAGTGTGTGGTCCCTGTCAGTGTACCACTGAAATAAACACAAAAGAATATTATTTATAGATATATATCCAATTGAGCACCTTTCATATCAGTTTTCTCTGACAGGGCTCTTATGGCTCTTATCCTGCAAGTCTTTTTGAGTAATACTTATTTTACCAGCATACAAGTCCAATATTAGCCCTGCTTCCCTCAGCCAATATTTACCATTGCCTCAAAGTCCACTTCCATGTCCACAAGAGCTTTGGAGATCTGTGCTGCTTGCTGGAAATGGACGTTATCTGTACAGAAAGGAGAGCACTTTCACTACGTGACTGAACATCAAAGCTTGAGTTTCCATTAAAGCTAACTGAGTGCATTCGTGCAAGGCTTAACTGTGCTGCCCTGTACACTGCGAGAAATTGAGCTTCACACATGCTTAGGAAAACATATTGAGGAACGAACCATCTGCTGTGCCATGGACCAACAGATAGTCCACTGTTTTGAAGTTCTTGGCTCTGGCTGTGACTGAAGAATTCTGTGAGACAGAGGAGAAGTTTCCCTTTTCATAAACACACTTTATCTCTCTAGTCATATTTGTGCTGTACTTTTGATTTCACTTCTATTACTTACTTTGTAGGAGTCTGAGTTCTCTGTAGGCTTGCCCATGTAGCGCTCAGTGTACACTGCATCTGCAAAGGAAAACTTTATTAATATTATAAATCACAAATGCTAGGATAAAACCATGCTTATTCAAAGGATAAAAAAGTTGACTATGTGGAGACCAATCACCTTTGGTGCAATGCGGTAATTCAGCTTAAGAGAGGTTTAGGCTATGAGCTGTGAGTGTGGAGTTGGTTTTTACTTGGCGTTTAGGAATTTTGAATGAACAAATACACTGTTATGATATGTTCTGTTGAGTTAGTTTTTTAATTGGTTTTGTAATTTAAGTATATTTTCTGTGTGTTTCTGTTCTCCTGTCGCCCACTGTGAGTTTTTAGTTTGTGTTTGACACTGTTTCTCTGTGTTTTATTCTTGAGATCAGTTTTCATTGTTTCCTGTTTTATTTTGTAGTAGTTGATTCCTTGTGTTTCTAGTCTGGTTTTACTTCCCTAGTTTTCCCTCCTTCGTTAATCACCCATGAGTTTCACCTGTGTCTCGTTTGCCTCACCTGTTGCTTGTTTCCCTGTGTTTTTATATAGTCCCTGTCTTCCCCTCTGCCCTGGCTGGTTCACTGTTTGTCCATGTGTGTGTATGCTTGTGTCTCCAGTTGGATTTTGTCTTTGTGTTATTTGCCTTGGGACCTTTCAACTGGACATTTAAAGTAAGTAAGGAAATCTGTATCTCCATAAAGCTTCCTAGCAGGTGAAGAGCTCTAAAATTGCCTGGTAGACTGTCTGTGTTGATTCTGGACTTGATAAAATACAGTAGACCAACACCAGCAGAGGACATAGTGCCCCAAACCATCATAGACAGTGGGAACTTCATGCTGGACTTTGAGCACCTTGGGGATTCCAGGCCTCTCTGATCTTCCTCCAGACTCTGGGACCTTCATTTCTAAACTAATCTTAAAATATACTTAAATCTGAATACAGAATTTGGAGCAATAAGCATTAGTCCAGTTCCTTCTTCTATTAGGTGAGATAGTTCAGGAGTGCCTTGACAGTAGGGCCACCAGACTTATAGTTCATTTCCTCTTAAGGCTCCAGCATCAGTCCTTTCCTTGTGAAGCTCCCCTAAGTTCTTGAATCTGCTTTGTCTGATAGCCCTCTCGAGGTTGCGCTCACCCCTGTTGCTTGGTCACCTTTCCCTCACACACTCAGTTCCTTCCTGTCAGCTTTCCTTTAATATATTCCATTATAGCAGTCAGGACAACTGTCAAGTCAGCAGTCTTTCTCAAGAGCTTTTTATGGGACAGAAATGCCTGACAAGAAACTGAACTCTTCCACAATATTCTAACCTTCTGAGCTAGTGGATTAATTTTTGATAGCTGTTAGCTGCAATCATCAATATTCAAACAAATATTTGACTTTGTGGGATGAATCTAGAATAAGTGGTCATTTCAATTTTTAAACTAAATGATCGGAAAGAATAAACTTTTCCAGGATACTCTGATTTTCTAAGCTGCACCTAAGAGAATATTGTTGAGTTATTGGTCTTTACAATAATACATTTACAGTATATGCTTACCATAATATTCCCACTTGGCCACTGGGGCAACTGCTATCCCACACTTGAAGAGTCCAGTTCCAGCACCCAGAGCCATAGAGCTGACATAACCACCGTAAGACTAAAGACAAAAAATTATTACAATTTCAATAAGCACATGTATGGAAAAGCACATATAGGGCAGTGACAAGATAGAGCTACTCACCCATCCCCATATTGCGATTCTGTCTTTATCAATAAAACCCATGTCGATGAATTTCCTACAACACAAAAACATTTTTTACAGCAAAAACAATCACTCATTATTTTAATTCAAAATTCACAAACTTTATTGGCAAGATTGTATCCTGATATGATCTTTTTATTTAGTTTTCTTCTCCTGGTTTTATTTGAGTGTATTGTGTGTATTGTCCCTTGTGTTTCTGTTCCCTAGTGTTCCTGTTCCCCTGTAGTCCAGTCTTGTTAGTTTTCAGTTTGTGTTTGACCCTGTTTCCCTCCTGTTTCTGTGTTTTATTCTTTAGATCAGTTTCCAGTGTTTCCTGTTTTATTTCGTAGTAGTTTATTCCCTGTGTTTCTAGTCTAGTTTTACTTTCCCAGTTTTCCCTCCTTTGTTAATCACTCATGAGTTTCACCTGTTGCTCGTTAGCCTCACCTGTTGATCGTTAGCCTCACCTGTTGCTCGTTAGCCTCACCTGTTGATGTGTATGCATGTCTGCCTGTTCTCTGTGATCTTTTATGTGTAAAGCCTTCGTCTCCTGATGTGTTTTTTTTTATGTAAGTTTTTGTTGCTTTTTATTTTATTCTTATTTTTTGTTCTGCATTTGGGTCCTTTTTCCACTGTTCAAATCAACTCTTCATTGAAGACTGCTTAATGTTGCCTACTCTGTCTTAGAGTGCTGATGAAGTCCAGGAGGTGACACTTTTTACCTCACAGCTGTTATCTGATCTTCAACTTCCAATGTCCCAAGGCGTTTGTAAATGGAGTGCAACAGATCGTCACCTTGGTAACCGCTGCCCCTTCCATCCAAACTGGCAACGATGATCTCATGTGAACTGGAGAGGTAAGTGCCCCAGTTCAGCTTGAACCGATAGCTCACCCTTTGATCACAGGGGCCGGCATACCTGCACAGGTCAGGAACAGACAACAGTTAGTGTTTTTTTTTTTTGTTTTGTTTCTTTGAATTAACCCGAGGCAGAGTGTGAAGAACTGATTACTCACACATCGATGAGGAGAGGGTATTTTTTAGTCTTCTGGAAATTTGGAGGCAACATCATTTGATACCACATATCTATTGGAGAAAAGAGGGTGTACGTGTACAAACAGACAGATTTATTCCTGACTGAATTCTGTTTGGTATGCATAAAATTGTAACTGTTTCCTCAATTAGGAAGAAAGAAGTGTGCATGTAAAAACAGACAGATTTATTCCTGACTGAATTCTTGATGGTATGTATCAAATATATATGGTAACTGTTTCCTCAATTTGGAAGATATGAAGAAAGAAAATCAATTTAAATCCACCATTTGAAACCGATCTGTCACCTTCTTTTGAAACACAATTTATTCAAAGTTTACAGCAAAATACAAGATATATAAACTTTCTTCATCTTAAAATCACTGGCTGCGTTTTAAGGGACACTAATAGTTGGAATAAATATTCGATTGGAATAAAAATGTGACATGATAACACGTTGATAGGAAGATTCTGATCCATTTAAGCTCAATCGGGAAGAAATTGTATTCAGATCAAGAGATTTATGCCAATCGTAAACACTCATTCCGATCGTGACTCTCTAACCTGACTCAATCTTCACTCTTTAGACTTTGGCATATTTTTTGAGGCCAGTACAGGAGGTTTCATTTTTAACACTCTGGCATATAACACAACCGCAGGTGCCGTGTCTGCTCCTCCAGTAACATAACAAGGCGTACATACAGCGTAATGATCTGCACGCACAGTGTAACCTTTGACGGTACAGTAAAATAATGGATTGGCAACATTCAACGGGGGGAAAACTCCCGAATTGAATGGAGTGAGCCACTACCACGTTTGTTGGTTTGTTGACAGCACAGGCGTAAACACAACTTTTCTTCTACGGTTGTTTTAGCGAAATCAGACAACTCTGCGCATGTCCAAATGCTTCTAATCTGAATAAAGCTTGGTGCACATAAAATCATCATGATCGGATTATTTGATTTTGCACCTATATAAACAGTAGATTCAGATTGTCCGATCCCTGAAATTTATAATCAGATTAAGAAATTTTGCCCATGTTAACATGGCTAATGTGGGTTTCTATCATTTGTGTTGTACCTTGAATATGAGTCCTTTTTTCACTGCACTTATCAAATACTCATAAAAAAGTCTCTTAAATTGGCCAAACTCCCAATTAAACATGCAGAGGTAGACGGATTGTTATATTAGAGTACTTTTGTAGTCTATTTGAAGAAAACACACGACATGAGATTTTCATGCAAAGCAGAGGAGCCACACTTATAGATATTGCCTCACCAAATCCTGCGATCCTCAGTGTGCCATACTGCATCGTTGGCATTTGAAATTCTGACAGAACATTTTCCAGCTCCTTGTTGTCCTCAAGAACAGCCAGCTCTGAAAATTGATGAAAGGATAACGATCACTGAAACCTGGAATCAAACCAGCACCAAAAACATCTCAAATATGCCACCAAAACTATTAAGAGCTTCAACTTTATCATCATCATCATCACTGGCAGGCTTGTGGCTAACACAAGAAAGTTAAAGTAGTCACTTTCTCTAGAACCCAAATGAGCCAAACCCGTGGTTGCTTAAGCTCATTTGTCTTCTGCACCAACATCCAAATCAGCCAGTGAAATTAAGGAAAAATAAATTACAACTTGGCAGATTTATATGAAACATAAATGATGTGGTTTTATTTGTTAAATGATGATATTTCATCTATAGGCATTGGGTATGAACGTATTTGATTTCATGAGTATACAGACCTTCACTTGACCCTGAGTTGTCCATGAGGGTGTAAAGGGGGAACCCAGGTCCTGGTTTAAACAACATGAGAAAATGTAAGTTTATTGTAGATCAGGACCTTTGTATGACCAGAGAACTAAATATAGTTCACAACCTCTATGTTCTCTAACACATTAACAGTGGGTGACTTATTGCTTATGAAGATATGCGGATGTGTAACTGACCGTAGCAGTCCATTCGGTAGTACGAGGCGTTGAAGCTGAAGTAACCTAAGTTGTACTGACACCTGTCCCCGTACAGACCGCAGGTGAGGCACTGAGGAGCAGAGGGGCTGCCTCCAATCATAACTCTGACAAACAAACAAGAAGCAACCTGCATCATTCAAGTCATGCCAGTTCACAGAGACACAATAAAATGACTGCAAATAAGACATAAAATGTCAAGTTTCGCTAAAAATAATCCTTACTTGTAAAGATTTCTCTTTACAGGAATGCCTTGGTACTCATTGCTCACAAAATATCTGGAAAGAAATAGTGTAAATATATCAGACAAACATGCATTTATTTAAAAAAAAAAACCTTTCTGCTTGTCGTTATTTTTGAAAAATATCTGATATCATCACTCACATGGCATCTTTAGTTAATTTGGTTATGTAGATGACTTCCCACTTCCCTGAGGTAATAGGTTTTGCTTGGCCCTGAACAACATACCCTCAGTTAATACGACATGATCAAACATGATTATGAGAGGAAAAAAGAAAGGAAAAAAAGAAAAAAAACGCTTACGTTTGTTATATGATGGATGTGTTTGTAGCCCTTAGTATCACTCATCACTTTGTAGAAACTAAGTTTGTCTTCAGTAAAGAACAGAGGCAGGGGCACATACTAAAAAAAAGATATTTCATACTTCGTTGAACGATTAAACCACAGTACAAAAACCAACAGGAGTAACTTTTTAAAACTTACATGGCCGATCCAGCCTGTCTTACTTCTCTGCTCAAATTTCTAGAAAGAAGCAGATATGTTTATTTCAGTTAGTCTTTTAAATAATCTATTTTGAAATCACTTGTGCTTTCCGTAGCAGACAGCTACCTGACTTTCTCTCCAATTGCTTCCATCAAAGTCATAAAACTGTACGACCAGGTAATTCTGCTGTCTGGTGAGCCACTGCACGGCGAGGCGTTCATCTGTAAGCCAGTTCACTGAGCACAAAATGTGATCACTGAGCAAAAGTGACAGAAGGTGACAAGATTTTTACATCAGACAGAACAGGAGGAGGATGGATTTGCCTTTAGTGTTAAGAGATGACGTAAACTAAAGAGCATACAGACCCAGAAGCCACAGAGGCGGGGGGGAGCACCTGAGAGCGGCGGGACAGATTTGTCGTGTCAACCACAAACAGTTTCACCTTGGTGAGGGACGACCCAGCCTACAGCCAACACAAAAGGAGTCAGAAAAATCATTATGGTGAAGAGTTAAAAGACAACAACCAAACAATACTGACATTTACAGCATTAAAGGGAATATAACACAGATTCATCTACCCCTCTTGATTTAAATGAAAGATTCTGCATAAAATCCATCCCAGAACATCTTTGCTTTAGGCTCTGTCTGTGTCTGTGCCCCAGAAACCCCTCAGAGGGATCCTGTGGAGGTTTAAATCCACCCACTGTCTTCACATGGTGAAGATGCTGAACATCTTGTTCTGACAGTCCTGTAAACAGACTGTTGCAGTAATCTATTCAGCTGGAAGTAAAAGCATGTACAAGTCTCTCATGTTCTTGTTTTGACATTACTCCTCGGACTGTGAATGTTTTTAAATGGTGAAAAGCAGAGGAGGTAACTGTGTTGATATGGTGGTGGAAACTTAAATCTAAGTCTGGAGTAACTCCAAGATTTCTTGTTTTAGTCGAAGCTACGAGGGAGAGAGACTGGAGGTGAGAGCTGGGAACTAAATAACCATGATAGGCTACTTTATTACTTATTTATTCTCCACCTCAGAAATCAAGACATACGGACTTATGAATGATTGAAAACTTTTTAAGGCCTGCTAGTTTGTGTGATTTGGATAAAAGCTTTTTAGTACCTTTAGATCCCATAACAAAGCCTGTATGATGCAAAACACAGCCTCCTGTTATTTTACACTTTTTCCAGCCACACCTAAGGACAGTCTATCACAATATCTACTATTTGTTTAATCATGACTTCACCATGTGTTTTGGAGTAAAGACTTCAATGTTTGGTTCATACGAAGCAGCTGGTATTTAACTGAGTGACAGAAATGGTTCTTAAATTAAGGCAAAAGTTGAAAATTTCCAAGTAAAGAGCAAGAAGTCATGTGCAGTTCATATATGAGAATCACAGAGTAATAAAGAGGAGATAAAAACTAAGGCTTGTAATTTCATTCATTTAACCCATCCAGGTTTTTTTTTTTACCTTGAACTGAAGAGCTTGTGCACAGAGGGCGCCAGAATAAAAATAAACTGCATGGTCCTCGCAGCTGCTTTAACATAAATATTTTATACTTGATATTTGCAGCTGTTTAATGATTATTTTCACTGGATAAAAATCCTTCTTACAGTCCTACTGTCGACTAAATCTGTAAGGTTATAACAGGAAAAACTCCATTCATGCCCACCAGAGTTTGACATAATTAATTTATGTAATATTTTGTTCCTACACTTGACTCTAAATCTGTTCCTTTCCATCAATTCACTTAATCCACAAATACAAAAATTAGAACGAGAAGTTTGGATTCACACAAATTTGGAGGTTTTACCAGAATAAAAGACAAAATTGGATCACCTGATCTTTACTAATTTTACAATCTATCTGTGTTGTTTGTACAAACAGTTTTTAGGGATATGATTTGATCTGAAAGCTTCAATCTAATTTGATTACTCTGAAACAACTGGGACCTGGATATTTCATGTAATCCATGAGTGGCCAACCTTTGGGTACGGGACAGCAACGGTTTCTGGATATTGCTCAGATCCATACCAGGAGTACTCCACTTTCTGGACCTCTGTGTCATTAAACTCTGCATAAGCTAAAAGTGCGCCAGTCGTCGACCACCATATTGCCCCGGTGGCTGCAAATACTTCCTCTGAAACAGCAGGAGACGAAGAGAAATCCATCATCATTTATCAAGACAGTCCCATATCTTCTAAAAGACAAACCAATCTTACCCTCGTACACCCAGTCAGGGACGCCATTGAGGATCACATTCTTTTTCCCATTGAAGGTCAACTGGACAGCTTCGGCATTGACGCCAGATCGGACAAAAATATTGTAATCAACAACATAAGCCTGGAAAGTAAATGTTTTTAGTTATAGTTTCCGGTGTTTGAGTGAGTTAACATATTCTATTCATAAATCTACTTTTCAGTATCTGATGTGTTTTTGTAAACATCAATATGTTTCCTGAAGTACATAGGTAGTAAATTTAAAAGGCAGTGATGAAGAAGACAAATAGTAGTCATTTTAACTCAATGTGAGGTCACAGCATCCCTTATGGTGTAAACTTACATATCTGTTTCCTGTTGGGGCCCAGACAAAGTACTGCATGACTGGTGGAAGACTCACAGAAGTAATAAAAGTTCTGAGAGAAAAAGTGAAAATAATTCAACTGAAATAATAAACAATACACTCTGTACACTGACAAAGAATTTCCAAAATCATACTTAAAAAAACACACAGTTTCATCTGCTTTCTCATGTAAAAGTTTGTAATATCCACGAGATGAAACACGTCAACTTACGCACGGTCTATGTCATAGATGGAATACGAGGCTGTGTATGAATGTCTCCATTGCTGTTAGAGTTACAAAAAAATGAGAAAGAAAAAACACCTTTTTATGGGGGTTTGATATAAAGTAATGTCATTATCAAACTCAAACTGACAACTATATTATAATACAAAAAATGTTAAAGACAGACACGCAAACCCACGGAGAAACCAGTATTTCTCACCTTTGTGAAATTGCTTTCAAAAGCAATGTACTTATAATCTCCAGACAGGAGGTAATCTATAGCATCCACTTGCTCCTGCAACATCAAGATCAGGATTGAGTATTTCAAAGATATATTTGGGGGGATTAAGTGATCATATTATTTTAATAAAGTGTATTACAAATGTTAAATTGCTCAAAAAAAGTGACTCCTCTCTTGTTTCAGCATTGTGACGGAAGACGTTCCCATCTCTTGTTTTATGCAGGTACTCCGTGTCTGATTTAGTAGATGATAAAATATTCTTGTGAGACATATTTTAATGCAAAATAAACATTGATATTCTATCTCGCCAGAGGGAGCATCTAATGTAAGGGGGGTGTACTTCACCTGATATCCAGTACAAGTTGTAGGATCTCCACCTAATAGTGTCATTGAAGTAATCTTCAAGGGTGAAAGGCCTTTTGGTCCCATCTGACTCTAAAATGATGCACATGTGGATTTTATTTCAACAGAACCAGGGCAGAAGTGAAGAAAAACCAGTGCACTCAGAAATAAGCATGCACACAAGGTGGCGCTACTTCAGCAGCATGCAGAGAGGACACTGCAGAATCAATTTATCCAACTTTGACAGACTAACAGGTCAGACACACACACACACACACACACACACACACACACACACACACACACACACACACACACACACACACACACACACACACACACACACACACACACACAGGGGCAGGGCACTTTTTGGTTTTAGGTTTTAAAGTTGCACAAGTTGTTTTTCACTGATTTCACTCATCACTCCAACAGTCAGCAGCGGGCACAACCAAAAAAAAAAAGACACCATGCAGAAAGAGGCCCGAGCTGTGACTTACTTTTATTGTTTAAATAAACTGCCGTGATTGTTATTAACGTGATGACGACAACCGCTCCTACCACCCCCAACAGCAGCTTGCTGCAGCCCTGCAAAGGTGACACAAAAGTTTAAACACTAAGAAAAGTTCCTCTGAAGTCACACAGCGTAAGATGAGGTTGCGTTCAGGGTCCCGTTTGGCTGTCATTCATGTTTTGTTATCCCGCTGCCCAGTGAGCACTCCACTCCACTCCACTGTCCTCACAGTGTGTAATTCTGCATTTGTTCGAGTTTTTCCTTTACCTCCATAACTGAAGATGACAGTAAATCGAGTACTGACCATGACGTGGGAGAACTAAGACGTCGTCGTGCAGCTTCTCCTCAGTCTTAAAAATCCTCGAAAGTCGGCGGTGTGGCGTTTAAAGTCACTTCTTGGGGAAGCAGCTTGGCTAACATAGTCTCACAAAACCTCCTGACAAAAGGGTGTAAACTAAAGATGGTAACAGAAGAATACCGAGCTCCTTCCTTCTTCAGCCTCTTACACTTCCCGCTGCATTCCTGAAAAGAAGTCCGACACCAGAACAGACAGATATATCTCCCCGAAGTCAGCAGCTTGCACAACTTTTCCAAGAGCGCACAACTTGCTAGAATTTGGGAAGTGGCTTTTTCACTGAGGGAACGAGTCATTCACATCTGCTTGACCTCCCAGGTTGACTCTGCAGATTTATTCCACATTTTTCACCAATGAGAAAACAATGCAAAGTCAGGCAATTAGAGTGAAAGAGTTTTATTTGTGCATGGGTTCAATAGTACAATGAAACACTAACACATTAATGACCATTGGCTCGATATGATGTGTTCTTGCCAAAGGAGATCTGGTCAAGCAGGTAACCTATCATAAGGAAGCATTCTTAAAAATTAGACCTAAAAATAGATGCTCTAACTGGCTCAACAGGAGTGACTCACTAACAGTTGGATTTGATGGAAAATCACCAGCACCTGTTTGTCTGCTTGTATGCTGACAGGTGGGCTCTGAGGGGCCATATCAGGCTCAGTGGCTTCAATCCCATGAGCCCACAGGGCTCTGAGAGGATTTTAATAGATAAATTTATGCATTTTTCCTGTTGAGCTTGCATCAGAAATGCTCTTTTCTTTTTGACTTTTAAACAGAAATTCAGCTTTGATGAAACTCATGCATCCCCAAAACCACAAACTTATATTTTAACAACCACAGATATTTTTTTATTAACCTTTCACCAATAAAATAACAACCATTCTGATACTGGAAGCTTGTTTATGTAAGTCAGTCTTCATCGTCGGAGCTCGATGCCATCTGTGCTGCATGTTCAACGTAGTCAAACAGAGAGAACTTGACAGGGAGGTCCTTCCACTTGTTGCATTTGTTGATCTTCTTTCCGTTGACCTTCACTGTAAAGTTTTTCACGTGGAGACAGGGGCACTCGAGCCCCTTGTACTGCATCATTGAACCCCATCTCTGCAATGGAAACCGTAAATTAGAACTTAAAGGCATCTACTAGCTACACTGATCCTATCTGCACCTTGAGGTGAAATGTAGCTCGAGAAAAATGGCTACCAGGGAGTGATGGCTTTGGAAAAAAGATCTCCATGGAATCTTTTTGTATCTTGTGATTCTCTGACTCATTGTTTTTCACATTTGGTACAACTTAACTTAGTAGAGATGGCAGGTCTTGAGTCATCTTACACTTCTCTGTTGTTCTCTTCCAATGACAGCTGTGGCCTTCAGCTATCCAAAATGAAGTCACTCTGAATGGTGCCATATTCTAGTTTGATGGTTGTGGCGACATATATACCGTAATGACATGAAAGTATTTATCAGTCTCCTAACTTTAAGCCAGAAGGAGAATAAACGCATATGGAAAACTTCAGAGTAGTCGCTACCAACAGAACTCTTTGAACTAAATAGGTGCTTTTCAGTTCTGGGGAGAAAAACTGGGTGGGCTTAAAGTGTTGACACAACAGCCAAAGTTTTTACCAAGCCTAACAGTGAATCTTGTGTGGTAGGTCAGGGGGAGTTGATGTGGGAACAAAGCAGGATATATGAAAAAAATTAAACTAGAGCCATCAGCCGGAGATGGCATTTGTAATTATCTGAAGTATTTATCTGGATTATATCTGAATTTAATTGGAACGATACAAGTGAGCAGGAGCGTCTGTTTGTGGGCGGGGCTTTCTGGAGCAGAGAGGGAGGGAAGAGGAGGAGCTGAGTGGTTGGGAGGGGTAGAGTTTACATTCAAGATTTCTCCCAAAAAACTTGCACTTCCTCAGATCCTGCCTACCCCATCTTTAACAGTTTAGATACCAGAGTCATGATACTGGTAACATTACAGTGCTGATGTGCAAAAAGATTAATATACTTCAACAAGATGCTTCATTTTGCTCATTTCACTACAGACAACTGGCTGCTCATCTTAAACCAAATCGATGACCTTATTACCACTTTGTTCTCGTAAGGGAATGACTTACAATTTTATTATTGTGAGTAAATGACTTTCTTACAACTTTTTGTCTTCACTGAAAGTCCTGTCTACCCCAGAAGCCCCAGAAAAGAACATTGTCTAGATTGAAGCATGAAAGCTTTCAATACTGTTCTTTCAACAACAACAAAAGAGCAACTAAAATACATTTACCTGCCCGCAGTTTTTGCATGCTATGAAGCCATTCGTCTCGTAATCTAGGAGCCTCTCCTGTAGACTGGTGTTTTCTCTCTGAATGAAAAGCTCCCTGAAATAAAGAAAACATTAGTATTAATTGGATGGTGGTAGAAATACTTGACTTATCATCTCTGTGGTGTAATTCATACTTAAACTCTGATGTCACGTTGACTCTGTGCACGTTTTCGATGACCTGGATGTCTTCCCCTGTACACACTGGCTTGCTGCAGCTACGGCAGCTTAACTTGACGTCAGATGGGTTCTCGTTCCTGACGTCTTTCTGCCTTTTCTTTGTCATCCTCACCTTCTCTTCCATTACAGACTGAAACTGGAACTCTGTGATCTGACGAGAAAAAAAACATCATTGAGAGGAGTCTAACAGCGTAGACATAGGTTTCCCTTTAACCTGAAACACACAAACCTTTTTGTCATAGTCCTCTCGAGATAAGGCCCTGATTTTTATGATGGCTTTGTTCATCATTTTGATGCGGTACTCATTGACACACTCCTTTTCAGCAACCCAAGAGCCTTTGACCTCGATCAAAATGTAGCTGCTGTCCTCAGCTCTACCTCTTCCTCTGGCCTGGATATTTGAAAAAAAGTCAGCCACTCAGATATTTTAAATTTACATGAACAAAGAAACAAAGAAGTCATTAAACGCATCACATTTCACTCAATCTTTATATTTCGTTGATTTTAAACCATTTGTTGTATAATTTTCCACCATCAAGCTGAGATAAAACTGCATATGATAACTAACTTGACTGACCTGAATCATACCAATCTCATTAGTCAGTTGGCCATATTGTATCACAATATTGCACGCTGGTATGTCCAAACCTTCCTCAGCCACTGAGGTAGCGATCAGCAGGTTGACTTCCCCTTTGCCGAACTTCTTCAGCACGTCCTTTTGCTCGGCCTGAGAAACACAGTTTTGCACTGAGCAGGTTAAACCCAGTTACATTTATGTACGGGCTTTTCAGTTTGAAAAGTAACATTCACTCACAGCCGTCATTGGTTTGACAACACTCTGGTCTCCTCCTCCAATTATATATGAGGCTTTCACCCCGATGTCCGAGAACTTTGGGTTTTCTCGGATCCAGTGAGTTAGGGCGAGGGCGCTGCGCCGAGTTTTGGTGAAGAGGATCCCCCTAGCTGTCTCCCGGGTACTGAATTCTTGCAGAATACTACTCCTGAGTTTGGACAGGCTGTCATTTTCATACTCTGGCATGTTTGCAAGCTGCTGCAACTCATCCTTGCTCTCTGCAAAACAGATTTAAAACCCTGAGGTCAACTCTTTGTTTTCTTTAAACATGTAAGAAATTACTTTCTTTGGGGTACTGATTTGAATTTCACAAATCACTTCAGATTGCACCTCCTACTGCCTCCCACTGCAGGCAGCTTGTTAGCTTAGCTCAGCAAATATTAGATTAAGCCAGAAAAAATAGAGGCCTTACAATTAAATGCAACAAAAGTACAGCTTAGAAAGGAAAATAATGATGACACTGCAATACCTCTGAACAAGTTGAAGAGGAATCTCTCAGTGTCTGTTATTTGTATGGGCTCCTCCTCCTCCGGTGGTGACTTCTTCTTTAACTCATCCTCATGGAATTTGTTCAGGAAACTGAAGGAATCACACATGCGAATGGTGTTGCTGAGATTCAGGCCTTCATTGTACTGCCGAAGGTGCTCTGCACAAACCAGCACTTTGTGGTCTTCATCTGTTTCCGCTAGAATAGATTGAGACAGACTTTACAGCCCAGCAAGGAAACTTATTATTGTAGGTTTGACACCACTGAACCAAAGGGTTGGAGGGTTGGTGTCCCTGGAGAAAGCATGAAGATTTACGCTTACCTAATCGCTCTCTTTGAACAACCCACTGTTCATAATTCTGAGAACCCAGTTCACAGGTGGGACTCAGGTCAGCATGGACATGAATGGCATTCATGATTTTCTTGATGACGTCACCAAAGGGATCCTGAACAAAGATTTGGACACAAACTTAAAGGAGGTTTTAAAACAGTTATGACTTATTAAAATGATAAGCTCTCAAACAAACGTACCATTTTTCTGTCTTCAACAGTTACAATTTTTGTCCTTTGGTCCTTTTTGAACTCCCCCAGGTTTCCTGTCATGATATTGGAAGCATCCAAGTTTGCACAGATCTATAAAAAAGACACAGATTTGCAGTGTAAGAATGAATCAAATCATAAATCAATCAGAGTGATTCATCCACAGCCTGATTCAAACGTCTGTTTCTGTGACTTTGACATGAAGCTAAAAGACTATAATTCATCTACTTTCATGGCCACAGAGAACTTTATGGCTGCTCTGACTACACAGGCAGTGTGGAATATCAGAAACAGCTTTGCTGGGTGAATATGATCCTTGGCAGCAGTGAGACAGGGAAGAGGGCGGGGGCCGAAGGAAGAGAATTAGGTTGTTTGTTTGATTGATTTCCAGAAAACTGAATCCAGCAACAAAATTTATCGCAACCAAATAGAGTAATTTCTGCTTTGGTGAAGATGACAATGATAAAACTGTAATAAAGTTATTTTAACTACTAAGGTATTCAAAAGGCAGAGCTTCCAGAGTTTTTTAGGTGTGTAATCTACATATCAAAGCAGACAGCCAATTATTATTCACCGACTTTCTCTTATTTCTGTTTTCCATATCAAATGTTGCACAGGCCTAGGCATAAACAAAATAAGATGCATTGGGAACTTTCTAAAGAAATAACCTGATTTTTCCAAAATTCACAAAAAGAGGGGGAAAAAAGCTGCAAAAGTCTTGTCAGTGGGATGAGTGAGATATCGATAAGAAAAGACCGATGGATAAATCTCTGTAATTTATGTTATTGTACATCAACCAATGGCAGTGTAAATTATTAAATTTTGCTATGTGTTTAATCTTATTTAAAATTGATGTCAGATGTGCATGTTATGATAAATACATTTACACAGACTTCAAGGGATATTCCAGCATAAATTAAAGTTATGGTCAAACACACCATAACACCGAGTTAGACACCCCATCGAGTGATGAATATTGCAGACCGCTTGCTTCTCTAGTTTTACCAACTTTAGTAACAACCGATAGCAATACACAGCAGTCTATGTCTCCACACACGAACCTCAGTCTCCAAAGCCACAAATAACACAAATAACTTGGTGATCGACTCGTCAGGGCTCCCCTACAAACAAGTGGCTGCTGGAGGAGAGTAGGTGAGTTGTGTTTGGTCTCTCAAGGAAATGATAAAGAAATGATCATAAATGTTCTTCCTTGAGCTGCATCACCCCACAGCAGTCAACAATGGGCAAGTCCGAGGTCATGCAACAAACAAGCGGCTGATGTCGGGGATGGGTGAGTTGTATTTAGTCTCTTTGCTAAAGGAATCAGGCAAAGCTAAAAAGATGTTTGGTAGCTAGTGCTATGGCTGCGACCCTATATGTACTGTTGATGAAGTTAGGTGCTGTTCTGAGCATTATTTGTGGCTATAGAGTGGCTTTTTGGTTGAGGTTTACATGTGGAGATGTAGACTGCTGTGTATTGCTATCGGTTGTTACTAAAGCTGGAATGATTAGAGAAGCAAGCGGTCGGCAACATTCAGCTCTTGAGGGGGTGTCTAACTCAGTGTTACGGTGTGTTTGACCATAACTTAAATTTACACCTGAATATCCCTTTAACTATCCTGGTCATGAGAGTCATACTCATTCTAATCATATTTGGGAAACTGTTTATGCACACAGAGAAACTCGCTTACTCACATCCCTGAGGACGTTATGGTTATTTGTATCCATGTTTCTAATTATTGTGTCTTAGTCATGCAGGCGCACGCACCACAAAACACGCACCACAAAAACTTTGAGATCGTTTAAAATGAGACCACTGTGGTTTGCAGATTCAGCGCTGTTAGACATCACTTGGCCTGTGCAGAATCACATTTTACTTTTAGCACTCTCAGGTAGCTAAATAAGGTCTTTCCAGTTATTGTGATTTGTCCATGTTTACATGCACAAATCCAAGCGGCTGCCTAATCTACTCTGATTAATTAGTTCCTTATTCATACATTGTGCACATGAGTGAATGCTGTATGTTGCTAACACTGTAGCCTCCCTAGATGGACACAGAAAGCAGAGAAAGATTTTTACGCGTAGTATGTGCTCCTCAGCTTGCGCCATTCTCGTGGCTTCCCCGACCCCTGGTGAGGCAGTCAGGCCTAGGATCTGAGGGAGGGGCACCGTCTCCTTCCCCTCCTTCTTCTGCCTTCTGTTCTTGTGCTTCTGCTTCAGGTAACGCATCATGATGTGGTTGTAGACCTCTCCTTTTTGAGTGTGGTGGCACTCATCTATGACGATCAGGGACAGATCTGTGGCACATAAGCAGAAGACATGTTAATACGTGCATCACAAGGAGCAACATGGGGGGAAGCTGCAGTGAGTTACAGCAGGATAATTACAGAGTTAGCATAAGCACAGTTAAAAGTGAGTGTTTTAAATCAGATTACAGCCTCTTTTGTCAGTGGGACAGCACGTACTCTTAAATTATCACCACAGACTAAAATACATGCATCTCAAGACACATTACAATGTTCTCAACCTGACAGTGCTCCATTGTGTCATTTATTTACAAAACTCACAAACTATAACCTCCTCCTGTCAGGGAGACATCCTCCCACACAAACCAGGTCTTTTTTAGGAACCTGATGCAGCAGTTAAAGCCACACAATAACAAACCGAAAAGATCCTCTTTATACATAAGGTCTTGTGGTTTATTTTTATAATTTTCAAATAAGTAATTAGGAGGTGAACTAAAATCTTTTTAGATAAAAAAAAACATGTATGAGCTAAAGCAGGGTGGTAGTCTCTGGAGAAGGAGAGTATAGAGAGTTGCAGCCTGATGTACAGTGGCTGATAGAAGCTCTCATGTGAATTAGATCAGCCACACACTGATGTCTTGAACAGACGTGTGGCCTGGAAAGCAGGAGATCGGAAAAAAAAAAAAAAAACGCTTTCAGGCGTTTCAACAAACAGCATATGTTCCACTGAGGTGGCTATTCCACCTTGGACTGGTGAGTGCCAACAAGAGTGAACAGCAGAGCCGGAAGACTTTGACAAGATCCTGTCAGGTATTATCAGGGGAGATGTTATGAGTCCTCCGGGTGGCTTTCTATTCCAATAGCTGTCAGTGTCTGAGGTTGAAGCCTGGGCAGACTTTAACTGAAGGCTTTAGGACGCTGTTTTAGAAAAATAATGGTCCAGACATTGTATGGATTATTAACATTTTTTCAAGCTAACTTAAACCAAGTGAAATTCTTGTGCTCATACCGCTTAAGTTAACCCCTTCGTCCTCCTCGCTGTTGGACCGCTCCAAGTAATTCTCCAGAATCTGGGCCGTGCAAATGATGACGTCATTCCTCTTCATGATCTCTGTGAAGGAGATCTTGTGCTGGCAGTCTCCGCTGACTCTCTCCAGTTTATATGTGCGCTTCAAGAAAGGCAGGAACTCTGCGGAGTAATGCTGCTCCACGAGGGGAACCTGCACCACACCAGAACACACTAAATCTGTCAGTGTTGATGCAGAAAAAACGTCAAGTAATCCAACAGAAATAAATACATGCCACTCAGAATCAGAACAAGGAAATGCCTGCATTATTTTGATAACTGCAATGCCAATGATGAGCTGATTTAAGGAGTGTTTGGCTCGTAAATAAATATATCCAGACATGACATGATGATTTAGTCGTTCTTTGTTCAAGACCCAACCATAAAGTCACTCCCCTCTCTGCAGAGACAACTAAAATACCTTCTGTTCTTGGAAGTTCCAAAGAAACTTGGCCAGTCACATACCATCACTGTTTCTCAAACTTTTTTCTAATACGGCTCAATAGTTTTATGGCTGGAAAAGCTTTAATCCAAAACTATGATTCTTTCCAAGGCAGAGCAGACTAAGGCAGGGCCAAATAGTAACAAAGTGCAGGGGAATATCTAAACCTCCTGGCATGTATTTTGTGGTGAGCTGACCCACATGTGCAAATTGACTGAAAGATTGAATGTTTTTCTTTGGGTTTGAATGGGATGAAAGTAGGTTACCATAATAGTGCAGTACGGTGATTGAGGAATGTACCTTGTTCACCAGGACGACCACTTTCCCTGGTCGCCCTTCGGCCCTCCTGCTGTCCAGATGTGTTTTGGTAATGTAAACTGCAACTCTGGTTTTACCGCTTCCTGTCGGGAGGCATATGATGACGTTTTTCCCCTCCAAGGCAGGTCTAGCGACGTCCATCTGATAATCTCGAAGAACAATATGTGCTGTTTCTGGGCCTCTGGTTGCTGTGTCTGAGTCAGTCCCAGCTGTAATGCAGAGCAGATTTCAGACTTCTGTGTGTGTCAGCAAGCCACAATTACAGGCATCAGCAGCAGGAAACCTCTGGACTTGTCACTGTTGTTTCTGTCCAGTAGAGGAATGTTTATTTTCAATGCTGGAAAAACATGCAGAATGCATATGCACAGGGGCGGATCCACAATTTTTAGACTGGGGTGGCCCAGCTGGGGCACTGACATCATACTTTTGTCTTATCACAGCACATTTACTTAGGTGTCTGGGAGTAAATCTTTAAAGACCCACTCCAATGAAAATCATATTTTTCTTGTTGTCTATATGTTCATATGTAGGGTGACCATATTCTGGCTTCCCAAAAAGAGGACACGACTATGCAGGGGCAGAGTCAGGGAGTCACACAAAGTTAGTTTTGAGAGTTTTTTGGGTCAGATCGAGTGTCTACTATGCGCTTCTAACTCAGTAAGTCCACGAGACACAAAATCGAAACTTATGTACAAAACTGCGGACATTTGAAGGATTTTATACACTTTTTTTTACAAAGCTGGACAAGCCCAGACGGGCCAGACAGCTCCCAAAAAAGAGGACATGTCCGGGTAAAAGAGGACATATGGTCACCCTTTTCATATGTCATTTCTCTGATGCTACAGGATGTATCATGAGAAAAGTAAGTGTGAAATTGCATTTCTCAGTATTTCTGCATTCAAATCGCTGTGAACCTCTGGCAGACCTAAACAGCATGCTTAGAAACAGTGAGATTTCCTATGTAGCAAATCCAAGCTCCGCCCCCGGAACCCTGCTTTGCAGGCCAGACTCTGAAAAACCAAGAGGACGATTGCCGAACTAGTGTGTGGGTTGGCGGATTGCAGTGCTCTTAAGAAAGCTAATTGTGATATTAGCTTTCATCATGTCCCCAAAGACAATAGTATCCGAGAGCTGAATAGCTCCTATGTTACCTGCCACTTCTACTACACCAGCAAAGTTAGGCTACAAGCTAACGTGAAGAGGAGTTCACTGCTGTCTCCGCTTACGACTCAGAAGCGAATTGCTAATGAGCTACTGGAGCTCTGCAGAAGAAAAGCTCTTGAAAATGACACAGGTAACGTGATTTTGGCTAAAAACTTCATAATCACAACTTAAAGACCACTGAGAACACTTGAAGTAGTAAAAATAAATGATTGGAGTGGGACTTTAAGGAATAAAAAACAAGATTCATGCAAAAAGTCACAGAAAAGAAAAGAAAAATCATTCAGTAGTTTTCATAGAGTGGTACTTCAGGAGGCAAGGCAGGGTTAGTGCCTCCTTTTAATTGATCCTCCATCTTTTTTTAAGACTAACCTGAACTTTAGATCACCAAGAGGAACACCTTTCGGCTACTTGTCTCAATTATGTTTCTAATCCTGTCTTTTATAGTTCAGGTATGAACACCGGACTCTAATACCAGTTTGTTGTCAACCAGTGTTGCACCATGTTTGCTCAATTAAGACCATAAAGCTTACAGATTTCAAACCTGCACACACAGCCAATAAATGCACTAGATTTAATCACTTACAATTGTGCCATCAAAATCTGAAAAGCAGCTTCATATTTTTTAAGATGAGTCCACCAGAAGGCCTTTGATTTCCTTGCACATACAAGGAAAGGTGGCTCTAAGTGTTATATCCCTTTATCACATGCCAGTTCATGTCTGTTGTAGCGGCTTTGTGTCTTTATTTTTCTGTCCGCGAAGAGTGTAGACTTACTATGATCCACTTCAGACAGACTTAAGGTTGCTGAAGGGCTCTGACGCATTGCTCTGTCTAGGCTGAGGATGAAACGCGACTTAGTGAACACACACCCCCACTTCTCCCTCTTTGCTACCCTCACCCTTTTAACCTGCTGAGTTCTCAAACTCCCCCTAGTTATGAGTTCAAACCCCCAGAAAGCCACTCTTTCCCCTCTTACAGACAGATTTTAATTTTTGCCTCTCAGACTTTGTATGTCAGAGGTTAAAGTGCTCTTTTAGGAAGCTTCATGGCAGTGAATAGACGTCCGCGCTGATGGAGAGGTAGAAGGTTCAACAACAATGGGAAGTAAACACTGGCTTGTGCGGCCCCCTGAATTCCCAGATGATGGAGGTATTAGAGGAGGCCAACAATCAGAGCTGCCATGCCAACAAGCAAAAGAAAAGCCTGCTGGCCTGTTTTTCACTTTGATTAAATGCAGTGAAATTCTGCAAATGCAGTTGATTTTCACAGACTGATTATGCAAAATAAAAAATCCTATCTGATTATTTCTGCTGCCTTGTGAGTTTACATTTTGTCCCTATTCTGTGGTCTGGGCTTATAGTCCTACAGTTAAGAGTTTATATATACACAATGGTTGTCAAACAGGCGTTATTATGTAAGCTCAGAACCACAGAGAAGAAACTGATTCAGTCACTGTTGACATAATCAAACAGGCAGAACATGATCAAAGCCCAGAAGAGGGAGGAAGGCAACTTGAATTTAACTCTGGTTTTACATGACTTCACAACACCTGCCTAAGAGCCAGCATGTGTTTCCCATTTACAGCCCTGCATAGGCGCTGTCCTCTTTGACCCCTTCATGGTTCATCATGATACACACATGGAACAAGTTCTCTGGTGTTAAGCATGCAAGACTGATTAATGTTCCACTTGTTCCAAACATGCTCGTTCTGCCTCTATGATGCCGGTGGGTCTTGTTTCTCTCTCCCTGACAAAAGTTTGCTTTTCATGTGTGGCCTCCAGGGTTGGGACTTTTTGAATACAGACTTTATTTCATATCAGCTTGATCAAGGATGAATCAGTCTGACCTGGTTGTGAGAGCTCCATGCTTTGTGGCGGCGGTTTGGATTCAACACTTGCTCCTTCATACAGATCTGAAATGATACAAATAACTCATTTATGAACAGCAAGAGATAAATCTGGAGGGGCAGCTGGCAGACTGGGGGCTCCGTCCTGCTCCTTTCTCACTCAACACAGCCAGCGAGTCAGTTTCCCAGTATTGATCAATTGTGACATGACTTGATAGCTGGAAATGTCACCAAACACAAGAAATCTAAAGCCAAGCCTCTTGCATACAGTCCAAACTTGGCCTGTATCAAAGTAAGATGATGTACATAACCTTTTAAGTGGTGACGAGGGACATCCTGAGAGGTAAAACATGAACACTAGATGAAGAGGATATTTTAAAAACAAGACGTGAAGAGATTCATGTGTTTTAGGAACAGAGGGGCTAATCTAATTGTGTGTGTCTCTATATGTTATTTAACTATCCAATTAAATTATTAAATGCATTTGAAAAAGAGATACAGGAAACAGTCACTGTTCTAAACTGAGGAGCATTTACTTTTACATAATGGACAAAATAACGAAATCTTTCTATTACAAACTTGAATAAAATTGATATTTTCATTGTATGTGTACAAAATATTTGTGTTTGAATTGTTGAAATAACCTATATTTTTGGACCAAGTTGTCCCTCTAACAGTGAAAATAAATCTGATGTGGCCAGTTTGAACATTAAATTTTCACATCCCTGCTTTAGAGTGACACTAATAAACTTTCATTTTTCTGTAAATTTTGGGCGACCCCTGTAGGACACATTTCAGCCCCTCTCTCTGTGCTGACCCTGTCCAGTACATGCCAAAGAAAATAGGTAATCAGAAGAAATCTGGATCAGGATACTTGCAGTCAAAGCACATGACAAACAGGAACATTACTTCATGAGCCAAATATTGTAAGCCTCCAGGTATTGTAAGCTTCCCGTCCAGCTTGCTAACACCTCTCAAGAAAGTGTGGCCAAAGATCCTTTAAAGCATCATCAACCGTCTCTGGTGGGGCCGATTTACAGGCTCTTCAACATATTTTCACACATTTGGGTGTTTATTTCTTGCACCACCTGGCCGGCCCATCCACTGATAACTAAAACTCAATTTGACCCTTCAGACAAAATAATTGCCCAGCCCTGGCTTGGATGCTATAGTCCTCATGGTGCTGGTTACTGTTTACAATGTTTTGCTGCATGTCCTCCTCCACCTGACCAAAAAACAGACCAAAGTTTTATCTCATAAATCTGAATCTGGCAGTAATACAGCTTTCAGTTTAAAGGGGACTTTAAGCAGTATCATTATCCACAAGAGGGCACTAAATCCACACTGAGCAAAAGTTGCAGAACCTGTTTCAAAGTTTGATTACAGTATTAACCTGTAGTCCAGTTTGAACTCTCCCTCTGCTTGGATTAGGACAAATGTGATGTTTCTAATCAAAGTCACCGATGGACCAAGACCACTAACTGGCCTGATTCCACAATCAGTTTTTTTCCTTTGAACAACCCATCTCCAAGATTTGATCAGACTGGATCCTTTTTAATCTGATTAGATAAATTTTGGACAACTAAAAACACAAACATTTTTATTCTTCTGTCATGACTCTCTTAATAAAAGCTCTATTCTTCTGCGCCCCGTTGGGTGTTTTAGCTGATTGAGGATCAGTTTTCACTAATATGTCCCTTGTGTTGCTTTGAATGTTTATACTTTCAGACAAAGGAAGACCGGCCTTGGATGACTTTTAGGGTGTGTTTTCTTGTACCTAATTGCCTCACCATGTGCCCCACCCAGAACACTCTGATTGGCTAGATGTCACAAGATGATATGATGCAACAGTATGTATGTTTCATGTTTCTGTCACCTCTGTAAGTTACATCTGCAAAAAGCACTGACCCAGTGACCCCAGATAACTCAAAGAACTGGTTCAGTGGTGACGTGTGAGTTATGTGAGTGCTATTATCCATTTATGAACTACTTGGCCCATCATATCCCAATAAACCTCTTCATGTGACTCAAATAATAATGGTGGTTTTCTTCACAGGCACTCTGTCAGACCTTCATTTTCAGGGCTCTCGACTGTGCTGATCTCCATGAACTCCACGCCGTCGCTTTCTGCGGCTGTGGCTTGGCTCTCCATGGCAACGTCATTTCCTGTAGGTTCAACCTGAGATGAGCACATTTTCTCATCGCAGCCTGATGGGATATAAAACACACTGTGAGCTATGTCTTGAGCCAAACAGCATTCCCTGCGATGGGTGTGTGCTCTAGTAAATTAAGTCACCTTGGCTGTCACAGTCAGACAATCCTCCAGTCAGCTCATACAAGTGCTCGTGTCCAGTGTCCCGTAAGGCAACCAGGAATGTAGAAAACCATTGTGAATGACCTCTGACAATTACACTGAGGAGTTTTCGGGCCCCGCTCTTGGAGCCTTTGTTCTGTATTTCAGCTTCAATCTGTAAAAAAATGGATTTGATATCTTGTACGACACAATCAGAGGGAAGTACAGTGCTCTGAAAAACAGATGTGTGCATGTTCACTCGCTTTTCACTGGTTTTCGTAGACGGCATCACATCACTCCAATTTTAGCCTCCCTTCACTGGCTTCCTGTCAGTTTTAGAATTGATTTTAAGATTTTATTGATTACTTTTAAAGCACTCAAAAGACTTGCTACATTTCAGAGCTTTTAATACCATTTGAGCCACCTCGCAGCCTCAGATCCTCTGGCGAAGGCCTCCTGGTCATTCCAAAGTCAAGACTCAAAACTAAAGGTCATAGAGCTTTCTCCATCAGAGCTCCTCGACTTTGGAACGACCTGCCAGAGGAGATGAGGCGAGCAGAGACAGTCGCTTCTTTGAAGTCAAATTTAAAAACTCACTTTTACAGTCTTGCTTTTATGTGATGCCGTCTTTCTTCTTTCTTCTTTTTTCTTTAATCTTTTATCTCTATTTATTACTGTCATCTCTTATCTCTTTTATTTCTATCTCATTTCGGCTTTACTGTCTTTTTAGCTTTTGTTAAAATCATACTCTTTTCTTATTTAACCTTTTAGGCCTTTTATTGTTTTATCTCTTGCTCATTTATTTTATCATTACTATTATTATCAGGATTACCTGTTATTATTTTACTATCATTGTTGATATTGCCTTTTATATTTACTATCCTCTTTCCGCTTTCATCCCCCCTTTTAATTGCATTTTCCTTTTTAGTTAAACTATTTTATGTTTTTATTTTGGTCCTCATGGTCTCATTTTATGTTGCATAGTTCTTGTATTGTCTGTGTTCCTTATGACATGAAAATGGCCTTCAATTAAAGTTTTACTGAGCTTTTTGTTTTTATTTGTCTTTTTCCACGTGCTCTATGACTACATGTAAAAGCACTTTGTTAACATCTATTTTTTTAAAAGTGCTATACCAATAGAGTTATTATTATTATTATTATTATTATTATTATTATTATTATTATTATTATTATTATTATTATGTGTCTGCCATCTTGTGGTCAACTGCTGCAAATACAACTGAGGGGATTTGAAAAGTTGGACAGGAACAAGACAACAGTCAGAGTTGGTGTTGCTGGGCTGCATTAAATATCTCAGGTGTTTATATACATAAACGTGTTCCACACACGTCTAACCCACTATTAATGGCTGAAATGGTTTATATTTCGGGCTCTAAATAACCTTAAATGATAACGCAGTGGCGCCTACTCACAATCTCCTTGTCGTCCTGGCTCAACAGGCCACTTGAGAAACACTTGAGGCACACATCCACAGTCTTCATTTCCACCAGACTAGGGGCCAGTATCTGGATAAGCTTGACACAGTATTCATCCTCTGCTTCCTCTTCAGGTCTTCGGTTCAGCTGTAGGTAGTCAGCTGCGTTGGTTAAGCCTGAATTCGACAGCGCGTCAACAAATGCCCTGAACCAGCCGATACTGCGAGGCTCTTTAATGATGGCACTGATAAGTAGATCCGCGGCTGCAATATCACCCTCAGTCCTCGCCTTCTGCTTGATTCGGTCCCTCTCAACATTTCCGATAAAATCTATGTGATCCAAGACTCGCTCCGCCGCGATAAGCTGTCTTAACCTCGGCGTGAGGTCTTCAATGAGACGCACATTTGCAGCATCCTCATCAGACGCCATTTGTCAATCTAATCGATACCACTGCTCGCTTTACAGTTGGCTCGGGCGTATTTATAAGCAGCTGAGACTCTGCTGATTCACTGTATTTGGGAAAGTGAAACTCTTTCAGTTTCGTTTCTGGATAAACATTCCCCAGAGAATAAATTGGCCGCTGGGTGTCAGTATTGGCTTGGTAGAGGACTGCGCCCACAACCAGACCTCCATACAACTACTGTTGGCCACTATCAGAGCCGGCCCAAGCCTCAATGGGGCCCTAAGCAAAATTTGATTTTGGGGCCCTCTATTTCTGCCAATAATATTAATTGTTGATCACTCACACACCTTCGCAAATCTCTTTGATAAACATTCCATGACATTTAAAAACACCTTTATCTTGGTGTTTTTTCTCTTCTTCCTCTTTCTTTTCTCTGCTCCTGAAGGACATGTCCTTTTTTGCAACATTGTTTTGACCCACAATTCCCTGCGCGTTGGATGCTCAGTGCACATTACACAGCAGAAGGCACATAACGGTAGAGCAGCTTCGACATATCGGTGGTAAGAATCATAGGCCTACATCAGCAGCAGCACTAAGATGTTTAATTTAATCTTATTTTTACAATAATATATATTTGATCATACAGAAAGCATCACCCAAACATGCAAAAAAAAATTAAATATATATATATATATATATATAATTTTTTTTGCATATATATATATATATATATATATATATATATATATATATATATATATATATATATATATATACGGGGCCCTAAGCAGGCACTTAGTTTGTTATGCCTTGGGCTGGCTCTGGCCTCTAAACAGCTACTTACATGTTCTCAACACTTAGTTACGTTAATATTCTTTCATATCACAAATTTCATATAATATCACATCTGGTACTTCATTTGCAGTAAACACATTCATAAAATGTCAAAATAACACACTGGTGAGTTTGTGTTTGTGTTTTCCTTGTCTTGTTTTTAGGCTCTCTTGAGTTACTTTGTCTCACATTAGTGTTACGTTCCTGTTCTCTCTGTATTTTAACTCTAATTTTCCACAGTTAGGTTCTCAGTATCCCCTTCTCTGTGTTTTCTAGGATCATGTTCTTGACTCAAATTTTGCGGCTCCTCTTTAATCTCATACTTGGTTGTTCTGTTTTGGTTTCTTGGTTGTGTCTAGGTTCCTCTGCACTTATTGGTTTCTGTTTTATTTTGTCAGTTCTTTCCCCTCGGTGTGCCAGGTCTAGTTTTGCTTTCTGTCTTTGTGTGTTTTCCCCTCCCCTGTGACTGTGTGCCCTATCCTGCGACTGATTTCACCTGTCCCCTTTGTCTCACCTGTGTCTGATTTGTCCCTGTCATTCATCCTGTCTCTGTCAGTGTCCCCTGTGTTCCCAAAGGTGTCTTCACACCTGGATTGTTTGAAGGCACTATGAAACAACGCTTTGGCTGTGATCATTTTGATATGCATGAACGCAGCACTTGCACTCTGATGTGAATAGAACAAGTGAGACAGTATGACCTGGAAAAGTTAGTCTCAGCTCCTTTTGCAATCAAACCCTGGTTCATTTGCAGTGAGAGTGCAATCAACCCTCAACCAGGACAATTAGCTGCTTGACGCAAGCTAGCAGTAAGCAGTTATATAGCTTCAAGGCCAAGTGCAGCATGACAGCCAACAGTTTCTTGAAGTTTACAACCTCTGAATGTTATAAGTGACGTCTGTCATTTAGCAAATAATCTCCTACAATGAGATATTTGACCTCCTCGCTGCTCCAGATCTATCATTGAGTCATTTTGTTCTAGGTTAAATATTAGTTAGCCTCTTGGGGTCAGTGTTTGTCTGTAAATGATTACCCTGCCACCAGCTGCTTTCATCACTTGCAAATGCCTTTACAGTGGTTTTATATATTACGAATATATCATGTCATATAAAAAATAATAGAATAAGCATTACCAGGACTCTTTCTGCACAATCAGCTGGGTTACCAAATTATAGCCATCCCTTAAACTCAAACAACTGTTTCCCACTTTGCAGAAAGCAACCAGCATGCATTGAATTTGTTAAATGATGCAGTGGGAACATGAGGCTGTGGTGTACTGGAGCAAGGACAGTGCAGTGATGGTGTATGCTTTGGCCTGCTTTAATAATGCAACCACAGACTGTATATTTGCAACATAAACACAAAATGACCCAAGGGAAAAAAAGCAGCAATGTGTCTTTTCTTTCATTTGAATCAGAGCTGTGGATCAGGAAACAGCCTGTGCGCCTTCAGGGTCTTGATTTTACCCTCCCAGTTACTCTTGGTTCCCTTCAGTTTTTTCAGCTAGTGGTGTTTCAACTTGGACTTCAAGGGATATTCTGGCGTAAATTTAAGTTATGGTCAAACACACCATAACACCGAGTTAGACACCCCCTTGAGAGATGAATGTTGCCGACCGCTTGCTTCTCTAGTTATACCATCTTTAGTAAGGACTGCACAATAGCAATACACAGCGGTCCGAGGAGCCATAAACAAACCTCAACCAAAACACCACTCTATAGCCACAAATAATACTCAGAACAGCACCTAACTTCACCAACAGTACATATAGGGTCCCAGCCACAATACTAGCCACCAAACATCTTTTTAGCTTTGCCTGATTTCTTAAGTAAAGAGACTAAACACAACTCACCCATCCCCCGACATCAGCCGCTTGTTTGTTGCGTGACCTCGGACTTGCCCATTGTTGACTGCTGCGGGGTGACGCAGCTCAAGGAAGAACATTTATGATCATTTCTTTATCATTTCCTTGAAGTAATAATCACCATATTAATCATTTTGCACTGCAGATGCGGTAGTTCTTCTGCCTTAGCGTCTCAGTCTGATTGCATTTCCATGAAGAAATGATCATAAAGCTGTGAGCTGTGTCACCCCGCAGCAGTCCGTAATGGATTGGCTCGAGGTCTCGCTATAAACAGGCGGCTGCTGGAGAAGAGCAGGTGAGTTGTGTTTAGTCTCTTTGCCAAAGAAATTAGGCAAAGCTAAAAAGATGTTTGGTGGCTAGTGCTATGGCTGGGACCCTAAATGTACTGATGATGAAGTTAGGTGCTGTTCTGAGCATTATTTGTGGCTATACAGTGGTGTTTTGGTTGAGGTTTGTTGATGGCTCCTCAGACCGCTGTGTATTGCTATTGTGCAGTCGTTACTAAAGTTGGTATAACTAGGTATAACTAGCCTGAGTAAGTTTTTGGTTTTTGCTGTTCAACTTTATCAAACCTTTCATTTTCAGATGCAGCTGGGCCCTCCTTCCTTTTTTAAACCAAACTATAGCCCCCCCCCCCCCACACACACACACACACACACACACACACAAAGACACACACACACACACACACACGCCCCATTTATTCCCCTATTTCCTCCAGTACAGTTCATTCAGTGTTGGTGATAATTGCAACAGCCAATGACACACACACTACACAGAAAGAAAAAAAAACAGACATGTCTGATAAAAGCTTCCACTCAAAACACACTGCTGCCATTCACACTTGCAAATAATTCAGTGCAATTTATTGATATTTGTCCTGTTACTGTCTGTCTATCAAGGCCAACTTGAATGATTCATAACATTACGTCTCTCTACAATACAGAGGTGTCATTTATAATATATATTATAAAAAGTATTTGAATATCTAAAAGGAAAAAACCAGGAGAGGAGCTTCCAGTGTTTATTTTATTTATTGCTCTGACAGCTTTAAAACAAACATATTTACTACAGTTCCTAAAGAGTTTCTTGAATAATTTACTCAGTTAAAAAAAATACATTATTTTTTACATCTGGCAATATCATGTGCAGTATTTAATCTCTAACGATTTTCTAACAACATTTGATCATTACTGTACATTGCCACCAAAGGGAAACAATATAATTTGTTTATGATATGGTTAGTATTACATGAAGATGCTGAATTAGCATTTGGATTTGTTGTATAGGCACAGGACCCTCTGTGGGACTGTTATATGCAAGTACTATCCCCCCCGCCTCCCCATACCCCAACCCTTTACACACCCTCTAAGTGCATCCTAAAACAGAGATAAGTAAGCTGACATCATTTTATTTTGTTATGTGCTACTTTGGGCTCATAAGCAGTGCAAAAGAGTAAATATATAGATATAAAACACATGCACTGCCTTGTTGGAGTACCCTCATCATACGTGTTCGTCAGAGGTGCAGCTCGGGGATATGCTAGCAGCTCAGACAAGCATGTATGGTGTGGTCTGTTGGCTTAACTTGGTAAAATAGGTGCACATCAGTGACTGCAGTAATAATGCACATTGTTAAAAAAGAAAAACAAAACAAAACTACAGTATACATAATACTGTACTATTGCAGTGCAATTGTCCATAACCCCTGAGTCACACTTCAGAGAAAACAGGCATACAACTAAAGATATTGAAACTGTTTTTACACCTTTGTAATAATGCTGTATTACAATAACAGCTGCAGAAATAAGTTTTTACAGTGTGTTCATATGCAGGCTCAGGCCCTCTAATTGTAAAAGGCTGTATATTTAACTGTAGATGTATGGTTTTGCTCAGGCTTTAGACTCTAACAGGCTCTTACAACAACAGCCACATCCAACAAAGACCATTGAGAGTGTTTCTGTGGTTGGAACAAGGCAAGAGCTTCAGTCGTAGAGGGGGAAACTCACCCTGTATTTCACACAATGCCCTTGTTAGTACCTTGGAGTCAGAAGCTAAGCAAGTATGTCATCTTCAGGGGGGTGAAAGGTGGCAAAGAGACTTGACCACAAAACCAAATTTCCAAAATACTGATTACCACTCTGATACCAGTGTGGTAAAAACACTCAGATATTTCTCATTGTTATAACCATGTCTGGACTTGATATTATTGCTGTCATAGCTGTAAAGCCTGGCTCAGCACTCTAAATAAACCTTTACCCAAGAAGAAAACACAGAAGAAACTTCAACCCCTCAACTGAAACAGTTTTTTAAAAGTATTTTATGCTTTCACATGATTTTTCTGATTAAAAAACCCTTAAAATTAAAGAATGAAAAATCTTTCAAGTTTGCTTTCATGATATGAAGATGATCCTAAATAAGTTTTTCTCCACACCTTACGGCAGTTGTTGCTTATGGTAGCTTCAATGTATATTATTGCTAGGTGTGGTTGTGTTTTGGTGAATAAATCAGAGCAGGCTTTTCAGATATTTAAGTTATAACTGCTGGTAACTTCTCTTAGGAAAGGTTTTCTTAAATGACACTGCCGTCACCTTCCCCTCTACTTGACTAAAAAGAGCAGATCTTGGATGCCTTTTTGCCAAAAGTCCACGTTTTTGTCACAAAGACAGTCTAACTCTCCTTGTAGTCTACCTGAGGATGATTTGGGGCAGTTCAGCCGTATTCTGAGTATACGCAGAATATACATTTCTGGGGTTGAGTGAACACCGTCAGTTTGGGTTTAAGAGTCTGTGTTATCAAAGCTGGCACCAGTAAGAAACCATATGATGCATTGTACTGATTCCTTGAGCGCTGTACATTGGAACTTGTCCAGTGTGAGGTAGGTCGGCCAGCGCCTCTTGCTTAACATGCCATAATGGTTAGATGGGCACATTTTTCTGATGGGCAAAGTCACTGCAGATGTTCACTCTTCTGTTTAGACCTACGCTTCATGAGAAGTGTCAGGAGATTACTTTTGCTGTGTTTTGTTCGTATCCAAATAAAATCCAGATGACTGACAGATGCTTGTCAGGGCTTTTAGGATATAAAATGTTGCAACAGGTTCAACAAAAAAGAGCACCACCAGAGTCCATTAGAGTAAAAAGCCTGGATGAAGCAGAGAGTTCTTGTGGTATTGTGCTAAGTCTATCCCAGCCAGGTGGATCCCTTTACTCAGCATCCCTTCAGACAGGGTAGAGTCTGTGAAATCAATCAGAGGGCCTTTATATTGAAAGAGCTACTGTTACAATATGTAACTATTGTTATTGCACTGGTAACTGCAGAAAACAGCCTGTTCAAACACTGTTAACTGCAGCCAACAGTAAGTTATCCACATGCATAATGAAAAAAATCCATCTGATTTCTATTACCAAGACAAAACAAATGAACAATACAGATGTCTGTGCCAGCATGCTGATAAAAAAGCTGCTACTTAGTAATTACAGCATTACAACCCAGATATGAAAACAATATGCTGCTGGAAGGTTTATGGCCTTGGACACTCTGGGTCTGAGATGGGTCTGTGGAGTCCAGCAGCGTTGAGATGGGAGTCAGAAGGAGACGGGGACGAAGAGAAGGAGGAGTTTGAAGAGGTCTCAGTGGGAAGGAGGAGCAGCGCAGGCTGTTGGTGTCCTGTGATTTGTTGTTGCTGCTGCTGCGGCTCTGTATGTCTTCGTACAAGCAATGCTGTAAGGCTGTCATCCATGGGGGCATTCACGTTAGCCAAGCTCAACACAGAGTCTTTGGATTCTTGAATGGCTCGCTCCAGTTTGGGGTTTGGGCCCTGATGGAGCAGAATCAGAACATAGACAAGTCAGTGGCTAACTACAATCTAAAAACCCTTGAAAACAACCCAAGTTGGGTTGTGTTTAACCCAACACCAGGGTGAAAAGGGACCAACTACTTATTGGGTTATTTTGACCCAAAGTATTGGGTTATTTAAATTAACCCAAATTTTGGGTTGACTCAATAACCCTTTTTTAGGGTCAAGTTTACCCAATCTTTGAGTTAATTTGACTCATGATCTTGGGTTAAATTGATATATGCATTTGGGGAGCTTTTTTTGGGAGCTTTGCTTTTACAACCTGTACCTTATTTTCTCATGTACTTTTATCTGATTGTAGGCCATAGAGCTAAAGGTCTTCCCTAAGGAACGCACACAGGTGGATGTAGTTTGCTCCATACAGATGTGTCTCATGTGGGATGCGAACCCCAACCCTCGGTAAGGAACCAGATGCTCTACCCGCTGAGCTACTCCAGCTGCCCAATATATATTTGGGTAGCTACCCCAACATCGAACCCAACATTCTGACCCAATTATTGGGTTAATCTCAGAAAAATAACCCATAATTATTAACCCATTCAAATAACCCTCAAATTGGGTTAAAATAGAATCCATATGGCCCAAAAAATGGGTATGGATCTGAAAAATAACCCAGAAATTTAACTCAACGCGTAAAACCCAGGAATTGGGTGGAAGACATAACCCAAGTGTTTTTAGAGTGTATGAGTTATATGGGATCTACATTTACTCTAGATTCAAGGTTCAAGGTCCAAGGTAGCTTTACTGTCAGTTCTGCAATATGAGTAACACATACAAAGGGTTGAAATTGCATTACTCAAGGGCCCACCGTGCTACAGTACACATTCACTTTAAATCTTCATCAGCTTTGAATATTCAATGCTGTCTTTTGTTTCATTTAAATATGTTATCGTTTTTTTAGTATAAAGTGAAATACCACTTTTGAGGTTGTGTGGAAAAGTTGACGATGTGCGGATGTGGCAACAGAGATGTCAATAGTGGCATTATACCATTTTTCAAAGCATCAAATAACTAACTAAAATCAACAAAGATAACATTTGGAGAAGAATTAGCATGATAAGAAGAAACTCATGTTTAACCTGTTTCTTCTGTTATTTACAGCTATACTGCAGCTGGCCTACAGGGGGAGCTCCAAATGTTCAGGTCGAACTTAAGAGAAGCTGACATCTTTTCATACTCTAGTGTTTATGGTCCCCAACTGAGCGTGGAGTTATGGCTGTGATCATACTTATTAAAAAAATGGATGCTGCTGCAAAAAGCTTCACATTTATAAAACCGGATGCAACCAAGAATACCCCAAAAATGATCAGTTTAAAGATGGGCATAAAACATTAGTGTAATCATTTTAGTATTTAATTAATTCCCTATTATGTCCACAGTTGCTTCATCTAATTGTGAATTAAACGATCAAGTGAAAATTAAGTGTTATCTTAATAAGGTTTTGATTTATTTGAAACGTAATTAGTTATCATAACTAGCCAATGATTTAACTCATAATTATGCTCAACAGTGAGGCCACTGTCAGCTTTAAAAAACACAGATGGCTGTTTTGAGATGAAGCTGAACACCATTTACAAAAGAAGACGACACCAAGTAAGACCATGGCAACTAAATAAAATCCCTGACTTGTTTTATCCAGTTCTGACTTCCTTGTTGTGACAGGCGTCAGTCAGAGTAAAACATGTAACAATGGCTCATATTCATCTCGACAATAGTCTGGACTCCCTGCTTATAACGTGGCAGACAAATCAATCCATCAAACCTCTCGGTAGTATCAGAGAGAAGCAGCTGGGAGCAGAGCATTGTAAGACAGTGGGAGCTTGGATCATAGAAAGCGCCTCATTGTCTCTTTGAACATCAGTGATGACTTGATGAGACTGTGATTGGTCACCGTACAAACCCAGCTGCTGCGTGTTTAAAAATAACACTTTGCTGGTGGAAAGCAATCTACACCTCCTTACTTGAGTTCCTGTATGGCTGAAGAAATGGCTTGCAGTCAGAGCAACGGGCTGCACCTTCACTGCAGGTCTATGATAGTCTGGACTGGCTGTCACAGTGCTGTACGCTGGAGGTCCAAGTGCTGGCTGTCTTTGCAGCAGCTGCAGTATGGTCTGCATGTCTGACACCAGCTGAGACTCCAGCCTGAAAAGGAAAACAGAGGAAAAAAACAGAGTAAGAAAGACAGACTGGGGGATAATCACAGAGGAGAGGCGATGAATGCATAATTCTGACAAGTCTAATTATGCGATGATGGAAAAAAAACACTCAGTTGTACTTCACTGAGCACTAGATGGAGCTTGTGCTCCTCTGTGGATAAATTAGGAGGCAGCAAAGATGTGGAAACACATTCTGCCAGACAAGTAGACGAAAGACGCTTCTCCAGCTAGGAGTGATAATGAGCTTTGTGTGGGAGGTGTGAAATCAGCATTTACTGTGGAAATGACTATATCACACTCGTTTGGTCAATCTAATAATGACTAGATTTCATCCAGGCTCTATTTTTAGGGCGCCAGGCAAATGGGGTGATGCTGAGTAACCTCTTAATTACCCCAGACCCTAGTATAGCCATAAAAACCGTGACAGATTTATGAGCGACTGGTTTATGGCTGTTACTGCTCTATTGTGACAAGGCAGCGTTTGTTTACCGGGCTTTGGTTAATGATTGAATAGGGAATAAAAAACAGTCAAACAGTAGGCATCATTGCAGGAGCAGAAATACATTTTCTTGGCTCTATAAACAGATTTGTGGAGATTGCTAGTATCCTACACCAGCTTGTTTCCCCCTGTCATATCCTTCCAGTCAAATCCACAAAAAGGATAGAAATAACACAAATGTGCTGCTCATCCTGTAGCCAGCTAGCATTAGAGAGGAAAAAAGGAAGGTCAGCTGAAGTGCAGTGAATAAAATGTCTAATTTGGGGGAAAAAAAATAAATGAGCTAGTCCAGTATTTCAGGCACACGGATGCTGTCTGTCCTTCTCTGCGATAATTCCAGCTACAAACAACACCTGCTGTTCATTTGTGGGTCTATTTCAGGTGGCCCGCTGGCTTCAGGAGTCGTTAAAAAAGGCAAATGTGGATCTCTACTGCAGAAAAATGAGAACAAAATGAAACGTATTTATTCCTAAAAGTTGCAATCCCATGTCTATGGTTCACATTACAGTTAGTCCAGCTAGAGAGCAGCGTTTGTTTCCACATTGAATTCAACCAATTCTTCAGCCAGCTAGTTCTCTTCCTCCACCCACTCATTATGTTGGCAACTGGGATACATATTGCCAGTGAGAGCTGTGGAAGTGTAGCTTACTTTAAGCAGTGTGGGTGGTGACAACCTACAAATCTAGCACTCCATAATGATAGAGGCAACAACTGATTTAATGGTAGGATTGTTATTGGGAATAACAACAAACCTGCTTTGGTAAATTAATGGGTAACTTTAAGCTGTATTATGGAGGGCTTTTATGCAGTGCTCACTTTAACTTTAACTTTCACCACAGATGAGAAGACTTGTGCATAACTTTATATGACTTATAACTCGATATATGATTTATAACTCGAGATTTACTTATGTTTGGTTTGAAGAACGGACAACATAAAAACAGTGGTCAGAGTGTAAAACTTTTCATTATTACAGCCAAAAACAAACTAAATCAAAAGACCAGCAATCTTAACATATATCAGCTTACATCTAAGTGCATTTACTTAAAGCTAGAAATGCACCAATCTGATCCTGGTATCAGGATTAGTCTGACACTGGCTAAAGAAGCCAGATCAGTACTGTATGAAAGAGGGGCAGGTCTGTTCAACTCAGTTACAGTATGTGTGCTACATTATCTGGTGTGTGTATTTTTCTTGACAGAGAGCATGGCTGTCATGATATCAGATTTTCACCTCACAGACATGAGACACCCTCTCAAGAGATAAATGTTGCCGACCGCTGGCTTCTCTAGTTATACCAACTTTAGTAACAACCGTACGATAGCAATACACAGTGGTCTGAGCAGCCAAAAACAAACCTCAACCTAAAAGCTACTCTACAGCCACAAATAATGCTCAGAACAGCACCTAACTTCATCAACAGTACATATAGGGTCCCAGCCAAAGTACTATTCACCAAACCTCTTTTTAGCTTTGCCTAATTTCTTTAGCAAAGAGACTAAACACAACTTACCCACCCCCCTACATCAGCTGCATGTTTGCTGCGAGACCTTGGACTTGTCTACCATTGACTGCTGCAGGGTGACGCAGCTCAAGGAAGAATATTTATGATCATAACTTAATATTATTATTTCCTTATAGTAATAATCACCATCTTTATCATTTTGCACTGCAGATGCGGTAGTTCTTCTGCCTTAGTGTCTCGTTCTGATTGCATTTCCATGAAGAAATGATCATAAATGTTCTTTCTTGAGCTGCGTCACCCCACAGCAGTCTGTAATGGACTGGCCTGAGGTCTCGCTACAAACAAGCAGCTACTGGAGGAGAGTAGGTGAGTTGTGTTTAGTCTCTTTGCCAAAGAAATCAGGCAAAGTTAAAAAGATGTTTGGTGGCTAGTGCTATGGCTGGGACCCTAAATGTACTGTTGATGAAGTTAGGTGCTGTTCTGAGCGTTATTTGTGATTTTTTGGTTGAGGTTTGTTTATGGCTCCTCAGACTGCTGTGTATTGCTATCCTGCGGTCGTTACTAAAGTTAGTATAACTAGAAAAGCAAGCGGTTGGCAACATTCAGGGGGTGTCTAACTCAGTGTAATGGTGTGTTTGACCCTAAATTAATTTTACGCCCAAATGTCCCTTTAATAGTAGCTGCAAAATATGGCAATAATGATATTTAATATAAACATGACTCTAAAAGAACACAATTGAAGAATGGCCAGACAAGAAAAGAGCGACATAACTCCATAAACTTAGCTAATAAAAGAAGTTACCTTATAAGACATCATCCATTTCTAATCATATTCAAATTTATACTTTTTGGTCAGTCCTGTGATCGAAACGTCTTCAGAGAAGTTATCACTTTATTCAATGGTTGTTAGTCAACCTCGATTTGAAATTTTTCTCACCTTGCTTTTAGGTTACTTTATTACCTGCATTGTCAAACTGTGCTTTTATTTTGAAGTACAGCTCTCCCTGTAAATCTTATTTAACAGTACATATAGAAAACAGTTAAAATGACCGTCAGACATTATTTTTTATTATATTGCACTACATGCAAAGTTCATGCTTAGAAGTGCGGCAGTAGTAGGGGGGAACAACTAAATAAAAGCAGTAAAAGTTGTCAGCTATTCGACAATGATGAGAGAGACTTCTCATCCATGGTTTAAAAGTGTGAAAAATAACAGCTGTTTTTTTGAGTGTTTGTTCTTGACAAAAAATGCCTGCAGTCCATTGAAAATAAAGGATCTTGTTGTCTACTTGAACACCGAGAGTTCAGTATGGTTGACAAGCACATTGTTATTTTTTTTACCAGTTCTGTTTTGCCTCAAATCTACAACAAAATCAGCGAACATGTGTCAGTAAAGTTAATACATGTTACAGGGATGAGCTGCACTGTAGATATCCAGGGCTCCGGCTTTTAAGCGTAAAATAAGGACAGACTTTCTACAAGCCCACCACAGAGATATGATATGTACCTGTTCAGGTGTTCCTGAAGCTGACCTAAGCGTTGTTCCACCTCTCCATACATGATATCGCTGGCAGAGTTATCATCGTCCCTCAGGTCCTGGAAGTGTGCTGACTCATCCAGGAAGTCTGCAGGTTTCTTACAGGCCCATTTATCACAGCACAGATCTGGAAAGACCAGAGGCAACACGCATGTGGGTCAGAACAACGTCATCACTAAACAAGAAAAAAATAGAATGTAATTAATCTCTACAGGAGAGCAGTGTGTAGCTCCTTTGTTATCATTTATCAAGCCCTTGTATGGGGAGAATCATTAATGCAATGTTTTCCTGCAGCAAACTAACCCTGGTGTTATCTCTGCAGAGCACCTGCTAGTGTTCAGCTTGTACTCCACTGATACAAGTCCAGCCTCTTTTGTGATTTAAACACAGAGATGCGCAGTAGTTGTGTGATTATACTATCTGCTGCAGCAGACTGGGCAGGTGGCCTTACGCTGCCATGGATGCTCATTAGATGTTGTGCGTCCCCTTAGCATGGATGCCACTTATCTTTGTCCTTATGTTACCTTATTGTCTGTGGTAAATGGCCCTTTCAAATTAAACTGTGCAGCAGGTAGCAAATCACACTTCTTGGCAGTAAAAGATTAGCAGATGCTTTATTGTTCATTTTTTTTCCCCTCAATAATTTCACTCCCAGCTGCACTGCAAACTCATTGAACTGACATCTCACATGATGAAGTCATTGTTTCTAAATCATAATGTTTCAACGGATTGAGAAGAAAAAGGTTTCGAGAAATGCTGCAAAGACTTATCCACTTCAGACCAATTATTTCTGTTAGAGAGCAAACGTGTTTTTTTGTAATCTACTGCATCCTCTTTGAAAATATTCAGAAAAAAGTGAATGCATGCAGAAGTCTGAAATTTAATTCAGTCAAATAGGAATTTTACATGATTTTTATTCTTTTAATTTCATACATATATATTTGCAATTAGTCTGAGCTTTTAATTTGAAAGCTACAAACATATTTCCTCATGCAAATTTGCAGGTTGTTATCTCATATTTCAGGCAGTGTTAACTTTAGTCTTAAGACAAAACCCCCTCACAGTTCCAGTCACATTACGCCATTTTTTTCCCTCTATAGCTTTAGTTAAGTCCTAGTTTTGACTGAACCCTTAAAATGTTGGTCAGGATTAAATCAATATAAAGTCATTTCTTTTAGTCACATAATTTCTCTATTTGGAGCATCTAAATCGGCTGATCAAGAATTGGTACCATGGTCATGCTGAGTGTTAAAACTCTCACTCTCACATCACACTTCTACTTGTTAAATCTGAATTTCTTAAATTAAATAGATGATTTTGCCTCTGAGATCTTCAAACCAGTGCAATGCAGCGCTCTCTTTAGTGATCTACTAAGGTAGGGAAGTGCATTACACACAGGTTGAAGTGGTAGGTTTAATAAAAGTTCATGGACTTCATATAAAAGTGTCATATGTGTGTTTTGCACTTTTATAATAGTACCTAATTGCACCTGCAGTGGCAAAAGCCCTGACACACAGTTCATAGACCTATTTATGTTAATAGCTGCAAAAAATGGCAAACTTTAAATATTTACTGCCATTACCTCCAGGAGCTGGTCATGGCTTTATCACTGACATGCATCAGGAAAATGAGGCAGATAAATGGAGGCAGTGAGACTTTGTACCTGCAGCTCACTCACTGCAGAGAAGCGGCCAAACTGACACTGTACCCATCATCTAATTTGACCTGCTACAGAAACGCATTGCTCATATTTTGACAGTTTATTTGACTTTTTATCATCAGTTAGGGCTGGGTGATAAACCGAAAATTTACCGATATCAGAATTTATGACTATAACCAACGTCATTTTGCCCATGTCAATATATTCGGTGTCAAAAAAATAAAAAAATAAAAGTTGGTTTTGGATGTGTGTAGGTAGGCTATGGTCTCATGTCCCTTTGAGATGCTGTCCTACATCAGAGATGTGACTCCACCCCATCCAGTCCGTAACAAAGAGGGAAAGACAGGTGAGGAGATGGAGGACGGTTAAAAAGTTGTAGCAGCTGGAGCGGCGACTTCAGTAGACAAAGTTAATCTGGGAGGAGGTGAGCAGCTTGTGAAGCAGTTATCGAAGTAAACTGCTCAATATATCGTGTTATTGATTTGAGGCCATATCGCCCAGCCCTATCATCAGTGATGTTTTTCTTGCTCATTATTGTCTCGTTTTCATCATGAAGGTCATTGACAAAAACATTCATCATCATAATTTTTCACCAGTAAAGTTGAACTCCGGTCCACTTTATGAATTTGTATTTTCTTTGAATTAATTCTGTTTTCACTGACTTGAATAAAGTGCTTAAATAACTTGTATCTGGTTTCAAATCCAGGTTAGAGGAAAAATCTGCCTTCAACTATAATCTCAAACCCACTGCCACCAAAACAGAGGAGATTAAATCTTCCATAAGATCTTTCATAAACCAAAATTTGTCACTTAGTTGTTTGTCATTTTCGAAGATTATTGACGTTTGTATCCTTCCAGCACTTGGGATAAACATCAGCTCCCCTCTGTCAATCATTTTTTTGTTTCTCCGATTGTCTGTCTTGTATGACTTGGCCTCTGAGTCACGCTGTGCCCATACAAAATCCGGGGATTTTTGATCTGAGATTATCATAGACAGTAATTGTGGTCTATTTAAGATCTCTGAGCCAGAATCCTCAGAGAATGGGAAAAGAGATTATAAAGGTGGAATTTCCTCTATCTGGATTCTGCTTCTGATTTCCACTCCTGCTTAACTTAATTGTGAAAAATAGGTCAGTCCATTGGCTGGTTGTAATGTGGAGGACACAATCAAATGAACAGTGACAAATATGGGGCGATATATTTCAACAGCCACTCAGTAAAGCCGCCTTTATGGAGTGATATTTGGCTCTCACTGAACTTTTATCAGCTTGTTTCTATTTTAAACTCTATCTTTCCGGATTTTTTATTGTAGTCTGTCTACAGATATATCCATTAGTGACAGCTGTAATTCACCAACACAACAATATGTCTCACCTTCAAAAGATGGTCTCCGCCCCAAGCCATCCCTGACAACAAGACTTGAGTCCAGGATTGCAGGACTAGGTGGAGAAGGACCCAGGACTTCTGAGGATCTTTTTAGGCACGAGTTAGACTCCCTCTTCCCTTCCATGTCTTCAACTACTTCCTTATTTTCCCCTGCAGAACAGTAATAAACAGCAGTTAGTGGAATAACACTGTGGCGTAGGCCCTGGGGAGCAGATGTTCTCTGGGAGCACCACTTAGGGAAAAATAACAAAGAGCACATTTACAAGTTCAACACATGCAAAGTCAGCCGTGGGGGAAAAGAGCAGAGTTGTTTTCTCTTACCTTTAGGTGGATCTGGAGTAAAGGAGATTCTTCTTTTCATGCTTTGAGTCCCTTCATCGTCTGAATCACAGTCTTGGGAGCTTGAGGCCTGCAACAATGTGAACATCAGAGTCTATTAAGTAAAGGTCAACACATAAGGATTTTATATTGCTTTAAAATTTTATGAAATATGGCTTACCTTAGCAGACTCATCTCTGAGGTTAAAGGTGAGCTCCAGGTTGTTGAAGAAACAGTCTGCAAACTCCGGGTACATGTCCAGCACCTCCAGCAGATCCTCTCTTTGGATGGTGCTCAGGTCGCAGTAACTCAGCGCTCGCACGTCAGCGTTCGACTTCCCAGATCTGGTGAATAGATGGATCATCTCCCCAAAGATGTCATTCTTTCCTGGTTTTGACACACAAACACACACAGGGATAGTAAATTTTCTCTCTGGGAAAAGTAACAATGTAAACTTCACACGCCTCGCCTCATTGGAGTAATCACACGTGTTATAGTAGAAATTATGTCATGTTTTCTGTGGGTAGTTGACTCGTTGTTCCTTAGGCTCACGCTAAGGGGCACCAGACGTGTTTGTATTTGAGAAGAGTTAAAATCAAACAGCTTTTCCCGTCAGTGTGGATGTTCTCCCAAGGCGCGTGCATCAGCTGTCTTTCTGTCTTTGATCCATTATTTACGCTGAGGAATAGCTGCTAACTCAAAGCAACTTTGATGTGCAAGAAAAGGAGGGATTGAGTGTGATTGGCATCACTTGTTGTGTGCTTCAAAGCCCAAAATTTGTGTTGATGGCGGCTACCACATAATGAAGCAAGTTCTTCATTTAACATCTACTCAGCTTTCAAACAGGGGAATTAAAGAGATTCTTCTGGAGGTTTAGTTTAAAGGCCATGTTAAAAAAAGTCCCTTTGTTGGCTCTAGGGTTCGATAAATGCCAACGCAGTAAGCAGAGGTTCAGGGGGAAGGGATATGATATGTTGACAGTCAGTGTGCCTTCCTCAGCGTGGGCTGGACACCTTTCTGCCACAGAGGACAGCCTCACACTGAGCAGTGAATCTCTCCTGCACTTACAGCTCTCAGCATAAGGATTTGGATTAGCCTGGGTGGCAGTTTAAAGCCTCCAGAAATCTGTCTTCAAATGGTGAAAATGCATGTGAGCCTCATTAAGCAGTCACAGAAATCTGAGAGAAAATACAGACTCATTAAAGAGTTGAAAAACGCACAATGATTGTGCCTGAATTGTTTGTTTCGTACAAAACGCCTGGCTTTCATCGTCATGTTTAACAGTTATTACACACGTTTGTTCTCAGCTGTGTATTCAATGCTAAACAGAGGTGTGTAGTCTTAGCTGGTGTAATACTCTACAGAACGAATCTTTACATACTTAAGAAGTGTCTTCTGACAAAATAGTCTTTTCCAAATGCATCAATAATTGTGACTATTTTATGTGGAAATTGTAAAAACAGCTGTAAGGCTGACATCTACCCCTCCATGTGGATTTCAGCAGTTTTCATGGTCTTGTTTGCTTTTGGATAACGTGGAATTGCACCATCATGATTTTCAGTCTCTTTCATTTATGCCAAAAAACTCCCTATAGGAGCTTTAAACGTGATTACTTGATTAGACCCCTGTAATTATATGGTTAGATAGCTGTCTTGTGTACTTGTACTTTTTGGACCAATATTAAAAACCTGTTATTTAAACTCTAGTTGAGTATTTTTGTGGCTAATATTTTACTTGGCTATGCATCAATTACAGAGAAAAAAATCTGTATACAGACAAAAAGGCACAAGCCTTCTGTCAAGTGTGGCTGCCAGCTGATTTGTTGGCGTCAACAGCATGATGACAGGTGAACTTTCATAAAGTAGAGCAGGGGACTGCAGAAAGACAAGAAAGTCAGGAATACATCCACATATTTGGCTTCCCTGTGTTAATAACTCATCAGCAGAACAACACTTTCACAAAAACCAACACTTCTGTTCAACTATAGTAAGGCAGACTGAGACATAAACTGTTTTTCAGTAGTGTGAACCACACTGCGAGCTGGACAATGTGCTTGACCTCTATACACATTCATCCGTGATTTTAATGCATAAGGATTATTTATAAAAAACAGAGATGTTACGAAAAATACTGCAAAACCTCAACTTTGATAGATACAGTGTGGCTGCTACTCCTCTAACCCACTCATGGTGCGTTGAAAGTAAATCCTCAGTACTTAAAGCTCCTGTGAGGAACTTGGTTTGTGTCTTTGCTTCTCTTTTCCTCTACGCTTAGGTAAGTTTTTTTTTTTTTTCTACAAATGATCTCATAATGCTGACTTTTGACAGTCAAATTCATAATTTCATGTGATTATTTTATGTAAGAAAATGTAAAACAGGAGCTGTTTCTCCCGGTCCTTCGCTGACTCCTACGCCCTCACACAGGTTTCGGGCATTGAAAACTACAATGTAAAATCTTTAATCTGATTTTTAATGTTCTTGTTTGCTTGTATATATTATAAAAAGGTATCAGTATGAATTTCAGTCTATTTCAAATATATGTAAAAAAGAAAAAACTTCTCACTGGAGCTTTAAAGAAAGTTTCCTGTGAGGTACCTTTTGAATTTATTGGCTGGATTTTTACTTGGACTAAAGTAATTTCATCAAAGCAATTGTTTTTTCACTTGAGCAGAATATTTTCTTACTCCTTCCATCCCAGGTAATAACACACATATACTACAGAGTTAATGGAGGGAAACCATGCTGACTGAGCATTACATTTGTTCTTCATTACAAATGGTCTGATCTATGAGATCAGTGACTTTCCAGTGTTTGCTAGTAATGGGTTTTGTGTGATGCAGCAGCTTTTGCTAAGCTTAAACCTCATTCTGTCAGGTGCAGCTTTGAGAACATTCATCTCATGAAAAATGGCAAGTTTAATCCAGGCTTGGCCTGTAGCACCTGGATGTGGTTCACCATGAAGAGAAAGATGAAAACTCATTACTCTAAGAGTAACAGTTGTGAGTATTCACTGTTGCTATATCAATATGAGAAAATGTTATTTTACATGCAGAGCTGCTGGTTGTTTCAGCCTCTTCTATTTTTACCGACCTTTTTTTCTCATCTTTATTTTACAGCGTTAACTTATTTTCCTGTGCTGTCAAAAAGTGGCAGCTATTTCACCGTGCTCTTTAAAATTGCTAAACAACCTTTCATGGAGCTACTTAATAGAAATGTCAGCGTCTCAAGCCTGCCACATGAACAGCAGCGTTGCCCAGAGGACAGGACTGGGAGACGGCGGGCACACCCCGTCATTCGTGTCAGAATGTGTGAACATGATGTGCTTTAGCTGCTGTAATGACTTGAAAATTGTAACCACATTAAAACAGTTACTACTTACTGATGTGCTCACAAGTCCTGCTCAGTGTCTTTGTCAGTGTCCAGTGGGAAACTACGCTTTGTAGTCTTTCCTGAGCTAATCACAGCTGCATCTCCTCACATTTAAAAAAAATACCAGGAATCTCAGGCGGATAAGGAGGTTAGCTAAATACATAATTCAGATATTTCAATAAATCAGAGCAAGCTACATTATTAAAAGATGATGAAAAAGTCAGCATTGGAAACCAGTTTGTGTGTTAAAGTGCAGACTGAGTAAAAGATATGCTTTGCAAGCACATCTTACGTAAAAATGTGAAAACTGAGATCTGCAGTTTGTTTAACTCCATCATATGCCTTGAATTTCAAAATCACTGACCTTTATTTCAGTTTTTCCACCAAAGTAAATAGACTACATGACTGATGATAGATGTAATGCCACCTTTATCCAGCCTCTACTTTTTTGGGGATCAGATTTCACCAAAAGAAGCAGAGTACAGTTTTTTGTCTCTGCAGGTTTAAAGCTGACATTCAGCGTACAATGAGCTGAGAGAGTTTCAATACAACAGAGAGGTGACTTTTCAAGCCTGTATATGAAAGATGGAGGTTTCTTTGGACTAGAATCTGCCAATACATCCCTGATACTAGTGATGGATGGTGGCAAAAGGTCAGACATAAAAAAACAATCAACCTCAGCTCAAAGGACACTTGATCAACAAGGGGTTGTATTTACCCAGGATGGCCACCACAATGTCGTCTTTCAGGATCTCAATAGAGCCACGGGACAGGAAGTACAAAGCGGTGAGCACGTCCCCGCTGTGGACCAGAGTGTCTCCAGGAGGGGCGTGAGTGGTTCTGAAGCGCATGGCCAGCGCCCGTAGGCAGCCTTTGGTGGCTCCTTGAAACGCTTTGCAGTTGTGCAGGAGGTTTCTGTTGAGGTGAAGGCAGATATCCGCCTGCAGGCACTCAGGAAAACCTTTTAACACCTGTGATGCAAACAAAATGTGTGAGGAGAATGCACATAATGCTGCTGTGATTTCCTCTAACCGTCAGTGGAGAATGTGATTTGTTCAAGTAGACAGACTTTTCAGGGAAGTTTTGAAGCTTGACAGCAGCACAGAGGTGAGAAAGGACAGGTTCGTATACAGCATGTATTCATGCCACAGTGTAAAATCTCAGATGCAGTAAAACCCAGATTTTCTTTTTGATCAAGCATTCAGTGAAATTCAAACAGATTGAAATATCGGCTGAATTTGAGGTAGAATTTAAAAATAACAGCTACCTGTATTTATGTAACCACCCCCTGAGCAACAACACACAACACGCTGCCTGCACAGCTTTGGCTTAGTCTCTTTTTGAAGTGGTCACAAATAATATTGGAGTGTAGAGAAATTGGACTGTGTGACGAGTGAAAGCAACAAAGAAAGTCTTTTTCTAACCAAAGTTTGTATGACTGTAGAAACAAGAACTTCATCCAGACCTTCGTGGTACTTAAAGGCAAGGCATGAATTACTGTATAACTGTACCAGATAAAAGCCTCAGACGACCCCCCACCCCTGCTTTTTTAAGACCAACTTTCAGAAAACTATCTTTTAAAGACAAAATCCTCCTCTTATTCAACTAAATTGGGTTTTCCATCTCTTTAAGATTATGTTTAATTTAAATCTGTGATCACATGTATAAAGGAAGCATTGGTGGTACTGGTATTTGCCATAACCATACTAAATACAGCCCACAGTGTATTGGTTATAAGGCCACCTAATTCAGCTAAAACAAACAAGTCCAGGCTTTCAGCTGAATAGCAGCTCTTCACATACGTCTGTCAAACAATATTTACTTTTACTTTCTTCGGGCGCTTTTTTTCCGGTTTGTACCATAGACTGTATATACTATGGAAAACTTGGCTCCACCCTCCGTCATTATACGAATTTGAAGCCAAATCGCTTTCAGTATTTCCAAGATATTGTCCACTTCCTGGAACCACTTGCGCAGTACCTTTGTACGTGCTCGGCGGGAGAGTCGCTGTGATAACGCTCAGCTCAAACAAAAGACGGGTGAGCTACGAAATCTTTGAACACCATAGGCTGTATCAAGTGTCAATCATAGAAAATAACTTTTAAAAATGGAGCTGTACAGAAAAAAGAGGACTTGAGCACAAACCAGTCTTACAAAAACTACATGTCAACATCGCAAGCGGGGGGGGAGAAAAATTTATATTCTGTGTAATAAATTTCCAGAGTTTGTCCACAGCTCCATAGGATTGCTGGAGGAGGCGGGATTTATGACCTATACTGCAGCCTGTCACCAGATGGTGCTGTTCTCGCGGTGGCTTCACCCAGCAAGGAGACAGACTCTGTCCATTCCATAAACAGTCTATGGTTTATACCCATTATCTTAGAATCGACACCAGTTGTCTTTGACCTTATTTTGAGACACTCACATCTGTCCCTGACGGTTGGCCTCAGTCATTCAGGCTAAACTAGCTTTACAGTGAAGTGCCACAGTCTGCTTTTCTGAATTGAAACATCTAGACTCTGAATTAACAACAAAAATAATCCTATTTTTCAGATGAACCCCAAGTGGAAAAAAAAAAAAAAGCTTTGTTTTCAGGTCAGCACTCGAACCTTATTAAAGAAGAAAAACAGACCGTACCAAATGGACACATATAACAACCGCATCTCCTTTGCTCTTTCCGTCCTCTTTGGAGCTTGTTTTTTTCCAAGAGGGTGGACCCATTAATCTCAGAGATAGATAAGAGGCCAAATGCTTCACTTTTTTTCTTTGTTTGTCCGGAAACTAAAAGAATTTCTAACAGAAACCTTGAAAAACCTCACTGTTGCAATCTCAATCCGTACAAAGTTACTGAAATAGAGAAGTTTTATAAAAAGCAGGATGTAAATACTGTCAACTGCTAAAGGATGTTATGGATGAGGTTATTTTAAACTTTAGATGGATGGAAACAAGACAAAACCTTAAAACATCAGGGACAAATTCACACAGATATCATGCATGTGTGATGGAGGCTTCTAGATTCCTACTGTCACTCACAAACAGCTTTTAAAACGACAAATAAGAACATGTACCTCCTGCTCTTACCAGTGTGGAGATGTTAATCCAAAGGAAAGCAGACAGGAGAGAGAAAGCTTCTTTTAGAAATGTGCACCTGCAGTATTTGTAATGTTTTGTTAATGCTGGGCTTTCTTTCAAGCCTCTGTAGCTGGTGGATTGGCAGATTTGTTTTAACGTACCGTGTTCATATCAATGCCGTTGGTGTAGGTCCAGGAGTGTTGGAAGTACTCCTCCAGCCTCTGCCTCAGTGGGTTTGGGATCTGGTGGAAGCGTATGAACTCCTTGACCCGTAACATCTGAGCATGATAGCGGGCTGTACCTGAGTACAGCCTCTGGATGATGGCTGAGACGTTTCCAAATATACTGGCGTACATGAGAGCTGAAATACAGACAATGATTATTATTTTCACGTCTTTTGATTTCATCCTCTGAGAAATACGGGGAACTCGAACAAATCTGTCTATAAACACAAACAATCTGTTGTCTGGTGTCTGATGAAAAGGAGTTAAAACATTTCACCGACTGCCAGGACGAGGCAAAAGAAATAAAAGAAACCTTAACATACTCACAGCCAATCAGCATGACGCAGATGGAAAAGATCTTCTCTGAGTTGGTGTTGGGGGAAACATTTCCAAAGCCCACACTGGTCAGACTGCTGAAGGTGAAGTAAAGAGCTGTGACGTACTTGTCCTTTATAGAGGGACCAGAGCTTGGATCGCTGTAGTTGTATCTCTTCCCTATGGACACACCCAGATTGTCCAGCCAGCCAATCTTGTGCTCTAGGTAGGGCTTCTCCACGTTGCCGATGGCGTACCATATACAGGCCAGCCAGTGGGCGATGAGGGCGAAGATGCACATGAGGAGCATGAGGACCGCGGCGCCGTACTCAGAGTAGCGGTCCAACTTCCTAGCTACACGAACCAATCGCAGGAGCCGAGCTGTCTTTAACAGGCCGATGAGGGTGGTGGTCTAGGGTGAGAAGCAAGAATTGAAAGTTGAAACATCAGATTAACAAAACTTAGACAACTTTATATTACAAACTCAGTGTATGTAGGTCAAATCTCATTTCTATCTTATATTCTCCTTACTCTGCAAAAACTCTACAACAGTGACTTATCGCAGGAGGCCCCTCGCAAACAAAGACAATGAGTTCCTCGAACAGAAAAAGAAGACAGATTTCTCTCACAGCTACTCTACACGGTACTTTGGTGGAAAGCAAACAAACAGAGAAGTGAGGACAGCAGCAGCCCACACATAAATCTTCATTTATTCAGGCTGTATCACTCAGTGGGTCCCTGGGAGTTTGTTGCTGCGTCTGTGTCATCAAGAAAGGATTTAGCAACACTCACAGCCATTTCCATTAGCAATGTCATTAATCTGCCTGACAATTACTGAATGACCTTTGACAATTAACTAAGTGTCTGCAGACGAGAGCCTGTCCTTCCATAACAAGCACTTAGAAAAGTGTTCAATCTTAATTTTCTCAAGATTAAAAAAAGCAAATCTGTGATTCTTCCCACTTTGTATCTTAAACTTCTGTGAAAAAATAATAAAAAAAAAACAGTGAGGTAAATATCAAGATTTTTTTTTTTTTTTACTAAATTAGTTACCAATTAATTTAATGGTCAATGATTAGACGGTCAGGTCATTTCAAGTGTTTTTGAACATTGTTTCCTGGAGTGAGAAGTGAGTTATCCAGAGTCTTTACCATCTCTGATCCTGTGTCCTAAAGCTTCCAAACGCCACAGAACAGGACAGTCTGAAAAATGTTTTTGTCACAGCAGTAGTGTCGGTATTGCATGAGCGTTCAAAGAGAAAGCATGTTGGACATGTCTCTCATAAGCACTCAGATGTTATTTGACCTAAACTTGATAGCCATGTTGTGATTTTCCTCTTAACTTCAAACTTTTTCTGTTAAACGCCCTCAATTTTTCTCTTTTTCTTCTTCTTCTATCACCAAACTCTCCCTGTGTTGCCATAGTACACAACATTTCCATTTATTCATCTAACATTAACACTAGTTATGTTTAAACTACGGCTTGAATTATGACTTAAAATGGCATGTCTTGAGATTAAGGGAGTAATTTAAATGCTGATTGTGAAATAGAGCTATTGAGAATTAGTTGTTGATGATTTGTGAAAGACGATTTCCAGCATCGTTCTTATAAAACAGCACTAGATAATGTGAAGTATCAATCAAACCTGACAGAAAACTACTCTCAGTACAATAATAGAACAAATAAAGTACCTCATAGAAACTGTGAGCCTTCAGCTTTTGAAAGAAATTCAAAGTTAACTTTTCAACATTAGCAGCACCGGATTGTGTTAAAACTCATTATAAACACTTTTTCATTTTGAAACACTCAATAATGTCTACAGATGTATTTCACACAGTATTAGTTATCTCTGAAGTATATTGTACTGATTTATCGCTGTTTTTCATTATGTCTCTGATTTCTGTATCTTTTATGAGCTGGACAACTTAATAAATCTGACTCCACTGAAATATCAATTTCAAGATGGCAATCTTAAAGCTCCTGCAAGAACTTTAAGGTTGCATAACTTTTGGCAACTCCCATGGACAAAGAGTTCCTTTCACACCTGGAACGTTTTTGTTGTGTGATTATTTCGGGCGTTAATATTTTTTCTTCGAACCCGTATCCTGTCAATACAAGCATTCACATCAGCAACGTTTTCCCGTCCTGCGATATTGCGGCATTTATTTTTTCGGATCATGGTCGATTTTTCTAAAGTTTCGCACACTGTGTGTCCACTTTTGACCAATCAGATTGCGTGTTGTTGCGACGTCAGATTCACCGGTATATCCAACATGGCCGACCGGCTGATTGTTTACGTGTCGGCGAACAGAGTGCTTTTTGATAAAAGACACAAACACTACAAAGATAACGACCTGAAGGACACCTTGTGGAGAGTCACAGCGTCAGATTTCTCATATGACGATAGTTTGTGTTTTAACAGTTTGCTAAATGTCTTTGTTTTAACTTTCATCCGTGCTAACTTAAGCTAACGGTTGTTACCATAGTTTCATGTGCTTATCTTATCACCTCTGATTTGCTATAAGTGCTGACCATTTGGCTTGAGCGTTTGATGATGTTTCCAGCTTTTCTAGCCAATCAGAGGCGAAGAAGGGGGGACTCTCCCTGGGAAAAGTCTTTCCCCCCCGGAAAGTCGCAAAATCGCATCAGGCTTGATGTGTATAATCAGGCACATCAAAATTCGCCTCCGAATATTTTGTGATTTCGCGTTCTATATTTGTGTCGGCCCCGGTATGTAAGGACCTTTATTTGTATTTTGCTGAAATGTTCCTGCACATGTAAATCCAGCCTGGTATCTTCTGACTGCAGCCTTGAAGCAAGTCATGATAAATCTTTGGGACTGAGAGATTTAAAAACAGGCTATTTTGCCATGCTAGGATAAAAAATAAACATTTAGAAGTCATCAGTCTTGATGGATGCTAGTAAAAGTTTCAGTCTGTTTCATTACTTCCTAAAAACTTCTCACAGAAGCTCGAAACTTCTGCTGTTTCTGCATTCCTGTTTGAGGTTGTTGTTTTGTTTTGCTGCACTATAGCACCCAATCTGCCATGGACACTGGTTTAAAACTTTGGTAAACTTATTGCTTGTTCTTGACAGGAAACAACAATTTAATATAACAATATAAATACCCCAGCTGACATTTTGTCACCATTGTTATTTCCTCTCGCTTGGCCCAAATGTTTACAATCTAAACCATTTTAATAAACAGTTTGCCACATTTATTGGTTGATACAGCTTTTGCCCCAACACCAGAGGTCATAGATTATGTCTTTATTGTTTGACTGTTGCATTTCTGTATGAATATTTATGACACAACCCTGACCCTTCAAGTATTTCAGTCTGTTTGGACATTTGAATTTGAATTGACAGACCTACCCTGACATGACTTTGAGGTAAAACACACTTCAATTTAGGGATTTCTGATATCAGCTGTCTAATAATGACACAAAATTAAAAAAGTAATGAGAACATTTCATTAAAAAAAAAAGACCAAACATGAAGTCTGGCCTTTAAATTCTAATATCTATGAAACCTTCGGGCACACTTCACTCTGCAATCAAGTGTGAGTTCAATTAAGTCTTAAAGTGTACCTGCACAGGCAATTATGTAACACAGCTGCACAGCACAGCACTACACCCCCGCCCCCTTCCCCTTCTCTGTCTGTTCCGCTCTGATGGGAACAACAATTCAGGAGGTTCAAGTTGGGACAAGGCACTCTAGTTCTCTTGTATTTTATTAGCGGTGAAACAGCATGAAATAAATCTTTTGATTTTCTGCTGCTGAAATCATTATTGTTATTAACAAAACACTGCATGGTGCCTATTTGTATAATGCCTCACACAGAGCGTTAAATCCTCATTTGTTTGGAAAGACATTGTTTGAAATCTATTTTAGTTACGCTTTCTGATCAAATAAAAGGTTTGCTTAAATGCCTCTGGGTCAAAACCATCTTATTTAGATGCGGAAGTGAATGAGCCTCTAAAAAAAAATATCTAAATGTCTACTACTGGTTGTGCTGCTTTATTTTCTGAATGAAAATACAGCCAAGCAGGACTTAAAGGGGTTTAGTCTGGGTTACAAGACCCCTGCCGTGAGGTTATAAATGTATCACCATGCTATCACAGCACAGAAAGGGGAAAGGGAATAATTGCTTTTCCTTTTTAGTTATTTTGTCATTAAATTAAGCTGAAAGTGTCAAACAGCCGTGTTGTGTTGAGTAAAAAAAGACTCTGCACTCTTTTTGGATTTTTCACCACACTGTCCTGTGAGATAAAAACATCCTTTCTCTTTTGGGTCTGTTATCATTCACGGTTCTGACTCAGCAGTAGCCACAGCCGCAGAAGTAGCAGCAGCGGTGGAAAAGATGATTATGGTTCATAATCAGGAGCTTTTCTGGTGTAATGGAGTGCCTACAAAGCACGATAAAGCACTGAAGTGGATCCAGAGCCCGAGGGGACATATCCTACCAACAAACAAGCCAGCAGGCCCTGGCAGCCAGCCTACCAATGGCCTCTCACAGCTGCATGTAAGCTGCACACACAGCCCTGTTGGCCTGCTCCTCACATAAATGCATCATTGATTGCCATTTGGTAAGCCATTAATCCGTGTAAATGGATTCTAGAATGAGGACCATTCAAAAAAAAAAAGAGGGAAAAAAAAGAAAAAAAAAACATGCAATTTAAAGTAATCCTTTCAGAGCCGAGACAGAAAGATTCAGGCTTTGAGCAGTGACCCAGGGGCACAAGTCTGGACATGGCTGGCTTTATGTGCAGTAAAGCTCCAAAGGAAAAAAAAAAAAGTAAAAAAAAAATCTATGCATTAGCGATAACATACCTCGTCTGATCCTGAGCCAAAGATAAGAAGGTCAAAGGGGATTGCAGCCACCATGTCTATAAGGAACCAGCCTTTAAAGTAGTGTATTGCTATCTTTGCAGGATCGCTGACCACCTCCTCGTTCTGGTTCACGTAAGTGGTCCTGAAGTTGATGAGGATGTCAATGATGAACATGATGTCCACAATTAAATCCACCACGTTAAGCGGGCTGCACGAGTATCCACATTCGCGCCTCTTCTGCTCCCCTTGGTCATTGAGAAGAAAGGCAGCGGAGTAGGGAGTGAGGATGGCGGTGTAGATGACCAGCAGCAGGATCAGCCAGTCCCACACAGCTTTGAAAGGGCTGTAGTGGAGGATGGTAAACTTGTCGATGCGAGGAGTCTGGAGTTTGTACTCTGGAAGCACATCAGCTCCGAGTGACAGGACCTGAGGGAAAGGTGGAGAGGGATCAGAAGGGTGACAAGATCTGGCTCATTATCAATAAATATTTAAGTATTTTATATTTATTCACATTAAAAGATGACAGATCATTATCATTCTTACAAAAGAAACATTTGCAAAAATGCACACGTAATGATGTTTTTTCTACCTGACTTTTAATAACTATTGAATAGACCCTAAAGGCTAGTATTAATATTACTAAAGTGCACTACTAACAAAGAAAAAATAATTAAAAAAGGGCATTAGGGAATAAAGTTGGTCTGATTAAACTAGCAGTTATGTAAACTCCTTTGAAACAGCCCACCTGGGGATTGTTTCAACAAATTCACTGCTCAATAACATATTTTTATTTTAACCCCCAAAAATGTACCTGTGTTACCTCCTCCGAAAAATGTACACTCACAGTGATATTCTCTATTATGGATGCAACTGAAAATACACTCTGAAAGAATATGGAAGAAGTTTAATGAAAATAACCAAGAAACAAAAAGAAACGGGTTATTCCAACAGAGATTTTACCATAAATCAAAACTAGCAAAATGTGTTATACCGTATTAAACAATTAGAAGAAAAAAAAAGGTAAACACACGGATTAAAGTATTGTGAGTTTGAAAATCAGGGTATTTTGCACCCTTTAGTGGACACATGACTTCAGCAGAAGGCTAAAATCCAAGTTTATTATAGTATAAGCTTTTGTGCATTATTATTAAAAAATAATAACATGATACATTTCTTAAAGTGTCTTTACTTTTATGCTTTTATTTAGAGATACAGGACTAGAGATATAATATTGAGCAGTGGAGGGTTGCAGGCTGGAATCAAACCAATGTTAACTTTGTTCACCAAAATGAGATTATAACAAGCTAAACGATATCACTAACACACAAACTCAGATGAATATAGGTTTAGTTATTGATCATGAGATGATATTGTTTAAGGTGGATCAAATCTGCCACCTGAAACACAAGCAATGCACTCCTGTAACAGAGGGAGTTAACAGTGTTCATTTTGTTACTTCTGCATAAGTACACTGTCCTCCTCTCTGCCTCAGTGCATCTTTCTCATTTGATCGACTTTTCCAGTTGTGTTAATAAAGACTCAACAGGCTGCAGGAGTGACATCCAAACCTCCTCTTATCCAAGTCTGGAGACATGTTAGAGAGCATATTTAACATGACAACATTTTGAGACATGATAAACTTTAAACCATTGAGGATAAAGATACAGCTCAGAGGAGTGATCTGAGTGTCTGTCCAGGGCCATTTCTTGGGCTTAAGGACATCTGAGCCTAAATCATACAACCATCCAACTAAAGTCAGGATGTTACACATGTGCTGAGTAAGTAAAACACCACTTCTGGATCGACTGATTTATTTAGAAGACAGAAAATGTTGAAATGACTTAAACTATTTTTGGAAAAAAAGACTAAATGTGACTAAAACCTGACAGAATTTTTGTCCAAAGACTAACATGCAGACTTAAGGTCCTTTCACACCGGGAGCGTTTTTTTCGTGCGATTGTTTCAGACGACAATATTTTATTTCGAACCCGTATCCTGTCAATACAAGCATTCACATCAGCAGTTTTCCCGTCCTGCGATATTTATTTTTTCATATCACGGTTGAATTTTTTAAAGTTTCACATACTGTGTGTCCACTTCTGACCAATAAGATTTTGTGTTGTTGCGACGTAAGATTCACCGGTATATCCATCATGGCCGACCGGCTGATTGTTTACATGTTGGAAAACAGAGTGCTTTTTGATTTAAAAAAAACCCACAAATATGACAAAGATAACGACCTGAAGGACAACTTGTGGAGAGTCATAGCATTGGATCTCTCATATGACGATAGTTTGTGTGCTTTAACAGTTTGCTAAACATCTTTGTTTTAACTTTCATCTGTGCTAAGTAACTTTAGCTCGTAAGCTAACCTGTTCAGATACAACACACCATATGTATTTTCACTGTTTCAAACTCAATCGAGTTGCTGTCACAGCACCATTAGGTCTCAGTTGTTACCTTACGTTTATGGATTATAGTTTCATGTGCTTATCTGGTACTGGCCCCGACTCAGTACATGCTATCATGACAGACAGCCATCTCAACACTAGTGTCTAATCAGAACTGAAAAACAGTCAGTCTGCTGTTGTGTTTTCTGTTTTTAGTAACTGTGGCATGTGGTAGCTCTCATTATTTTTAAAAGGAGTACCAATTCGCCATCACTTGAAGTTGAAGTAGACTCCATTTTTGTCTTCTCGTTTCCACCCGGGACGCGTCTTTTTTCCCCCCTGGAAAGTCGCAAAATCGCATCACGCTTGATGTGTATAGCCAGGCGCGTCAAAATTCGCCTCTGAATATTTCGTAATTTCGCATCGTATATTTGCATCGTTCTCGATGTGTAAGGACCTTTAGTCTGACACAGCTGCAAACATTTAACACTAAATCAAACCTGGGTCATTCACTTTAAAGACGATATACTCAGTACATGATTGCATGATTTAACTGCTCACACATCCAGCATCCTGAAATATAACTTTTTTATTGCATTGCTATGAGCAGGGGGGCCTTTACCTGCCAATAATCGAGTTGAGGCGTTGGAATCTGGATCAGAAGCACACCTTATTTTTGGAAGATCTATAGTGAACGATAGAGGCTCATTACACCGGTGCACTTTGATAGAGTGCCTGAAACTCAGTTTATTTAGTTCAGAGAGACAAAATGAAAACTTACTCAAAGACAAAAATTAAATTGATGGTTTTTGGTTGTGCTGAATCTTCTCCTGAGAATATCCTCATGTTCGGCTTCAGCTGCTTTATTCTATGGAAATTGTTGCAGAAGCTCACCAGGTAATCTAGCCGGCTCTCAGCCTTCTGGACTGATCTGACAGTGACTGTGACACACCTGCATAAGTGCTCTGCAGTCAAACAGTATTAGGTACAGGCATCCACTCTCCTCTGACAGCTGGATTGCTAGTGTCCTGGCAGCGTGAATAATGTGACTGCCTCTGACTTGCTCCGTATTTCCAAGAGGTACATTTTGTACTGTTAGTAAAAAACGTAAAGCCCTTTACAGCACAGATGATTAAGTTGAGAAAAGCTGGAAAAAAAAATTGTGCTGACAGATATCTTAAGACACATATTCTGTTTGGCAAACAGTTTTTTAAAACTTACCACATCAATAAACTCTGACTGGGTGATAAATAATTAAGAGGGCTCAGCGGGGCCAAGTTGCCCCCTGTTCTTTGGTCTAATAAGCCATTGCTCACAAAGAAAAGGGCTTTCTCATGACAGGAAATAGTGCAGGAGTAAGGAAAAGGGCAGCACATCATTTCAGCACATCCCCATATCTCCAACACATGAATTATAGATTTTCCCATGCAAGCAGACAGGAAGTGGATGCAGTTTTCACATCTCAGATGTGTTTCTAAACCCCCTACCAAAGCAAGCAGAGACGGGGAGCATTTAATCCTGATAAAGGTTCTCCCTAATTTATGAATGAGGGCGCTCTGTTGACAGGAGGTTGAAGTTCAGATGTCTGAGCCTTTGTTTTGCTTGTTTGCTGCAAACATTGGACAAAAGTACTCAGGATGTTGTTTGACTGCTGTAATTTGGCCGCCTCACAGTTTTTAAATTTGCTCTGCACGACTACTTTTACCCAGAAAAATGTGAAAAGAGTGAAAAGTGCAACTTGATCAGGCATCTTAACCAAGAGTTGTGTTACAGCTTAGCAAGGAATACACTGCATATTGATGATGATGGCCACACAGAGACCTTCCACGAGTTAGCATGCAGAGGTTCATTCTCAGAGGTCTATAAGGATGTGCATTAGGGGTGGGAGAAAAAATCGATTCACATAAGTATCACAATTTTTTGTTTTACAATTTTTTAATCGATTTTTTTGGTTAAAAAAAATGATTTTTTTGTTAAAAAAATCTTTTTTTTTTCAAATTTCAGAATAAATCTTAAAAACTGATTTACATGTGATGTGCATTTTTTGGGGGAAATATGGTTCCTGGTATAATTAGTCGACAATCATAATCATTCAACTGTTTTACCGGTATTAAAAATGCAGACTAAGAATAGAGATAATCGAAATATCATAGAATCGAAATCTAAATTGAATAGGCATCCAAAAAATGGTAGAAGAATCGTATCAGGAGAAAAGCATATTGTTCCAGCCCTAATGTGCATTCTCTGTTGTTGTATCCTCTGTATACGAATGGCCCAACTGGGTTCAGCTGTGATCAGGTTGTAAATTAATCTCAAGATAATTCCAGCTTGCCTCTCTGTACCCTGGTTGACCTGCAGAGGAAAGCATCTCCTCTGATCTGTCACCAGATATCCTTGTTTTCCCCAAAAAACTTTAGTCCCCTGCATTGTCCTTGAGAAAGAAATTGAATCCCAGTTGAATTTCCGCAGAAGTGTGTGAACCTGTATGAGGGCTTGCAAGTAAAAAGATGACTTTTTTCACGAGGGATCAGCAGGATGTCCTCTCTCTCCCTTTTCAAAACAGCTACCTTCGCTGAATGTTGATGAGTATGAGTTTTTACCTCGTACCATCCCAAACTTGCTCTGCAACGAGGAGAGCTCAATTACCCTTCAAGCTTGTCCTTAATGCAGCAGAGAGTGATATGTAAAACAAGCAACCAGAGTATCGTTTCATCTTCCAGCAGGTAAATTATACCATCAGACTTTAACGCTCCTTCTTTAAGGGGTTCAAACGAGCAGGAATCCCTACTGCAGTGACAGACATTATCCTTTAATTCCCAACCAAAAAAAGGCAAGGGTGACCTTTGAAACCAAGGAGCATCGAGCATTTTGAAAATTTGGGATTTTAGTCATAATTTAAAGGGTTACTTAGAAAATCAGTACAGAAAGAAAGCAAAAGAAGTCGTAGAAAATGAAAATTCTGAACCCACCTGTGTGACTTTTTCCGTGACATTGTGAGTTCTGTCCTTGACTTTTGGTGCAATGATGGCTGTCTCAGATGTAGGTGGGGAATGGTTCTTCTTATCAGTGGCCTCGGCAAAGTGGAGAGCTATCAAAGGGATCTTGTTGAGGGTGCTGTACTTGTTGATGTTGGAGTCCGAGGTAGAACCGAGTAGGCTGGACTTGACGTGATTAAAAGGGCCTAAAGGTGCAAAACAAGAAGGATCATGTTGGTATCAGGTTGATTTTCTATTCTCTGTGAAAATGGTGGTAGACTACATGCACTATGTTTTAATTATATATTAGATTGCTTTTGAAATTATAAATTAAAATGGCATGAAAATGAAAAGTTGCAAACTTTATTTGGTGACCTGACCAACTTAAAGCAGCTGAATCTAACATTTTTGTTTGATTTTGCAAACATAGACCTGAATTAAATCCACTTTATTTAATGTTATTAAAGGATACCTCGTACTTTATCAACTCTGCAGAGAGCAGTAAAAATCCAAAGAACTAAAGGGAATGATTAATTGCTTCTTTTACAAATGGGACCTGCATTGTAATTCAAAGTTTTTGTGTCCTTATGTAATAAGTTTGTGTACTGACAGCTTTTCACTGTGAGTTAGCTCCACCAACAAACTCAGAAAAAATGGTAATACATTTACAAATCCAGTCCATTAAGTTTAAGACATTTCTGAGGCACAAATTTGACCAACTCTGATTTTGCAGTCAAGCACATGTTTACAGAGGGGAAAACTGGAGCGAGGACATGTCTTATTAAAAATATCTTTACAGGGAACTTTTTGGGTGATCAGAGAAAGAGTCAGGTCTTCTGTGACTAGAAACTAAACACACACCCCATCATTACAGGGACTAAAGGAATCTTCATGTTTATGCTGCACCATTACATAGATCACTGTTGTACTGGTTAGACTTAAAGGATATTCTGGCATAAATTTAAGATATGGTTAAACACACTGTAACACCAAGTCAGACAGCCCCTCCAGAGATGAATGTTGTCGACCGCTTGCTTCTCTAGTTATACCAACTTTAGTAACAACCACACAGTAGCAATACACAGTGTTCTACGTCTCTACATGCAAACCTCAACCAAAAAGCCACTCTATAACCACAAATAATGCTCAGAACAGCACCTAACTTCATCAATAGTACATATAGGGTCCCAGCGATAGTACTAGCCACCAAACCTCTTTTTAGCTTTGCCTGATTTCTTTAGCAAAGAGACTAAACATAACTCACCCACTCTCCTCCAGCAGCCACTTGTTAGTGGGGGAGCCCTGACTAGTCGATCACCTAGTGCAGTGGATCATTTCCATGAAGTAATAATCATAAATGTTCTTCCTTGAGCTGTGAAACTCTGCTGCACTCGGTGATCGACTCATCAGGGCTCTCCCAATTACAAGCGGCTGCTGGAGGAGCGTGGGTGAGTTGTGTTTAGTCTCTTTGCTAAAGAAACCAGGCAAAGCTTGTTTGTGGGGGAGCCCTGACTAGTCGTTCTGAGTATTATTTGTGGCTATAGAGTGGCTTTTTGGTTGAGGTTTGTGTGTGGCTCCTCAGACCACTGTGTATTGCTACTGTGCCGTTGTTACTTAAGTTGGTATAACTAGAGAAGCGAGCAGTCAGTAACATTCATCTCTCAAGGTGGGTCTAACTCGGTGTTACGGTGTGTTTGACCCTAACTTAAATTTAAGTTATCCTTAATTTCATTTTGAATATGTAAGCAGCAAGCTATGCAACAATTGGGGATTTCAACACAGAGACTGCATGCTTTATAGCTTGTAGCATGAAACAATAGCTTGTTTGCAGATCTACTCCACTATCATGTGAAACAAGCATTCGTGCAGGTCAGTGGAAAAAACCAATGCTATGATTTCCATGAGTGCCATTATGAAACACATATGATGACATTATATGACTTTAAAGGCAGCTGCAATGAAAAATAATCCCTTCATCTGTCTAGTATACACACATATACAATTATTTCACACAAGTAGGTGCAGTAAGCCCACTCAAGCTGTCATTCAAAAGTGGATCTGTGAGGAGGATTTATGCTGATTGCCTTGCTTGAAAATCATGCTCCAAAACAGTAGTGAGCGATGAAATCATGGGCACAAATACATGATTACCTCTGACACGGCTACCACTGTCTAGAGACAGCATTTTGTGGACAGAGAATCAGGACAAAATCATCTTAAAAAGCTTCATCACATGAAAGAAATCATGAAAAAGAATAGAAGAAAGTTATCATCAGACAGACAGTACTCATGTACAGCAGATGGAAGCTGTAACCAGTACTTGTACTTTACCTGTTGATCTTTATGTCTTGAGTTTGAGTTTAAACTGTTACGCATCATAAAAGAAGTGGGTGAAGCCTTTGGTCTAAAAGGTGACGTTAATGCTGAAGTGCCATTATGTGATAACCATTATCTCAAACTTGGCTGTTTATACACGAATGTGTGAAACATACAGCTACATTCACTTCTTTGGTGCAGCATAGACCACACCTTTTTATCAATCTCAGCCATGAAGCTGTAAGTGCAGCTATACAGTACATACCTTCACTTGTGTGACGATCCCTGAATATGCTTTTGGAGTTTGAGCTGTAGCCTTCAATTTCATGGACAGATGAGGCCCGTCTCATGCTGTTGATGCTGCCTCTGGGGAAGGTGTTTGACAGGGTGGTTGAGGATTGGTGGGGCTCAGTCTGGTACAGCTTCTCCCAGGGGAGTTTAGGGGATGAATGGTCAATTGGTTCAGGACCGATGCTGGCCTGGGACGAGTGGTGGCTGGAGCCTATGAGGCCGTGTGTGTCATTGGCCTCAACGGGACTGAAAATGCTCTTGGTGGGTGAGGGAAAGGTCTGCAGGGCCAGTGAGTCCTCGTTCTCTTTGGGCGAGTCCACCATTACAGCATCAGGGTCCTCTTGCGGAAGTGATTGCTTGGTGTTCATTAGACTCAGAGCGGCCTGGCGGAAGCGGAAGAATCTACTCCTCCCTAAAAATCAAGAAGAGGTCGGTAAATGTGCATGCAAAATCAATAAAAAACTGTGCAAGAGATAAATCATTGGTAACACTTTACAATAACCATAACTTAAAAATGGCAAATAGACCATTTATAAACGGTAGGCAGATAGTTTACTATTGGTTAATCATCATTTATACATAGCATATAGACCATTGATAAATTATAAATCTTACAATTTTAAAAGCCTAACCCTTATTCTAAACCTAACTTTACAATAATATCTTAGTAATGTTTATAGGTGGTTTATAAACCACTTATTAATCATTTACAAAGAATTACAAACATCAGTTGCAACTTTACAATAACCATCTAAGTAATGTTTATAGATGGTTTAAAAACCAAATATTAACCATTTACAAAGTGCTACTGACACACATTTCAATCTACATGTTTTACAACCAATATCTAACCCTATATAAACCTTTAATAAATAGTCTATTAATAAGTCATGAAAATTATTATAATTTCATTGCTTGTTAATGGTAAATTAACTATTAACTTACATTAATGAACTATCTATTTGCCATGTATAATTGGTCTATATGCTGTTTTTAAATGATGATTAAACATTAATCAACTATCTATTTACCATTTATAAATTATGGTTATTGTAAAGTGTTACCAAATCATTTCCTTTGATTTAAGAGATTAGCTTTTTCCCGAATCATGTACAAGGTTATAAAATAAAGACCACCTTCAACTAAAAAGTCTGAGAGTGCAGAAGTAATGAAACACTGACACCAAAGACCCCTGCTCAGCGGTTTTACAGGTCATGACAATGAAACGAACTGAAGCTGCTGCTAAATCAAGTAGTTCATACATTGTAGCTGCTGTTTTACACTTGACTTTTACTCAAACATGAGGTTTAGCAGTAGAATAGTAATGTAAGAAACAGTTGAAAACCTTTCTCAACATTTAAAAAAACCATGGTTGATCAATAACATCTGCTGTACATAGTGCACTGGCATAAAAAATATTTGGCTCTAACATACAGCCATTTCAAGGCAGGATATCTGTAAGGTATAAGGTAATGAGGCTCAATGATGGGCCTCCTTTTGAGGTAGTAAAGGTGGCTGAGCGGAGAGAAGATGGTGACAATGGAGCCAGCGTGAAGGATCCTTGTGTATGTACATGTTGAGAGTGTGTGTGTGAGCTTGTGGCGCCCCTGCCGTGCCTTTCACACCTCTGCAAAGCTGTAATGTTATGTGAAATCACACTCTGGGACTCCAACGCAATGTGAAAGTACAAAGGCATAGAGACGGTAGAACTTTGTTCAAGTGCTGTTGTGAAGCTGCAATGCATAAGAGATAACTAATACACCTGACCACCTTGACACTGTTATTTCTGATGCTTTTTTAAATCTACATAACAAACAGTTTTTATGCTCTACAAGGAAAGTTTTGTGGTGATGGTCAATTTTGTGCTGTGACTGGACCCTAAGCCAGGAGGTAGCAGCATCAAAGCTTTCGGAGCCAAAGACAGATGGCCTGTTAAAGAAATTCTTTTCAAAGTAGGCTACATACAAAAAAATGCTAGGTTGCTTTTTCAACCCAACCACTAGGTGCTTGTTGGTCAATTTATTTGGGTTATTTTAATGGAGTTGGGTATTCGGAGTACCCAACTCGAAAGGTTATTTATGTTGGGAACAGAGTTATCATCTGTTGGGTTGAAATTTCTATACAGTTTTGTTGGTTTATTGTGGACTACCCAACACATTGGGTAGACGTTCTGCATTTGCAACCAAGCACCACCCACTCAACAGATTGATGCCACAACTACTGAAGCAAGGAGACGTACAAAGCAAGATTTGTTACATTCCCACTATTGTTTTACTGTATAGATGACTTGATATTACTATATAGACCCTCATTTTATTGTTAAGATGTAAGTTTGTGAAGCACTGTTGTGTACCAGCTTCTGCCTTCAGGAATCGATTGGTAGGTGAGCAAGCAAATGGTTATCCAATGTAAGTAGCATAAATTACATTCCGTCAAACGTAGCGAGCTAACATGTTAGCTGATGTGCCGTGTGGTGTGGTTAGAAATGTTGAACTACTGCTTTAATAGACTCACTGTCTTGATGTATCAGGTTGATATGAACAATCAATGGATGATTTTGTGATGTAGAGTGGAGTGGATGAAAGATACAACCAACTGTTCTGTATTGTTTATTTTGAAAAGATAAGAAAACCATATAAAAATAAGAAAAACTGCCAAATGTTTACAAACTCTTAACTTCATTCTCTGTCGGTAAAATGGAAAGGGAGCGGTTAAGGGGTGGCAGTAGCTCAGGAGGTAGAGCAGTGGTCCACTAACCGGATGGTTGGCGGTTCCATTACCCCCTATCCTGAGTCTGTCCGTTGTGTCCTTAGGCAAGACACTTGACCCACCTTGCTCCCAGTGTGTGTCCTCTACTGGCGTGTGATTGTGAGTGTTCTGTGGTGGTGGTTGGAGAGGCGTAGGCGCAAACTGGCAGCCACATTTCCGTCGGCTGTGACTACTAAGATAGTTTACCACTACCAAGGTGTGACTGTGTGAGCGAATGATGTCTCTAATGTGAACCCAAATGCTGGGTTTAAAGAACCCCAATTGTTGGGTTAAGTGAACCAACCCAATTAGTTGGGTAAAATTAACCCAGCATGTGTTCTGTCTAATATTTAACCAGCGCTGGGTTGGGAAACTATCCAAATTGGTTTGTTTTTTACCCAATGTTTTTAAGACTGTATCTGAGAAAAAGCCACTAATATTTCATTCTTCTAAATCTACTTACAATTCTTAGATATATGCAGAAAAAGCAGGTTGCACTGTTGAATTTTTACAGGGACCAACTCCTGATTGACACTGTAGGAAATGATAATGACCTCTGGGGACAAGAGTGAAAGTTTTGCCTCATTAACTATAGAAAGAGGGTGAAAGTGAACCCTGCTTCACTCGCGGGGCACCCATCCCTCAGCACTCTCCTTATGTAACACTGTGGCCATCTGTTTCCATCCCCTGACCAAACGTGCTGATGTTACAACTATAGCAGCTTACGATAGGGCCGTGACACTCAACAAGTTTCCTGGAGAGGAACCTAATGACATCCTGAGCTGGCATGAGATATGGATAACCTTCCTGTCTTTGCTCTGTGGGGAGACTCTGTCATCACTGCAGAATGCTCCTCAGGCCGGATGCTTATATAAGCCTGTTTAGCATTATTTGGTATGGAAAGGTCTATCAAACACACATAGAGCAAGTCCTAATAATGCTGTACATCATTTGAGAAAAAATCTCAAAGTTCTCCATCATGCCTTTGTCTTTTTTATGTTTTGGTTTTTATGACATTTTGGATTGTTGAGTGTTGTTGATGTTAAGAGAGTAAAAATAAATATCATGAGGGAAGGCTAATAACCACACTTCTTTCAGTCTGTCACGACTAATTCAGGAGATGTCATCACTTCTATTGATTCATGGTTCTTGGTTTTTCTCACCTCATTGGGACCAAAGAGTGGGTAAGGTCACATGACAGTCATATGGGAATTACTGCGGTCATACTGAGTCAGTGCGGCAGCAAAGGAAGGAAAATAGAGATGGGGGTCGTGACTTTCTGATATGTGGTGATACAGCCGGTCCTCGACACAAACACAGGGATGCTATGTGCGTTTTGTGTGTTTATAAAACGACTACTCTCAAATCATCTCTTTTTTTATCTTGTGTGTGTTGCTGAAGTGTTTGCCAGACTAACTACAGCTTTTTCAACCAAACTCCAACCCTTAAGGGCTCACAGCGCTGTCTTGATATCTCCCCTGAGATGGCTTCAAACAAATTCAAACCATTAACATGGGACTCTGATAACTCATACAAAGCCATAATGTCGCCTTAACAACTCTCATGTGGCTCTTAAGCATGAATGAAGTAGACAGAAACAGGAGATATTTTACACTTGTGTTCACACTAATGCATGACTGACTGAATATTTCTAAAGCTGCAGGAGGAAAAATCTGTGAGTGTGAAATGGTGAGGATAAGACTTGGCATCACTTGAGCTGAGTTGCAGCTTAAAGTGGCACAGATGACAAATTGTAAGATTTTGATCAAAGTAAAGGATAAGACGAAGTGTAATGGTTTACAAGCAACAAATGAAGTGTTTCAGGCTTTAAGGAAGAAAAGTTGAACTTCTCTCACAGGTTCATTAACTATCTTGAGTTGAGAGCAGTATTCAAAAATACGTGATATAGAGTCTTAAATATGGAAAGAGCTAGGAGCCTGTCTGGCTGCTCTTTCTATATTACAAAACAGTCTCCAGCTGTGGTGGTATGAATCTGGGGTTTCAGGAAACCTCTGGCAAAATCATAAATGTCAGTTTTCTATAAATACCTCACAATTTAAATATGTCTTACGGCTAAATTTGTTAGTTCTTACTGTTTTATGCTGACTCTCAACTGGGGGTAACTTTGGGAGGTTCTGTCTGGATTTCACTCCACTATAAAAACCTGCTCAGGATACATTGTCCTACTTATTACCCTGTCATTAACTCAAGACTAATTACAAAAATACATAAAAAATACAGGTTTAAAGGCGATTCTATCTATATCAGTCAGGAAGTCTTTTAGACAGCTGGCTAAACAGTCCCTATGCTTGTTACAGTTGGTAGCACCTTTAATGACAGCCTACTTGAAGGTTGAATCAACATGAAGTAAAACATTTATTTTTAATTTCAAGTTAAACTGCTGTGCTTAAATGTCAGAACCATAGACTGCGTATATTAACTTGGTTCCACCTTCCGTCATTACATGAATTTAAAGCTAAAATGCTCTTAGTATTTCTGGGATTTTCTCCACTTCCTGGAACCACCACTTGCGCAGTAGCGTTGTACGCATTCAGCAGGAGAGTTGCTGTGATGACGCTCAGCTTAAACAGCATATCCACCGTGTGAGCTAGGCAATCTTTGTATGCCCATAGGTTGTAGCAAGTGTCAATCATAGAAAACATGAACCCCCTAATAACTTAGAAATGGCGCTACAAAGAAAAAAAGAGGACTTGAGCACAAACCAGTCTTACAGTAACTACATGTTAACATCACAACCAGGAGGGAGAAAATTTATATTCTGTGTGATAAATTTCTAAGTTTGTCCACAGCACCACAGGGATTGCTGGAGGAGGCGGGATTTATGACCTATACTGCAGCCTGTCACCAGAGGGTGCTGTTCTCCCGGTTGCTTCACCCTGCAAGGAGGTAGTCGGCGTCCATTCTATATACAGTCTATGGTCAGAACTCACATTAAGTTGAATAGTTAAGATGAATTTAGATGAGACAAAGCCATTACTGTGTTTTATTCTGTGTTTGCTTTGTGTCTGTCAGCTCCAACTTAGTCAATGTCTCCTCCACTGAAGTCCAGTGCAGGGCTGTAAATACTGAAACTAACCTTCACATTGCTTATGACTGACATTGCTTACTTCTTTCCCATAGTGTTAAAAGGCAGAAGTGAAATGTGCCAGACCTGCACTGACTTGATTGCGGGACCATGCTGCCCCTGACAACACTTTGCCGTCAACAAATAACACATTGCGTCTGTGGGGTACTGACCAGTCAGAATTAAGTGCTAAACACAGTCTGGTAATAATGGCCTTGATAAAATATTGGTACACGTCTCACTCCTCAAGAGGGCTAGTAACCTACTCACTGAGAGCGTATGTAGACATTTTCACATGCAGACTATTTCGTCTAATCTTAAAGTGTCTTAAGACGGGAAAGGAAACACAAACAACAAGGAAGAACCTTTATTTCTGTGATTAGTACCTCATTTCATTTTGGTTCGAAATGTGGCTTTAACATGTTTAATTGTTCACTGCAAGGTAACTCCAGGCATAGCTCCTCGTTGACACAAAGGTATTTACACTGGAGGAAAACTGTCTTTCACTTAAATAAAGAAAAATCTGATAGTAACAGAGACTTCCAATCAAACTCCAGTTCCAAGTTAAACTTGTGATTACACCAGAAAATCTTTCCAATTGTGTAGCGAGGCAGTAAGAGTGAATCTCTCAGGACCAAACAGTGTATCTTTCTGCTGAGTAATTTGTAGCTTTTGTGTCTTGTTTTGGGTCTTCAAGGCAGGTCGAAGCTGCTGAACGGTGTGTTTTAGATGGCAGCTCAGGGGAAGAGGGATTACTTTCTTCCAAGCTCAATATTGTGCTCGCTGACACCTGCAGGTTTATCTTCTGCTGTCAACAGTGGATCATAATTAGCCCCAAAAGTCAAAAATCCCTTTTTACATGCAGCTACACTGATACACGGTTAGGCTATGAAGAAATATTCCAAGAAAGAGTATTTCAGGTAAAACGCTAGGAATTAAATTCAAGTTTTTAAAGCTGATGTTCACGAATCATGTGCAGCGAAAGTTGAAGTCAGAGCACGCGAAGCATTAAATTACCCCTATGCCCTGATGTTATCTGAGGGCCGCTTAAAAGCAAAGACAATGGAAAGGTCACATTCTAAGTGTGATGTGTGCAAGTTGTCAAGACTGTTTCTAATCTAAAGTCACATCATATGTTTGACTCCCCCATCTACCCACAGGTCCCCTCTCTGAAGCACTGTCACAAGCAATCAATTTTGATTAGCAATGTTAGCAGCGGACACAGGCACTCACTTGCACATAAGCAGATATGTACACACATGCATGCACACGCGTACACTTACATACACGCATAGAGACGGAGGAGCACAAGCTGAATGCCAGTGCCTCGGAGGAATTCATGCTGAGTGAAGTGGATAGCTGAGCTCCGGTTAGACAAGAGATGCTGAGTGCCTCCAATCAGGGAGGAGCCTGATTGACATTCACACCCACTGACACACATTCAAATACAAAACAAGGTATACACATGCATGCATGATGAATATGCTGCCTTACCAAAAGAACAAGACAGAAATAGCCATTCTGTCATTAATTTAACATACTCTATAACACAAGCTTATGTAACCACTCACGCCCTGTGCTGCACCATACATGAACAAAACTAAATAATGCACCAGAGAGGGACAGAAGCTTGAGATGTTATTGGGTGTTAAACAGAGGATGTTAGGGAAGTGAATCATAATCTGCAGTACTTAATTAGTGTCTGGGAGATGCAGAGTGCTCATTTAATGAATTATCTCAATTTCAGCTCCCCACTTCGTGTAACTGCCTTGTATTAAAAGAGGGAGAAAATAATTGTTTGAGGAAATGGTGCTTTCCCAATGACTGTGTTTCATTTGGTGATGGTGATAAATGCATGTTGAATATGATATCGTTATTATCTGACTTTCTGTGTTGAAGATGTGATTCAGATTGGTCTAAACTCCCAGACGACAGTTATAAATTCTCAACAGCAAAAGCAAAGCTAGAGACCTCCTGATCACACACATCTCAGAACAGTGTTTCACCTCTTGCCGTTAACAATGTGACACAAACATTTCTTTTTGATAGCACTGAAGACAATACGAAGAATATTTCTGCTATAAAAGAAAAGCAGTCACCAACATAACAAGAAGACAAGAAGTGACAAAACAGCACTAGAATAAGAAAAAGATGTTAAAACACAAATAGCTACAAATCACAACACAGCTTTGACTAGAAGAGTGAAAAGAAAATGCCAGAGGAGGTATTTCAATTTTTTCATATTTTGAAAACAAATGTAAGGTTAAAATGTTGGACATCAGAACTATCCATGAGAAAAAAATCAGATTTCAAGTCCCCAGATGGGACAACAGGAAACTCTGAATTGCTTCTTTAAAAAGTTTTACGAGAATTCAGCGAGATCAATATCAGATTTGCTCAAAGAGGGGCAATGCCAAACAGTGAATCTCCTTTAAAGAGCAAATTAGTCATTTCATAAAAAGAAACACAACTTTACAGCATGGCAACAGTGAAGGAGGGTTATTAAAAACTGCTAAGAGGCTCTCAGAGGGACGAGGGAAGAATAATACACCCCTTTAAACATTGAGGAGATCTTATAGAGGTGCTAATAGTGGATAAAGAAATCTTGAGTTTAATGTGAAATGGACTCTTAAGCAGATCTTCTGGTGGAGGTGCTACCAACCTTTAAAATTGTAGGCCTTTCTTGTCTAACTGTAGATAAACTCATTAATGCATGTCTAGTTCAATTCTTAGTTTTAATTTGCTTGTATATTTGGTTGGTTTCAAGGTAAGAAGCAGTACAATGTAGTATAGTTAGGCCAGATAAGACCCTTCCCACTGCACAATGCAGTGTCAAAATGACATCTATTTAACGCATTTTTCGACGCACTGACGTGTAGATGTGGTCTTTAATGGACTGACCCAATACCGACTTCATCTGCACGTCTCTTCGACGTCCGATGTTTGGTGGGTTAAAGGCTTGTATTTGGAATAACCATCAGCTAACTCACATGAGATACTCAACCCTCCCGTTGATGAATTAGTTGTTTGAACCTAGAAAATACTCATCAAGGATAAATGATCATAAAACCTTAATTTTTTGTTTAATTTCTGCACATTATTCTGGATACTTTGAGCAAGTTGTGTCATATACTCACTTTGATCTGACTTTGTAGGGGATGTGGGGCTTATCTTCTCAGTGGAGTTGTCACTCTCCTCATCCACGACGTAATCGAAATTCAAGATAAACATCATCACCACTCCCTCTTCGTTTTTCACCGGGATGACATGGGTGTTACACTGAAAGTCAGACCCTGAAAGAGAAACACAGAAAAGCTGACTTTTACTTCATTCCATCAGCTACTTCGTCTATGCAAAAAAAACCTAAAACTCAGCCCTTGCTTAATGATGAGTCTGGCTCTCTCTGTGGGGGAAAATATGGAGAAATGATAGACTCCAAGTGTCATATGACAGGATGAGAAACTGTCTTATTGGTTATCACCTATCTGTTAAGACAGCGAGGGAGAAATACGTTGCTGATATATCTCTAAAAACTCCCACTCTCCCTTTGAGTTTTATTTAGCACAATAAATACAGTCCATAAACCTCCTGTCTTCACCTGCCCTCTGCCAGCTACAATCACCTGTGACAATTTGCTGATTTTTTTCATAAGTAAAATAGATAATTTCCGCTGTGCTTTCTCACCTCCTACCTGTCATTCCTCCTACCTCCACCCCCCTTGCTCAGCTGTCCTCAGTGAGTTTGAGGCAGTGTCTCTTGATAAGATTTAAGACGTAGTTGCACACACTAGACTCCCTACTTGTCCCCTGAACATTATTCCTGCACGACTTTTGTAAGTAAGTGTTTGACACTGTAGGCCCCACGGTTTGTCTCATCCTTAACAGCGGCCTGTCTAGTGGCTCTGTTCCCCCCTGCTTTGAGCGAGCAGTGATTCATCCTGTCATCAAAAGACCAAACCTTGATCTAACAGTTTTGAAGAATTTCTGGCCCGTCTCAAACTTGCCTTTTCTTTCAAAACGATGGAAAAATGAGTCCATCAGCAGTTGTTCCTAGAAATAAATGAGATCACAGGCATTCAAGGCATGTCACAGCACAGAGTCAGCTCTGCTTTAAGTCTCCAACCACCTGGTATCTCTTCACCCTGGTAACTCTGCAATATCAACATTGTTGGAATTCACCTCTGCTCTTTACACAATCAAACAGTCCAGCCTCCTCAACTGTCCTGAACATCATGTTTATGTTCAGGGTAGAGCTCTCTCGCAGTTCACATCCTATTTAACAGATCCTTTCAGTCACTATTTCTCTGCCTCTCCCATCATCACCTCTGGAATACCTCAAGGTTCTATACTGGGGCCTTATTGCTTGTCCCACACATGCTCCCTCCAAAAACACAGTATTTCACACAAGTGCCACAGAAACATGATTCAGATAAAATGTGACTATATATTAACAACATATTCAGTATATAATATATACAGTTATATATGACAGCCATTATTCCTCGTACATCACTGGTAATCTGATATTAAGTCATGAAATAGAAAAGTATACTGGGTTATGTTTTACATTTCAGATTATAACCTTTATTTAGGAGCCAATATCAACTCCATTGCACTACACGTCATAACAAAATATCTATCAAGCACTTGTCAGTAACTGTAAGATTTGATATGCTGTCATTGGGGATTAGAAAAACAGGTCTTCATTTAAGAGGACGTTTGCGCCGCTTGTCAGCAGCCACACTGACGAGGCTGCCTGCAGCGTCTGCAGGCATTATTTGGTGGATATCTGTTCTCATGAGCTTAGATATCCACCAATACTTATTATTTCTGTTTTTATTCTTATTTCGAATGTATTAGTAAATACTGGCAGTTTTTTATCAAGATATGCTTGATAAATGCAACTGATTTTATTTATTTGAATTAAACTTGCAGGGACACACAGTAAAATTAAAAAGTATTGTTGCAGCTTAAGTCCTAATTTAAACATTAATAACAAAAAATGACTAACCCCTCCCTCTGGTTTCACATAAATGTTAGGAAGAAATGCAGAGAACTTGATCTGATTTAAAGGTCATTGCCTTCACATCAGAACAAATAAAAGAGATAAAAATAAGTAAGCCCAGGGGTTAAATGTGCTATACATGTGCCACGTGTGTTTTAATGAGCAATACATAGCATGAAAATGAGAAAGCTTGCAGAGGTTGGACAAATGTGATGCAAGAGCCCCAGCATGGTGCAGACAGTAGGGTTTAGCCGAACAGATCAAACAGGCAGGGCAGATTACAGCCAATTTAGAGGATTGCAATGCGCTCATAGGAATAATTACTCGAGCTGAGAATCGTGTGAGGCAGCAGAGCGGAAAAACAATCCTTGATCTAAACTTAGTCTGGAGCCCCAGAGTATCCCCATTTCTCAACTGCAGTCACTGGTTATAACGGTGTTAGTGAAAGCTATTATTGATGCCTGTGGGCACATGTGCCCAACAACACAAGTTTGTACTCACTGGGCTCTAAATAACAACACACTGGGTGCAGTACAGTGAAAGTAACTTGCAGGTAAAATTGTGATCAGACCCAAGTTAACATGCTCTTTAAGAAGTTCTTCAGATTTTTTTTTTTTTTCTTTTGATAGAGAGTACATTTTATTTAACTGTCCCTCTGTCACTCTCAGGCCTGTCTATGTCTCTGTCTGGCTTGCTGTGTCGCCCCTCCTCACAGAGGACACATATTACCGGCGTTCGCTGTAATCTCCGCAGGGCTCACAGACACCCTGCCAGCAGCATTCATTAGCAGTAGACTTGCTGTCTGACTAAATATAACAAACTTGGTCTGCCTCAACATGCCAGAGTTCTGTTGGAAGGATTTCTGCATAAAATCTCCCAGAAGGCTTGCAGCATTGTCACCGCTGGGGAATATGATAATGTGGCTTTAATACAAGAGGTGACATGAAAAATGTACAGCGTATGAGAATGATGGCAGAATTAACCGGAATCATCTATATGACGTACACTTGTGTATATGGATAATAAGACGACTCGGCAGCTATCTTCTCAGGTGTCATGGGTGCCTGAAAATGTTGTGTTGGGAGGTAAAAGAGGAGAGCTAAGGGACTGTGAGTCCTTCCTTCCACAGAAAATCCCCTTTTCATAAAAAGCACTTTCGTGCATTTCCCAGAAATCCTTCACTTAATTCTACATTGTCCTTTCTAAAAAAGGAAACGGTCTGAATTCTGACTTTGATCTGTTTGATTTCACTGTTTGCTCTTTTTTTTCAGAGTGGAGAAAAAAAAACAGTTCAAGTGCTATTCAGTTATTCAGTACTGACTTTAATTATCTGATAAACCCTGAAGGAATTAGTCTAGTTTGTGACTAATACTTAAAATCTGCCTCCAAAAATATCACGTTTGATGCTATTTGAGGATATTTTTCCCTAATCTAAAGGTGGACACAGGAGGGGAAATGAGCAAAGTGATTAGAGGATGACGTCCAATAAAGTTCCTCAGTTGGAATATGACATACTTTTAAAAACAAGTTTATAGCTGACTCATATAACATATTTTCCTGCGAATCTTGTGATGAATATCAAATAAATTCTATATCTAACATTTTCTGCTGAGCTGCACCAAAAAGGACACAAACATTTAGGTCATATTTTCACTCTTTGACTGTTTGAAAATGAAGAATTTGCCTTCTGTACTCTGGGCAACAAGATCAGACACTTTTCTGTACTGCTGCAGCCTCATAAAGCGAGGCACGTGTAATTAACGTATCTATATAAATGAAAATGTGAAGTTTCAGCATTCCTCCTCAATATATGGGAAAACAGTTGCAGCTACCCCCTTTCTCAGGGGCTTTCTTAAGTTTCCCGAGTATAGCATAACTGGTGCATTAAATATGCATCGCCTTCGTTCACTAGATGCAGCCTTCAGCATATAAATTAAAAATTGTTTTGCTAACAGCATTATGCTTTAACATCTATGTGGCTATATGCTTACATGCACTACCTCCAGTTTTTTTTCCACATATTCCACAACGTGAGCAGCAGAAATGCTATAAAAAATACATGTAATGAGCTCAGTCACCAAACTGAGAAGGAAAAATAGGAGTTAAACCGAATAATCATATTTGTTCAAGCAGAGATCTTGGGTAAATTATTGAGCACTTCGTTCAGCCAATTCAGCAGAGATATTTCTGGGCTGGAGTTTCCCTCAGCAGATGGGGAAACAATAGTCATGCTTAAAGGCTAAACCATGGGGGTCCCCTCTCATCCAGTCTCCTGCTGAATGTCACCTCTACAGCAAAAGGATGAAAGAAAAGCTTCCTCTCAAACAGCCGTGTTAAAGTAGCACAGACTGTGCGGGTATGAAACTTGATCTGATCAAGTGTTCATCTCATGGTTTTCTCCATTATTTTGTCAAACTGTGTATGTCCTCCTGCAAACAAAGAGGGACTTTTTGTAAATAAAACAGGGACTGCCTTTCTTCCTCCACTTTGTATCAGCATGTGATGGGAAAAGTTACGCATGACCTGAAGAAAGATGGAAGAGAACAACGGTGTTATTCATTTCCTCTGAATTTCAAACCAAGGCTATGAGCCAACCCAAACAGCAAAGCTCTTATTTTCTCAGTTTTTCTTCAACTAAACCACAATTATCTAACCTTTTGGGAGCCACATCATTTCTTAATACTTCTACTGAACACAGTTTTCATTAGTTAAGGGGGTTCCTGTCACAGATGATCCACCAGAGAGTCTTTTTCTAAGGTTTTATGCACAAAGAAACTAATTCCTGACAAGTAGAAGGTTTAAAATCCAACCAAACTCAAGCTGAATTCAAGCCTGAGCATACTCTCTGTATATCAACTGAATTTACACAGACAGATCTTGTTTTTACATCATGATCCCCTCTTGCTGACGGCCTGACAAACAGACTCCTCAGCTGAAGCGTCATCATGATATAAACTGTCAGACTGTTGTTAAAGAGGCTCTGATTTATGTTTTTGGTCCACAGGGAAATACTTTCAGTTCTGCAATTTAGCTTTTTTACAAGTTGATGCAATTGCTCACTGTATTACAAATGGGACTCATAATCACAACATAGAAAATTGCAATGAGGAACAAATAGAGTGTCAATTCAGATGTCATACACACTGATAAAACATCAGTATGAGGAGCCATTAAGTGGAGATAAAACACCATAGACTGTATATACTATGGAAAACTTGGTTCCGCCTTCTGTCACCATACAAATTTGAAGCGGAATTGCTCTCGGTATCTCTGGGATTGTCTACAATTCCTGGAACCACCACTTGCACAGTAGTGTTGTACACAATCAGTGGAAGAATTGCCAAGAGTCACTGTGATGACACTCTGTTCAAACAGCGTATCCCCCGGAGGATCTACACAATCTTTGTACACCCATAGGCTGTATCAAGTGTCAATCATAGAAAATATGAACCCCCTACTAACTTTTAAAAATGGAGCTGCTCAGAAAAAATATATTCTGTGTCATTCATTTCTCAAGTTTGCTCCATAGGGATTGCTGGAAGAAGCAGGATTTATGAGCTATACCGCAGCCCGTCACCAGAGGGTGCTGTTCTCACGGTGGCTTCACCCAGCGAGGAGGCAGACGTCCATTCTATGTATAGTCCATGTAAAACACACATTCATGTTAACTGTTTGTCTTTGTTGTTTTTCATTTTTTTAATGTCTCAGCTTGCTGTATGCTCTGCACCCATACAAAGGTATACATTTGTACTACACAAACTACAATGCTTCATGCAAATCTTTTACATTGTGGAGGCTTTTAAGGTAAGACTGTCCAGAGATTTGTGTTATTCCTTTGGTACTGTCAACAGGGCTTCTCACATAATGGCTGAAGTTTTGTTCCAAATTAAGCAAATATATTTGTCTGTTCTCTATTGTCCATGGAAAGATAATTTTTTAATTCAAAAATATGAAAAAACAAGGTTTAGAGCCATTAAAACAGCATCCAGTGATATAAAAATTCCCTGAAAGTCACAACCAAAGGCAATTACAGCAAATACACTGCAAGTGAATTTAATTGGTGAATGTGGTTTTCAGCTAATGGGTCAGGACCCAGGTCATTTTCAGTGGGTCAACAGTGTGTGTCTTTGAAGTTGTTGCAAAAGTCTTTGCAGCAAATTAATTTTGAAAGACAAATTTGACGCAATGACGCAGCGCATTTGCAGGAGTATGCTGGTTTACTGACACTCCAACACAATAGGTGGCTGTGAGTCACCCTAATGCTGGTTGTTACCTGCTTTTAGACAACAAATTACAGAAATTGGGGTTATTATTGTTGTAGAGGTTTTGCGGAGTTGGGTCCTGCCAGAAGCCTGATAACAGGCTTCTGATTTATCAGTTTGCAGCACTTAACTCTCCTCAATGTGACACACGTTTTCTCCAGTTAATTCTTTGTGTTTGTATTTCACTTTTACATAATGTCAAACTTATCCAACTATATGAACGTGGAACAAGCTTTCTGTCTTCCTCGCTCTCTTTCATGTGTAATGTGGTTTACATAGAGCTCCTGAAGCCCAGCAAAGGTTTTTTGTATCTACCGCACACAGGATATTCATCGTCTTGTGCATAAAGGTTATTATGTTGTAAGCAGAGGAAAATTATCTTGTGTGCATTAGCTGTTTTCTTGTGCACACAGTTTATTAACATGTTTCCTTATCTTGAGTTTTAAAATTACGTTTCCTCAGTGCGCACATTCCTGTTTCCACAAAATCAAGCCCTTTTTAAGTTCATGCATTTTAATACTGTTTCTGTTGCAATTAGATTGTGGGGTGGGAATGAGGGGTTGGGCTGGGGTTGATTTGGGTATTCTTTTAATCTTGGGTTGGGGTAAATTTGGGAATTCTTTGTTTCTTCTATTCCTTTATCTGTGTGAAGCACTTTGTGCTACATGTTATGTATGAAAAGTGCTATATAAATAAAGACTGATTGATTGATTGATTGATTGATTGATTGATTGATGTGTACAGTGTCTAACATAAGATGTTTGTACTAAAGTTGCTCCCTCTTGTTTAAATTTGGCTCCAACATGACTTGTGAAAACCGGAGCATAGTCTTTTACAGTTAGGTTAGAGAGTGATATGTGTGTTAGCCTGCTGGCTAGGGATGGGCGATAAATTATCATTCACAATATATAGTCAGAAAATTCATCCATGATAAAAGTTTGCCATCTCATGATGAATTTGATAAATGCAAGTTGATGACGTAAGCACAAGCGACGGACTCACAGCCGTAGCTCACACAGATCAGAATAACAAACAAACATGTCTGAAAGTAATGAAGAGGACATCTTTGAGCAGCTCGTTACTGAACGAGGCTCCACATGAGGGATTTCCTTCAAGATTGGGGCTTAGATGAGTGCAATCAGGTATGCCTGACATCGCAGAGTGGATCTGCTGCTGCTGTTCACTCTGTGCAAAACATGTTTAACTAATGTTGAAAGTGTTTTCACATTTTACAAGTTTTCTCTATAAGGTACCACTTACACTAGTGGTTAAGTATCTTTTTGACTATGCCAACTGGTGTCCTCAAGACAGAATAAGTCAAAATCATGAATTTTAATATCTGTCATCGGGACTTTTATCATTAGAATGGCAAAACTTATCATGATAAATGTTTTAGCTTATATCGCCCATTCCTACTGCTAGCTGCAGTTGGCTATAGGCTTTGCATTGTTATAGTTGCACTGTTGGCATTTTCTAATGAAATCTGTCAATTAATTATTCATCTTTTTGTTTTAACTTAACAAAGATGTTTATTAATGCTCCAAATATTACATAAGTTGTTTGGAAATTTTAAAAATAAACGTATTCAGTGGAAAAAAAAAGTTTTCAAATTAATGTATTAAAGAACTGTAATTGAAGGACTACAGTATATCAACACCATGATATTTTTGCTTAAGGTTCTCATATTGTCTGAATCTCAGCCCATGTGTACGCACAAGGTAAATATTTACTGCACTTAAGATAAAATGAGCACCTTATAGGACCTAAGAGGCTCTGCAAATTAGAGCCATGGTAAATACAACCTCATATTTTAAAAAGCAAAATGTTTCTCTGAGACTTTTTTAGTGCTCACAGCCTTTCCAGTGTTTAATTGTCCCAGTTCCAATGCTTTTTAGAATCCTCTTGTATTTTTCTTTTTTTCAGCTGCCTGCTTAGTGGACCTTGGTACGCGGGGTTTGCAAAAAAAACACTTGGCCAACAACATCAGAAGCAAATATTTTTTGCAGGTACAATCAATTTTTCCTATTTCAAATCCAACTTTTTTGAAATTCTTTTTATAAATGTTGAATTATCTGTAGAGCACAGTGTCAGCGCTGCTGAAGACAGCTGCCTGTTGGAGTTTGAAGCTCTGAAATCTTCCTATACCACCGCAGAACTCATTTCATCATGATGCATCACTATCCAAACACGGCCATAGATGCACCACACATAAAATTACTGACAGCTGAGCGATTTGTAGTACTGAGTGTCCTTTACACAGTGTTTCCCTGTGAGCCAAGAAATGTTATTTACACCTCCCTGAATGAATGGACAGTGTATTAGGACTCGCTCTCTTTTCATGATGGAAATTTCATTAACTGTAGATTCTGTTTCCATCATCAATTATTGAAAGATTGCAGTTTAATCAAGTGGTGCTTAGGACATTCACAACAGTGGCTCACTGTCAAACACAGTTGTGGTGAAAGTGTTAGATGTCTCAAAGATACATAAACATTAGAGAAGCTGGTGTTTATACTTTTGGAGTAATGCAGGGACAGCTTCATGTTTTTAATGTTATTTAAAAAAAAGAGAGAGAGAGGCTATTCCCCATTTCAACCCTGCTGTTCGATTTTGATGTATTGAAGCTTCATATTAATCTGCATAAGCTGATCTACTTTGGGGGGGAAACATGAGTAATATTGTTGAGCACTGATTTTTATTTTTATATCCTCCTATCAGCGTGCTATCACACAACCCCAGCTTTAAACAGCACAGCCGCAGACTACTGCCTGGTAATAAGTCTTGTATAATGGAATCTGACATGTTTCTCGTTTAGGGCTATTCTGCTTAAGCCAATACGCAACGTTACTGGGGCATAGCCAATCGGGACTAGGGCATGTAGGGAGAGGCCATGCAAGCTAACCCTTTGTTTCCAGTCCTCAGCCCTTGTGGCAATATCTCGCCTAAGTGTGGCTGCTGTGAGCCACGCGGCCTGGCCTAATTTCATCTTCAATCAGCGTCTCCAGAGCCATCAGGAATAACTAGCGAGCTCCAGCTCCAACACCACATCTTATTTGTGTTTATGTTTTTCATTTTATGATATCTTTGCTACATGATGATTTATTCCATCTAGTTCGGCACAAATGTCACTGGATCGAATGCAATGGATGGTGAAAAATGTAAGTTAGAGTACAGTGAGTGGTTAAGAGAAAAACACAGATGGTATGGGGGGGAATATTAGATTACCACCTCCAGTACAAGCATGGGATAAAAATAGCCTTTGGATGAACATTACAACCCAATGCAAAGTGAGAGGTGTATTGTTTTACTGTTTCAAGCTTCATTTAATTGTTATTTTATGTTGTACTTACACTGCTTTGACTTTAGTCTTTCTCTGCTTTGAACTCATCCATATGCTATCATTGTACAAATATGGAAAGTTTCTCTAAACTGCAAATAAAACTGGATCCCATTAAGGAGGGGATGGGGAAATATTACATAATACCATTCAAAATCAATTACAAATGAAAATATGACACACTCAGGTGCTTTAGAAACCCCAAACTAATATCAAGTTCAGGTGAGCCATGATTTTAAAGACTTGGGGAATTTTACATGCTGGCTAAGCAGTTTGCTCACCGCCAGTTAAGAGAGCATTAAAGCCAGATTCTGAAGAAAAAAAAAAAAAAGGTCTTGCGGTGTGAGATTCAGAACCAGATAAACCCACAGAGACTTTGCCCTCTAACCAAAAGTCCAGCGGAAACGTTTTCGGGTCAAAGCAGCGAATCATTTATCTACAACTGATGAGCACAGAGGGAGGCACCTTGCAGAGCGATGGTTATTTGATTAATTGTTGAATAGTTCCTGACTGTGAGATAGAATTTTTGCTTGAAATGCCCATCCCTAATATAAAGCTCCACTAATTCACTGTATATATAATCTCACTCAGTATATCTTATATATGCACATCCCTGCAACCAATGGTGTGAAACCCCAGCAGTGTTTAATTTTAGGCACAACATTTTGCATAATTCAAGATGATAGTACAACAAAATAGTACAAAGTATGTTTCCTTGGGGGGGATTTTTTTTTAATGACTTCATTGAACTTGATAGTTTTCTTATTCTATTAAAACATGGACAAGGTGTCAGGACACCACTCAGTGGTTTCTGAAAAAGTGGAATGACGCTCAAACGAGGTGGCTACCATATTAGAAACTTGTACTAAGTTAATATCACTGAGCCAAAAAGGATGCAGATGGATTGTTTCCACTGAACAGTGAAGATCAAGCGGTCTGTGTTGCTCTCTGTTGCTAGCGTTACTGCTATCACAAACTATTTAGACTTGGTAAAGACCCTAAAGTCAGTCAAATTTATCGCACCCTTATCGCGCCCAAAATGAGTTCCAAATGTTTTCCATGTACGAGGGAAAACACGATTAATTCTGTAAAAGAAGCCACTTTAATATGGGAGATCTGAGGTATCGGTGGCTTCAGGAGCCAGCCTCAAGTGGTCACTGCACTAGTCTGCATGAACCTAGGCTCTCGCATCTCTCTAACGAGCTTTTCTTTGCATCTGTAGGTGAACTTTTTTTACCAAAGAGCTCATCCGCAGCTTAGTTTTAGCTGTTCAATACAGCATACTGCCCAGTGTGAAACCTTCTGAACAAAGGCAGTTTCAGCGGAGTGTAACTCACTCCTTCATAGAAGTATCAGTCTCTTCTCTAATGGTCTTGCCTGTTTTTGTAGACCATGAGGAGACTTTGAAAATAATAATGGTCGAAAATACAAGTACAAACCCCACTGAAGCTTAAAGGTCACTTGTGCCTCACACTGATCTCCGATTTTTGGTTTGCTCATGATTATTCATCATACAGTAAAAAGATCTGACAAGTCTGTTTGAAGTTGAGGTTGCAACACCGCAAGGAATAGCATTGGAAGCGATGGTAGCAAGACATCCATTACCTAAAGTAACATGCAAATTTCCCTGATGCGTGCAGGTTTCACAGTGTTGCTTTAATTTGTAACATCTACCTGAACAAGCTGATTGGTATCTAACATATGAAACCTGATGTGAGACGCTGTGTGTGTGCTTCACTTCATACTGAGAGACACCATAGAAGCTTTAGCGCGATGAAAAATGGATGTGCTCTTTTGGAGGATGGTCATCCAAGTGTCTTGCAGCACACCTCATGCACCGAAGCCCCTCTGTGTCCCCTCACTACACCCCTCAGCTGGGGGTGCACGGCCTGTCAGTCCCCTCTGCGGGGAGTCACCCATGAAACCCTGCACCCACGCATACCACATGTCCCCGGCTCATTTGGCACGGTTAGCTAAGCTGCTCGCTGTTATGTAGCCATTATCCATTTAACTTCTCTTGAGGCGGTGTCAGCTTCCTTTTGTTAAGACTCATTCAGGTACAAAGTATTATTACACCCCGTGGAATAGGATAGCTCCACAAAGCCATCGGGGAAAGCATTTACCTCATTGATTATGTATCATCCCTGGAGGAAGGGAACCGCGCGTGTGGTATCTTCACGAACAACCCGTCTAGTTCACAAAATTTGAACAAAAATTGCCCTTGTGCTTAAGGCCTTTTCTGCGCTCCCACGGTCGCCATTGTTCCACCACTTTTAATATCCAAGCACACGCATAAGCAGCTTAACTTTTTGCCTTTTCAGTGAAAAGAGCCGAAGCTTTGTTGCTCCCCATGTCACACAGCCTCCTCAAATCCTGGCCTTACTTTCTCAAAGATTTTCCACTGACGCTATTGACGGGCATGGAAAAACATTCATCATCATGTCTCTCATTGCAATTCTTTAAGAGCATATTTAAAAACAACTGTCATCTGGGAGAAATGGGTGAAATTAAAAAGGAATTCTGAGAGCATATGAGATTTTTTTTTTTTTCTTTTTCTTTAGTGTGTGATTTTAGGAGGGAGTTTAATCCAGAGGCTTAACTGATTTGCATGAGGACTGATAAGTTGAAATACATCTAGAGGAGGAGACATAAAATACATCCACTTTTCAGCCATCAGCCGCAATTTGCAGGGTGATTCGAATCAATACAGCCATCGCTCTCAAGGATGCCATGAATCTTTCATTCCCCCCTATAGTAGCAGAGCGGGAGCGTGTGGATTGTGTCCTCCATACCAGTGTAATGCATTTACTCCGTAAGCTGCTCATTCCCAGTCACTGCACTGTCAGCCCTTGACATCTTTATTCATGAGCACACACGCTCACTGTAAATTCCTCTGAGGGGTATTAAGAGTTGTGTCTTGGAGCCGAGATGCACACCAGGGGAGGATTGTGAGCGGTGATGATGGTTGGAAGGTTCTTTTAAAAATTACAGTCAAACACATGCATTACAGCAGAGTGAGGAGCTGACAGAAGTTGCTTTAAAAAGCCGACTTGTCAAAAACCTACGATACCCTCGCTTCCGCAAAAAAGACCCTGGAGTGTTTGGTGTAATTGTCTGTGTTTCTGGAGCAATCTGTTTGAGGAGTAGAGCAGCTGCTTCTTGATTTCTTCTTGATTGGCAAAAAACAAAACAAAACAAAAACTCTGATAGCTGCTGATGGAAGATTAAAAATGTATCCATGACCTAGAATCTAATCAAACTCACCATAAAAAATTAACGCTGTAGCTCCCTATGATTAAATAAAATATTAAGAGTTCATATATCCCAGCTCTTACTTCTTATATACTGCTGTTCGTTCATGAATATGAAGTTTTCTCATAAGTAATATTAACAAAAAAAATGTCACCCTCCTTTAAACAATATCTTTCCCAGGATACAATCTCTCTCTGTCAGGGGAGCACTTTTGGATTGATCCCGTACAGCTATGTCATGTTGGCCATAAAAAGCTCATGTGAGAGCATGGCAGGAGTCGGTCAATCCAGGGATTTATGCCACTGAGCGGTAACATCATATTAATTCCCTCTGACTCAGGATTGCTGTCTCTGCAGTGCACCATTCATACCAGGAGTAGGATCAGACAAAAATGAATGACAAACAAAAGTCGAGCGTTTCAAAGGAGAGCTTTTTAGTGGAGAGCTGGAGCCGAACACATATATGGGAATTTTACAGATTAGTGTCCTCTGTATTTTAAAGCTCCTGGACACCTTTACCACACATTACATCATGGCAAAGATGATTCATGGATTTGCATATGCACAGTGAGGGAGTTATTTAGAAGTCTAAGCAGCTGCAAACCTATGATCAACTATGGAAACACAAACCTATCTTAGCGCCTGCTTTCACAAGCAAAACCTGCTTAATGTCACATCAAAACTTCAAGTGTGATTACATGTGAAATAAGTGGACCATGTGTTCACAACGGTCAGCGTGTGATTTGCACATGCTCGGTGATGGTTTCGCAACAATCTTGGGATGTTTGCAACTTTGTGAATTCTAGTTTTGACGTGTGATCACATGATCTCACATTTGGAAAATACAGGAGAATCACAAATTATTTTAAGTCAGGAATTAAATGGAGGAAACAACATTTTTTACATTATTTCTCTCTCCTCACCACCTCACAAATGAGGATGATTAAGGGTATGAGTATTATTGACAGCATAAACATACGTATGAGCATACAAGTTATCTCAGAGTTGGCTACATTCAATATTGTATTCCCACTGTGTCCCCCCTGTAACTGATGCTGCTGGTCAGTCATAGATTGACAGGTCACACACCATGGAGTGGACACAGCAATGATTTTTCAGGAGCAGGGTGTCACAAAAGAGTCCTCTCAGCTTACAGGCGCTCTGTGACAGCCTCACTGTGGTTCCAGCACTTACCATCCTTGCGGTAGTAGGTGATCTCCACCTTTCGCTCCTCGGACCCAAGCACGGCCTGGGACACCTGGCTGATGGCTTCTTTGTCAGTCAGGTCACCGTGGAGGAAGTCACAGGTACACGGCTTCTGCATGATGTCTGGTCTGGAGAAGCCGGTCATCTCGCAGAAACCGTCGTTGCAGTATATGATTGCACAGTTCTCCACCCTGGCATTGGCTATCACAAATTTCCGGTCTAAAAATGAAAAGTGAAAGCATGTACTGTTTTAAAATGCATGTTGTGTCACATTTTATTATGGTGTCAGCTTAAAATAAAATCAGCATAAAAATAATTCTTCACATTTTCCATATTATGGGATAAAAACAATGAAAAAAAATTAAATCTTAATTCAGAAAAACTCTTGGATACACAATTTCCTGACAGATCAGCTTGTACTTTTCTATTCATCACCTCTGTGTTTAAGTGTAAAAGCATTAGTTCATGAGCAAAGAAAGAGTAGATCGGGAAAACACTTACTTTGACCCTCGAATTTCCGTATAATAAGTCCAAGGAATGTGTTTTGTGGCGCAACGTGACCTCTTCTAACAGGCATGTTTGGGCACAGAATATCCCACGATCTCCTCTGAAAGCTCCTTTACAAGTAAATCCCGAAGTTACAGATGTTGGCTCGTTGTGCTGCTCCCTGTACCACAGACCATACTCGACGCAAGCACTCTTTCCACTTTCGACGACCTTCCCACTTCCCACGAGGACTTGTTTAGCCCGCTTGTATGCCTGAATGTGTCAAAGCCTCCTCGCCGAAACGCAGGGGATCGGGGAGGATCGCTGGAGTTGGATTCAGTTCGTACAGCATTTCGCGTTAAGGATGGGCTCGAGCCTGACGTCCTCTGTGGTGCTGTGTGGGGCGCGTGCAGCGGACAGCGGTTGATATGCCAAGGGGAGTGACGTTGCTCCCAGGGGGCTTAGTTCCCTCCACCTCCGGTAAGGAGAAGTCCCATAATCGTTGGCAAAGAGACAGACATCATCGAAATAAACACTCTTTTTCAGTTTTGTGTACAAATCCGTGCTGCTCTGTATGAAAAAATAAAAACATAATAAAAAGAGAAACACATTTTCCTCGTAACTGTAAACTTTACCTGATGAGTGATGGGCCAAAGCTTATAGGTATTGCAGTAGCTGTTTGTAAATATGTAGATTTGATAGTCTGTCATGAAAGATGCAAATGGCATTTTTTAATATACCAAAGTATCTCTACTTTGTACCAGTAATTTTAGTTGCCTGCTGTCCTCTCACAGTAGCCTATTTGGTGTATAAGTACAGATAAAGACTACCGTATATTTAAAGTATGTAGTAACTTGCAACAAGAAGGCTTATAGTAAAGCTGCCTGCCCTACAATGACAAAAGAAATTTTAATACTTAATTTTTTCCCACAACTTTGTGTAAGCAAGGGACAAAATAACGCTGTAGCAGTGGGTACACAAGAAAATAAATAAATAAATAAATAAATAAATGAATAAAGATGGCTTCTCCATTGCTGCTCCATCCAGCATCATATATCTGACAATAAAATCAAAAAAGCCCTAAAAATTTATCTAGAAAAGGAAAATGAAAGATAAGAGAAAGAAGGATCTACGTTGTGTGCCATACATCTTTACAGCACACATAGCTAAGTAACATGAGTGTAAACAGTGTCAGCTTATGGGGGTATAAATGGATCATTAGACTTTGTTGGCATTGTTTCCATCAATCTTAAATCTTAGACAGGTTGCCACCTCTTTGTCTGAGTTATGTGCATCATTCCCCCTGTAAAGCCTCACATTTGTGCTCCTGCAGTCCCAGACTGAAAGTCCTGTTCTATACGTTGGATATTTTTAACTGTGTTTGCCCTCTGATTAATAGTTGGAAGGTCTTCATAAAGCCCTCACCTTGTTGTGACCTTTTTGCTCACTGCCGTACAGGGTTTTTAGTATGTATCTGTCATTTTTGGGGGTATTTTTTAAGATTCATGTTTCCTGAGTTGAAGGATAGACAGGTACATTCATTATCATCGCACAGGGCTCCTCCGGCTGTGTTGTGGACATCCTTCCAGGAGAGTATAAAAGCAGGGCAGGCCCAGAATGCATGTGTATAACCTGCTATACAATAAATCAATATTCTTAGTTGAAAGTGAGCAGCTGCAGAGTCTGAAACCCTGAGTGGCTGTTTTCCTTATCGGAGGTGGCACTTACATTAAAATCAATTACTTGGGTTGTGTTTAACAGGCCGTGAATAGTCCATTTGCATTTCAATGGGGAACATTGTCTTTTGTTGGTACTTTAAATGATGACTACGGACAAACACCCTTTTTTGAGTCCTTGAGAATTAGGCTCAGCAAATTTTAATGCTGCTACTCTGTTGGGTTACGTTGGGTTGGGTTAAGTTAAAATCATATTCCTATACGAAGTCAAGTCTATTACATGAAAGTTACAGACCTGGGTTCTTCTACATCAGAGGAACATAAGAGTGTTTATTTGTGGACTTAACACAAAACATAAACCCAAATCAGCTGATTTATACATTTTCCAACAAATATCATTCCTATTAAAAACACTTAATTTTCTTATATTGACATGTTCATATATTGAGACAGCTTATACAATAGAAGTTTCCATTTTTATCAGCACAATTGGATTGTGTTGATTAAAATGCAAAGACTAATAATGCTGAAGACACACTTTAAGTAAAAATGAATTAACCTCCTTGTGTATCGTTTTTGCATGAGTCATTTTGTCATATCAAACAGTTCAAATTTAAATTACAGAACAAATTACCAATAAATTCAGTTGATAACAATACTTGTGTACCAACAGTTAATCCTTTCAGGTAGTGATATGGCTGATTCGATGGGACTGCCTATTGACAGGACTGTGTGGGTGAATTCTCCATTTATTTCCCTACACCTGCAGATCAGCACAGACACTGCAAAATCACACCTTGACTAATTTTTACCTGAATGACTGAATCTTTCTGAGCACAGTTTAACTCAACTTTCACCCGAATAAGGGTTTTATTTAGCCACAGTAGTTGAAAACACTTGTATCAGTTTCCTGGCATTCAAAAGCCAGTTCAGGTGTTTGACTGCCAAGTGATTTTTAAAGTCACTGTCCATGGTGCTGAACATTGGATGGTTGCAGGTGATGAAAAAACCCTGAATGGATTTTTATGAGGCACACATTATTTGACTTTTCTCAGGACTATTTTCTTCTGATACATATAAACACAAAAATGAGAGTTTTAAATATGAGAGACAATTATTTTTGATTAATAAACAGAAGTTTTAGCTCAGTTGAACTTGGTAGCCATAATAGTTGGTTAAAATGCATGCTGTTGAGCTGGGGCTGGAAGTGTTATTGTGTGAAGGGACATTCAAAATCTATTTTTGGATTGGGCATTAAGGACCTCAAGTTTCTAAATAAAAGGCAGAGAGTGGCCTTTAAGTCCCACAACGAAACAGAGAGGTTCACCGGTATATAACAGTAATTTACAAGCAGATATCTCTATTTTCAGATGTCTGTTTTTTACTTGTAGAAAAGGTTTGTAAAAGATACAAGCAGCCAAACTGGAGAGTAAAAGGTCATTGTAGGTTTTTGCAACAACTCAGGTACACATCCTTTGGATACATCAGACTGCCTACATGGTCCTAATGAGGGTGTTTCTAACATTAGATTATTATGTACAGTTCTTCTTTTCTGTATGTTGACAGTTTGTTTCCTTGGGGATCCAACAGGTGGTTTTGAGGTTTCCAACAACTTTCCTGTGAAGTGAGAGGTGAGGTTGACTGAGGCGCTGTCCATGGTGCTGTAGTTTCACTACCATGCTTTACTACCTCAGATCAAAAGCTGGTATATTTCACTGAGGTACAATTTCACAAACAAAACCACAATTCACACAAGCTTTTTTTCCCCCAGATTTTTCACTCCTGATGTTACTTTTCTGATCTTAAATCTGGCCACAAAAACAGAAAAACATAAACAACTTATCGGACAATATTGAAAACAAAACCTTTTGTGGTGTAACAGAACCAAACTCTAGTCTGTTTAAAACAAGGCACGTTTTATTGGCCTGCATATGGTGTAAGCACAAGGAAAGAAGTTGTAATAGAGACTATTTTCCTTGTTCTGCACAGTCCTGGATCAGTGTTTGCTCTCATCAGCTTATTCTGACTTTCCAACTCACATGCAAGCTAGACTGTAAGAGTTGTTCTTCGTGAACCTATATGCAGCCAAAACCACACAGCTCCCCAGGACATGGCGCTTTGTCTGCTGTGTTTTATTACATCACTGTTGCATTAAGCCAATTTGCTGCTTGTGTCCATTACTCACAACACAGCCGATGTACATTTGAACCTTTCAGAGGACAACCATTACTCACCAACAACTAAGTTAGGAAATCAAGGCTGGTTTTTTTTGTTGGTTGCTTGTGTGGCTTAGCGTTTCAAGATTAAAGTCCATCAGAAGTGTTGCATACTGCGCTATGACTAATGTGAGGCATATTATTGTGGTTGCACCTCACTTCTGGCTAACATACTTAATTAAGACTGGCATATATGCTGACTGGTAAACGCAGAAAGTATAGCGGTGGATGGGTGAGGGGGATACTGCACACAAGGGAAACAGTATCCCATAGAGAGCTGTGTGCCTCTGGGTAAAAGCAAACTGTAGTTCACAACCACTCCTGTTCTCCCAGCTCACTGGATTACACTTAACATAAATGGATGTTATTCTGCTAGATCTCTTTTCACATATACTATAAAGGTTTACATTGTGCAGACAAAGAAATAAAGGGTTACAAAGACTTTCTTTTTGGTTTGGTGATAGGGGCAGGTATGAATCCTTCTTCTAGAATTACATTAAGGAGACAGAGACATTCGTTGGAACCAGCAGTCTGATAAGAAACCACACTCCACTCCACAATCAGCACTAAAATGAAGTGGGTGCAACCTCAAACCCTTGCAGGTCTAATGCCTGAGGAGCATCTCCACTAATGGTGTAGTACCTGATCTTTTGTCTCCAGATAATGCATGTCAAACAAGATCCAAGAACGCACTAAGAGCTCCATCAATAACAAGGTGGTGCTGGTGTCTGTAAATGAATAGGATGACAACATTCATCTCTCTGCTGTTCCTGCACTGGTAATTGGTCTGTCCGGTAACAATAGTTTCAGCTTTGAGTAATTCCACATAGATAGACAGTGCTTTGGATTCAGATCTCAGCGCCATTTCCCCCATCCATCTTTGGACGAACAAAGAAAATATCCATCTGCTCACAAGAGATGGTAGTTTTAGAGTCGATTTTGACTGAAAATGCAGTTTCTGCACAAAATCAACATTGTGAAATCTAACATTAAGCATTGTTGTGTTTTAGAAGTGTTCATTGTTTTTAAGCTGTGGAGTAAAGTTAGCTGTTGCAGAAGTTTGTTGGTTTAAAGCTTCAGTAAGGAATGAACAGTTTGCTCTGATTTTGGTGCCCCTGTGGACATAACGCTGCCTTGAAGGTCAGTGCTGATTTTGTTCTATGTGTACATTTTTTAAAATCATATCCTACTATATCAGTCCAATGTATCATTTGTTATTGTATTGATATATTTCCAAGTGTTTTTTTTTATTTAATATGTTTTTTTTCTTTTCGCTTTTATATGCTCTTAATTTACTGTATTTTGACGTTATTTAACCTTTTTTAAATTTAATCTGTTGTGCAGTGCTTTGGTAACCTTGTTGTTTTTAAAATGTGCTATACAACTAAAGGTGGATTGGATTGGATTGGATTTGTGGAGAAACTTTAAAGAAAATGTAAAAGGCATCTGCTGCCTGTCCCCCAAAAGCCAATAATTACTGTATAGAAAAAATCCATCATGTTGCTGATGGTCTTGTCTGCTTGTGTAGGTCATAAATAGACCTCAGTGTTAGTTTCAGTCTGATTCATAATCAGCAAATGACTTCTCACAGGAGCCTAGAGTGGTAAAATAAATTCAGAAACTGTGAAATTCATCATGGAGTAAATCTGTCCAGAAACAGGATTGTATTTTTCTGCAGTAAAATGTACAGCATGAAAGGATTCCAGCATTTAAGCCTCCAGGACACTGTGTGGTTGTTTGAAAAATCATGCAGCCATTCATTTATTTGGTCATTCATTCATTCGGCATAATCTCTGAGAATTTAGAGCAATTTGAAAAACAGCTGCAGCCATGGCAGCATTCAGTGTCCAGGGCCTAATCCAGGTCTCACGGCAGTATAGCCCTCTCTCTGCCTCTCCTGCCGTACACATACAGCCATGCAGGGTTTACTCATTGTCCATATAAACCATTATGTCCCTGTCTCTGAGAAAATAATCCACTCGAGCAAAACACCAGAGTGCTATTGCTGCTTTTGCTGCTGTGCCTTACCCCATATGCCACTGCACACATTCTCAGCCATCTGCCCTGAATGGGGAAAAAAATGGAGCAAGTGACTTCACAATATCATTTAATCTGCCAGAGGTCAGTGCTTTGTCCCTTCAGCCCTATTGAAAATATTCAACCCTTCACAGAGGGCGGGACTTTGAGAAAGGCTTACTCAAAACCACATGAAAATATCTAAAAACGCTCAATCAAAGCATCAGCGGTTATTCCCTCCTGATGCCTTCGGGTCCAAAAGATTAATCAGAAGCAGCCCGTATCACGTTTCCATTAGTTTCGCAGGGTCAGAAATACTGCAGCATCTGTCCCCTGTGTCACCATCGTGACTGTAACTAGTGCGAGGCCCTGTGTGAATGCAGCTGCAGACTCCAGGCTCAGGCACCATATGTTGCCACCCACAAATAGGCTCCGGAGTCATCTGACGGTGAAACGGCCCGCCTGTGTGGCTCGCCTTGCCATTTGCCATTTGTCCGCTCTTTGACTGCTGATTCATCACAAAGCTGGGAATCTTCTGTCAGTCAGCCATCCATTGTTGTTTACCAGACTGGCAGAGGAAGGAGAATTAGTCCTGATGCATTAAGCTTACACAAATCCTGCTTAAGGAAAATTATATTTACAGATTATATAGATTTACGATTGGAGCAAGAGTCAATAAACAAATAGGCAATATTAGTTGGATAAGTTCTCCCGGATGACATCAATAATCATCACTTACACTTTGAAATAATTAGACTATATGCAAAACAAGAGGAGGTAACATGAAGCATTTCATCTTCAGTATATCCTAATAGAAGATTTTTCCTCTGGGAGGTTAGTTAGACTCTCTTTTTCTCTCTGCAGAAATGGCTCTCACACACAACAGCTAAACATCATTAAACATCATTAATTCAGGGGCGGTATAATGGCCAATGACATTCAAAGGTCAGCATCAAGTATCAATTTACTCCTATGTATAATTAAAGTGTTGCAGATTAAAATCAGGCGCTGGCTGAAAGAACACCATTGAAAATCACTTTGATAACTGGCTGGTATCCCTACAGATGACTTGTCTGAGATGAAATAACCGGAAACTGTTGCAACAGTAGAAGTAGAAGAATGAAGAGTATGAAAGATACGTGTTAAACTCACTGGCTTGGTAAATAAAGAAAAATGCACATGTCTTCCCTTACTCTAACTGCAGTGAGTAAATCAAAAGTTTGAATTAAAAACTCTTTTCACAAAGCAACCACTCTCAAAACATCATTTACCTCTCTATATGGTCCTAAATCACAGAGGAACACAATGACAGTGTCTGCACCTGATGAGACTCATAAAACTAAACCTAGACTCTTATTTTGGCAGCTTTAAAGTGGAGCTGTTCATTACCACTGTTGTCAAACCGCTGTCAGGGCTCAGTGGAGTGATTACCTCACCCCCTCTCTGAACAAAGGTTACCATAGAAACTGGTGTGCCCCTATAGAGGTGCCACTGTCCATCTACCCTTGAGGTATTGGCTACTTTTCATTGGATATTATTATTTTATCAATCATGCACAAGGCTGTAGCAACAGGCTGAGCTAACACAGCACTTTAAATGTGCTTGAAACACACGAAGTCACCCCTTCGTGTCACTAAGAACTACATGACAGTAGTTTGGTGTGTGTAAGATGCTTTGCATAATGCATTTTTACTACAGTTGTATGCAGCAAACACATGCATAAAGAGAATAAAAAAGGGGGTATGCACCTTTAAATCTTGCTCATGTGTTTTGTTATCCCTCATAGGAAAAGGCTTGTTTTTAAATAGCATTACAGCCTACTTCTGCATTTTTTAATGAATATTCCCATGTGTTATACTGTACCTCTCTGATCTACACTATCATCCACTGTGGTATCAGAGACGCAGATGCAATTATCTGTAATGACTAAAAATAAATCAGAGGCTTGTGTTTTTGTGATGTCAAAGAGGAAAATATGGAGGCACTCAGGGGTCAACCTTGGTACAAAGCCTTTGAAGAAAACCAGCACGGTTCACGTCACCTCCAGGCTCTCATCATTAGTGCTGCTTTTGTTGTGGAGTATAATTAAGATACTATTAAGACACACTCGAGTTGATTTTTTAAAGAGCAGAATTTTTAATTTACTACATGATATTGTTTTTGTACTCACTCTGTAATACTTACTCCAACAGTGTTGAGGAAGTGGTGTCTATATACAGTACCTGCGGGATCATAAATATCCACTAATGCACTTGCCTGTTAAACCACAGCTTTCGATGAATGGTGCATGTCTTTGTATTGACATGCACATGAAGCCTGCAGGTTACTAGTGCTGGGGGTCTGATGAGGACGCGCCCTGGTTTGAGCCCCTTCTTCATCCTAGGCCAGGGTAAACCAGGCTGAATCATTGCGAAAGCTGCTGCAGTGTTGCTGTAGATATTTCATTTTGCACTTTTACACTATATAGGCTTGAATGCATTAGCAATAATTTACAGATATGAATATACTTTGACAGTTTATTGTAATTGCTGATTTTCAAAAAGTCAACGAACCCACTGAGATGGAGGCAATGTTTGTTTTTATAGCTCTGTGCTGACATCCTGTGGTTGCTATCTAAAATTACATACGGTGTTTTTATCCATCATCCTTATCTTGCTCTGCACGTCAGTCTTTTCAAATTATCCAGCAACATTTGAGTCAAGCTTGTGATCTTAACATGGAACTGGTATAATTCACACTTTAAGGACTTGTTTCAAAATTTTGAAGGGAAGCGGCAAGTTGATGATCCAGACTGAAAATACCCGCTGCTGGTCTGACCTCTGTGCACCAATGGACGAAAATAAATACACAATACCTGGTATTATCAAACCTCTTGAGGGATTGGATCACAAGGGGACAGCCTTAAGTACAGGTCTCAACTCACCCTGGACATGTGGTCCAATCACCCAGGTCATACAGAGGTGGCCTGCTGCACACCTAAGCTGCATTTGTTCAGCTGTGCGTGAATACACATGCATACCAAAGTACATCTGTATCTGCATCTTGTATATTGTATCTTTTTTCCATGTAAGTACAAGCATTAGAGGATATATAGAGGATATATACAGAGCAATAGATGATATATGGTGTGCATATTCATAAAGGGGCTGCTTTCATGTTTTCAACCCTGAGTAATCCTCAACAACAGTGTATCTAAGTTATGATTCATGCGGAGAAATAGTGCAGAGAACAACATCATGTCCTTATATCCAGGTTAAAAAAAGACTGAGTTTTTGTGACACGGAAAACTCTATGGCTCATGGGCCATATACACTAGATCACAGACACTAATTTCAGGCCATTTCTCAACCAGTGAGGAACTCCTCACAGCACCTTCAAGTGCCATCATGACAGTGGTATGCCTGCCATCACTTCACCATAGATTTAACACTTACAAGAGTAAATTTTATTTCTCAGCTGAATTTGTGGCAGCTTCTCGTCATGCTCTCGACAGATATTTGAAGTTGCAACCAAATAAGTCAAAATATCCGATTCGGTTTCCATTGTGTCAAACAGTCGACCTCGCTGGATACTAGAAACAAAATAACATATAAAACAATCTGGGAAAAAAACGTGTTGCCAGGTCACTGATATACTTTTAATTCCAGCAAAGTTTTAAAAGTTTTTAGGTTGATAAAATAAATAAATAAGGCTGTGTCAGCGGGGTTATGGGGCGCGCCTCTTTTGGCGTGCGTGACAGTGCGTCACAAAAGCTACGCGGGAGTTTTGACACGCTTACCTGTGGTGAAATGTTCAAACATGTTGGAGAAAACAAACACTCAAGCCAGCGGTCTGCGGTTCGGAAATACGAAGACTTCACAGTAAAGAGTCCAGGGAAGAATGCACCTGCAAAGTAAGAGCGCATGTTGGTTACTTTGTTTTTGTGGCGCACTGGCGTTTGGCCTGTTCATGTGTTCTTGTGCCGGTGCTGTTACCGTCCACGTTGTATCCTTGTCAGTTTGTGGGTTTATCAAGACGTTTTCCTTTTAAAACTTGATATGGTTCACTGCCACCAATGCTGCCTTCAAAATGATAAGTAAGTGCGCATGTTGGTAACTCTGAATTTGTGGCGCATTGGCGTTTGGCCTGTTCATGTGTAGGCCTACTCGTGCTGGTGCTGTGCTGTTACCTTCCATGTTTTATCCTTGTCGGTTTGTGCGTTAAACAAGAAACTTTAATTTTAACCTTGATATGGTTCACTGTCACCAATTCTGCTTTCAAAGTATGCTCAAGTGTGGATGTTTCACCTCGTTGCTCGATCTTTTGTGATTCTTTGCTTCTGTGCTTTGTCAGGTCTGCTGGCCCATTACTCCGTGACAACAGTGTTGAATGCCATATTGGTGTGACAACTGTTCATTGTGTTGGTGGTGCTATGGCTGCTTTGTGTATTTTCTTGCTTTCACTTCTTGAATTTAAGACCTGTGACATGCTGTTTTGTGTTGTGTATGAGCTCATTCTTATTGTGGGGTCTGCTTTTGCATTTGAATCCTTGTTTTGTGTACTGTGTGCACATAGGGCTGTTGGTCTAAAAAAACAGAGTCATAGTCAGTGGTGCTGTGTGGACTGTATGCTGTATAGCCTATGGTCAATTGCTCTCGATAACATTTTTTGTTGATTGTCTTTTGAGGTCATTTTACTGCTTTAATTACTGTGTGATCACTGTAAGCAGCTGAAGAAATGGACATGCTGATCTATATCCCCCCATGTGTGTGTGTTGCCTTGAAGCCCACAGGCAAAAATCACTTACAAAGACCCACTCCCAAAGTGTGTTTGCTATAGCTCTTAAATTGACACAGTTTATAAAATTTATGCCCACTAGCCCACTAGTGCCGACTAGGAGTGGGAATCACTGGTGGCCCCATGATACGATATTATCACGATAATTTGGTCATGATACAATATTATTTCAATTTTTAACATTTTGCAATGCAGTGAGTGTAATGATACAATATATTGCGATTTATACAATTTTTTCAACTGTTTAGCTAATTTAGCATTTGTCTTTCCTTTTACGTTTGTCTTATTTACACAGTATTTTATTTTCATGTAGCACTTCTTGCAAACTTGTATTTATTTGTTGTACTAACTTTCTCCCACTCTATGATGTCACCTCACTGAACAATCAGTTGATTTTATTTTTCATTATCATAGATTTGACTTTGTATTAGCAATCAATTTGAACTACCGATACTTGGTAAATGAGGCGATCCGATATATCACCAGACAAGCTATCGCGATACTATGCTGCATCAATTTTTTTCTCCCACGCCTAGTGCCAACTAATTAGTATCAAAGTCAGCAGATTAGCATCTCTACCATCTCCAGGCATTTGGTGTGGGTTAAGATGAAATAAAAGCTGTTTTGGGATGTAAAGTTAGTATTTTGACGAAGACTGTAAAGGCATCTGTAGGTAATGGTTTAATTGATTTTGTCATGGACAAAAGGAGGCTTGTTGTGCACATTTTCATTTACAACATCAGCCATGAACTTGTATTGTGCTTGCTGAAGAAATATATGTCCCCTTTTGTTTAATTTATTGTATAGTTACTGACTGTGTGTAGGCCAACAGTTTCACTCTACAGTTGGTAGTGTAGTTGAACAATAGGGAAAGTCCTGCGGATATAAAGCTATTGTAAATGGCTTAACCATATAATCTGGTCGATGGTTCTAGTTTAATATCAGGTGGAGCTGCTGTTGGCTTTAAAAATATTCAAACTCATCTTTGTATAAAACCTCAAAATTTATATTTATTGGTTGTTTTCACCCAAGACTTTTATTCACAATCAAAACAGTAATGTTTCTGTGTATTGAAGCATGTAGACTTGTACTGATGTGTGCCTCTTTCTTTGGTATCCTCATGCTACTGTGAAATAAATCCCTAGGAGCATTGGTCCTCCTACATAATCTCTATATTTATGCATCAGTCAAGTATTTTAAAGCCTCATAAACTATGAGGGTCATGTTTTATGGGCAGTTCACCTCCTCTGACATAAACTCAGATATGTATTATTTGTTAAGCATTAAAAATATATGGTACATAGAGATTTGTTGGGGTTCATTAAAAGAGGTGATTGGGTAAATGATCTGTTTTACATATTTATAGTATTTAACCTTGTGTTATTGATTGTGCTTTCCTACAGAAATGTTGAGAAATCATAGCATATGTTGTAAATACATGAACTTATTTTTTCCACAGTCAAAGTCAAATGAAAGAAGGTTCATGTTGTGCAGCCTCATGTGTTATCCGAAGATATGGTGTTGAGTACTCTGAGGAAAACAAAAAGGTGGTCATTGGCATAAAACTAAAACTCTAGTTGGAACAGTAAAAACTTAAAAGATGATAAAACAAAATTTTATGATATGAAAACTGTTGAAATTCTAAATTTTAATAAAAGTATTATAATGCAAAGCAATATGTAAATATTTAAACTGAAGTTTTGTAGTGCTTGAAAAAGACCTAGAGACACATCTCCCAACAAATTAGGTCAGTTTGCAAAAAGTTAGTAACATGACTGAGCATTAAAAGTAGATGAATTGAATCCATCAGGTCACTTAATGATGCTTTGAAATAATCAGCATCCTATGGTATCTGTTCTCAAAGGCTGATGTCTCTATCATTATTGTAAATGAAAACACATTATTACCATCCCCAGTGACAGCTAACCAAATCCACAAGTGTCTCTGGATTTCAATTTATACAAACTTTGTCATAATGTCTAAAATAATACAGCTTTGTGTTGCTTGTTCTGAGAGAAATATCAGCTTCTTTTCAATAAGTCTATAGCTTCACGCTCAGTAATTGTCTTTTTTGTCAGTTTATAAAAAATCCATATTTAACATGACTCGCTAAAATGAACATATGTTATGTGCATGGAGTGCACATTCATTTATACTTGACTGTTTTTTTTTTTACTGGTATTCTTTGAAAAAACAAAACTTCTGATAGCTAAATGAAAATCCAAAAATCCCTTGTTGCAGTAATTTACTGAGCCCAATATTTTACTGTTTTCATTTATTTATTTATTCAGTAACATGTTACCTGAGTTCATCAACTTTGTTAAGCTTTAGACTGGTTGACCACTAATAAAATAGGGTCTGCTAGAGAGGCTGCATCTCTCAGAATTAAAGATGAGAAGTGGTTCACTAATCTGTGAGAGACTGTGTGAGCAAAAGATCGACAATTCAGAATATTGTTGCTAGAATTGTGAAATGCCGAACTGTTTATACAGGTTTTGGAATAACATAATCTGTCATCCAGATAACACCTTTTTTTAGGAGAAACCTTGAATATTTTGCGAAACAGTGACAAACCACGTTTCAAATGTGTTACAACAGCATGGCTCTGCAGTAGAGTTCATCGTGCAGGTTAAACAGATCACCTGTTGAAAACTTTTGGTGTGTCATGAAAGAAAAACACAGCAAGAGAGACCCAAGCTGTTGAGCAGCTGAAATCCTATCTAGATGAGAATGGTGCAGTATTTTACGTACCAAACTCCAGTTCGACTCCCTTGTCGACGCAACCTGAAGGTTAACAGACCCCTCCCCCAACTATTCTGAAACGTGATACTGGTATCACATTCAAATGAAATGAGCATTTATTTTTTTTATGTAGCAGTAACATTGTTGACTTTGCATTGTTTATATGTGAATTCATTAAATGACTTTGAAACCATCATGTTCAGCTTTTATAAACACTTGGAATTAGTGTAGGTACATCTCATTCAGAATATCAGATTCATTAAAAAATGAAAAGACTCTAAATATTTTCATGTTGCTGTGCAAACTGGTATGAAATTGCCTGCAAGAGCATGTCTAACCCAATGACTACATGTAGGGAAAAGCACACACACACACACACACACACACACACACACACACACACACACACACACACACACACACACACACACAGTTGGAAATCATTGTGGTTTAAAGCTTGGGCTGAGCTGAGTCCGTTTGTCTCGCATTGACGGTGTATTGAACCATAATTTTGTGTGCAACAGCAACAACAGCCAGATCTGCACTTCTCTGTTTGAACTGTCTGCAGAAAGTGTTAGCAGTGAGAACTCTTAGATTTTTGAGGGTAGTACTATCTCATGTTGGACAGAAGAGGGCAGTGTTAAACAAGGTACAAGAAAACAGTCAGAGAAGGAGGCCTACAACTAGTCAAACAATTTAATCTACTTTTTTCCTTCATAAAAATACAGAACTATTTGGCTTTGTCAAAGAACTGGAAACCTATTCTGGATGATTTTCACAGTTTTAAAGAAGTAATATGTTGATATTTTGAGATCACATTAACAGGACTTCAATAACTAACCAAAAACTGAGCCTTCAGACAACTGGCCTGACACAAAGATGTTTCACTTGTGCGTGAAAGTAAGCTTTGAACCACATCATATTTATACTACCAAGTGATCTCTTGTAACTGTCAGTTGTTATTGGCCTGGACTGATACTCCCACAGTGACCTGACTGGATGGACCAAACATGTGTCTCAGTGTGAGGAGGATTACCACTATGGGATTTAACATAGAGGCAGGTTATACCCCTGTCTGGGCATGCTAGAAGGAAGGTGAGAACTACAGAGGCAGCTGGAAACACAACATGGCAGAAGATGTGCAGATAGATAAAGAGATCTGGCTGGATCTAGAAGAATATCAGTAGATACCTACTAAACGGTAAAATCTTGACTATCCTTCTCCTTGGCTGAAAACTTGTGTGTCATTGTCATGTAAATCCTTCATAGTTGGGTAGATTCTTAGTGAGAGATCTGTACTAGTGCACAGACTAAGTCTACTTTGAAGTTGCCTCTCCAGTGTAGAAAGGTGGACGGTGTTAAAAGTCATTCTTAAGTGCCGCTCTGATGACAGAAAGTTGTTCTAGCGACGGGGGAAACGGTGCCATACCTATGTAACATTCATATCATTTGAATTATGAATCAGAGTAAGGAGAAGTCTATGTTCGGAGCTGATGAATATTTAAGGCATTGAGTATACAGATCATCATATTGACAAAGGAAGAATACTAATGTCCTCTTCTCAGAGTCTGATTAGAGGTTAAGCAGAATGCAAACTGCATAATTTATTTCCATTCTTGCCTTTTTTTTGTACCTTTTGATTCGCCCCTCTTCTCTCTTTTTGATAACTTCTTTGTGCAGAGGTCTTTGCTTTTTTAAAAAACTGAAATATTGTAAGGTAGCATGCAAATGAGGGATAATTGGTGTCATTTGTTTTAAGCTTGCAGAAGAAAGTTAAAGATGGGATTTTTTTGTGCCAAATGTTTTATGTGCAGTAGACCATTTCTCAGAGATATTAGTCTTCCATTTTCCAGGCCTGTGCTGCAGCAGTTGACACACTCAGAGTGCCCAGTGTCCCTACTGACACAGACATTGTCCACAGTCTATTAAATTGAATGTTGTATTTAACTGGTTTGGAGCCAGGGCAAAGTTACACTCTTTTGTATCATTCTTTCTCCTCTCTCTGGTGGAATGTGCTTATTTCACAGAGAAAGAGAGAGAGAGAGAGAGAGAGAGCCCATGCAGGTGAGAGTGTCTAACAGTGAGGAAATCAATATGATGTAAATTATTAAGAGCTCAGGAATGCGTCTGACCCCTACTGTCTTGCAGCAGGCTGGGCTCTGAAGGCTGGCAGGTGGACGCGAGCTTGGACTCTCCCTCTAACACTCATTAGTGGCTGGGAGCCGGGGCTCCTTGTGAGTGGGAAGGCAGGGATCACAGCGGGGAAGTGATGGCCCAGGCCTCTCACATCCCCGGCTCAGCCTTCGCTCCGGCTCTTGCCAGCCTCTCCCTGGAAGCTCATTAGTAAGTGCACTGATGCATAAGAGCTAGTCATTAGCTGGGCTTTTTTTTCCGTCTTCATCTCTCTTTCCCCCGACACCATGTCTGATCCTGAAGACCGGTGGCAGTGCCGGTTTAAAAGACAAGGAGAGAAGAAGTCCACATTACCGCAGGTACTCCAGATGTATGGATATAAGACAATGGTAGCCATCAGATGTGTTTTCTTTTTTCTTTCTTCGTAGGGGTATAGGGTGGGGGTGTCAATTTCTTCAAATGGACTTCATCCACAGCCCTTCAAACCAAAGAGTAAACATTAGCGCTTGACCAGGACTTTGGCTGAGCGCCCCTTTCTTCCTCCATGCTTGGTTTTGATCTGGGGTATTTGCTTTTGCTGCTGGCCAGATCCCCCTCAGCACCTGATGGTTGCCTAGGCTCAGAGTAAATAAGATCTAGGGGCCCAGGCCTCTTCTGGGGGCTGCTGGGTAAATAAGGTCTCTAGTGTGTGTAGCGTGCCTGGCAGCAGGGTGAGCACTGGTGTGGAGGCCTCCAGAGACACGCCATCCCCCCTTTTTCTATATCTAGCTGCTTAATGCTGTTATCCTTTCTCTCCCCTCTCTCTCTCTCTCTCTCTCTCTCTCTCTCTCTCTCTCTTTCTCTTTAACTCACTCCATTCTCCCTCCTCTTTCACAGACACACACACACGCACTCACATGCACGCAGACCTCCCTCTTAGCAGGCGCTCTGATTAATGTTGGTCAGTCGTACTCATGAACATTTATGGCTTTTAAAGCACCTGCAACAGGACCCATGTGTGTCCAACATGGAATTAACTTGATCACTTGTTTGGGTATGTTGCTTAAATAAAAAAGTAAATAAACCACTCCAGATTTGTAGCGTATAAACTAGTCGAGATGATCCACCTGTGAATTCTTGAGTTTGCAGGTGGTGGAATATAAAGATCCTGTAATTAAAAGTGTTTGAACGTTGCACAGGATTGAGCCTTTGTCTCTGAGGATGGGTTTGGCATTTGGTGCGTCTTAAAATGTCAGAGAGATAAATGATGATGATAGCACCTGTAATAATGTAATTACTTTCTCAATGGTAATCGTCGTCGAAGCCCACAAACAAATGGATTTCATAAACTTCTGAAAGATTAAACAATTTAACACCTGATGTCTCCATGACTTATTAAAACAAAAAGTAGCCATGGGGGAGCTGCAAAATATTGCCGTCATTATATAGCTCAACCTACATATTGTGCACTTGTTCCACACCGTCTCAACAAAAGCTAACGGTGGCAACTGTTATGTCCAAGTTTCTCCAGGAAATATACACAATTCAGCAGCTCTAATACTGTATTTAAAGGTCTTTTCAGCGCAGGATTTACAGATAAAGTATGCTATAGTGTCATTCATTCCCTGTAACGAGGGATTTGCCTTTGTGAAAGTTTACTGAGTCAAATCTCATCAGCTTAATGTGATCTGGCGCTAGCCATGCTGGATCCCCTTATGCCAATTAATCCAGGTTGTAACTCACAGACTCCTGCTGACCGATTCACATCCATTGTTGATAGTTTTTGGCTGCAGGAGCCTCAAAAACCCTCCTTGTTAGAGCCAAAAACACCACAAGAAACCCAGCACCTCTTTCAGCCCCGTCATATTGTCTGTTGATTGCCAGCAATTAGTAAAAAAGCCAGGGAGAGGCTGAGAAATGACAAGATGGGCCACGGCTATTGCGATGCATGGGCGTTGTTGGCTCACACACCAGCTGAAAGCCTCGACAATGTTTGTTAACCCCGGGGGTCACGACTGATTCACTGGCGCAGACAGAAAACAAGATTTATGTAGCACAAATCAATACGCAGTCCGACTTTTACCATTGTGGAGCGCAGAAACAGGCACTTCTCTCTATCAGTCGAACATGACACTAATGTGTTTTTATTCCAGTTTAACCCAGCCGGTGATGAATCTGTTGGCAGGCCGAAAGGGAGACGGAGAGAAGCAGGCTGCCCTTGATTAGTTGGAGAACACACGGCGACATGCAGAGGCTGATGCGATGGCATGTCACTGAGGCAGCGGCTATTTGTCTTTAGGTTTCCCGCTGGGGGGTTGTTTATCAGCTGTTGTGAGAGAAATAAGCACCTGACAGTGTATCAATTGAACTCACGGCTGTCTTAAGTAAATTAGACTGAATGAAAATGCTCCTCTTTATTCCCACTGCCATCAACTCTGATTTCATTAAGATCGCTCGTCAACCACACACAAAGGAAGACACACACCTGGCAGAGCGCTCACTGAAAAAAACAACCTCTAGAGTAAATTATTGTACAGTAGAAATCATCCTATTACAAGCTGGCAGGCCACTAATGTAGAATTTGTTTAATGTCCGCCCTGCTTATCCTGTTAACCAGGGAAAACTTGGAAAGTGACATGAGTGACGGGCGGTATTCTCTGAGCGTTGACCAGCAGGCACAATGGAGGAGTCGAGCACGGTGCCAAGTTTCTATTTCAGGGGGGACGCTTTCCAATTGATTAGGAGGCTTGTGAAACAAACTCTGGTGACAGAAACGAGAGTGTGGCCCCGGCAACTGCTGGCACGTTGCCAGGTGGACAGTCTTTCCTCGCAGCATCTCCTTCTCTCTCTTTCTCTCTGCCTCATACACACATTAGCGACACATTAACGACACCCACAATGTGACCACTGGGATAACTTAGCAGCATTATCTCTCTGTATGTGATTAAGCATTGAACCAGCTTGCCCATGTTCCTTAGTATTCCAGCAGTGCCACCATGCAGGCCTCTTAAAACCTACAGCCTCTGTTTAAAATGACTTTTGAGTTTTTCCTGAAATATTCTTTCAGTTGCATTAAACTTGGTCCTTGACAGCGAGTCCTGGATTGTGCTTCACTCAAGCATAGTTTTCAAGTACTTTGAGTACTTTCGGCCTCCTGTTCAAACTATGTTAATCTCTTTCTGTGAGTGTGTGGCTTGGTTATATTGACTGTGAGTTTGTGCATACGTGTCCATGTGCTTTGCAAGGGTAAGTGGGTGCATGTGTCCGTGCATATGCCTGGTCTTAGCAGCAGCAGCAGCAGCAGCACCCTGTAAACCCCCGGCTTGTCTTTATAGTGAAGTTGATGATTGGATAAACAGTCTAGTGAGTGTGGATTATTGTAGTGGAAAATGAAAGCATATGCACAATTTGCATTTTAATGAGCGAGTGAGTGTTATAAAACAAATTATCCCGGCTAAAGTAGCTCCTTAAAAAAAAAAGCTGTGAGTTGAATTCAGTGATGAAATATTTTCTAAACACATTTGTAGCACTTTTGTCGTTTTAACACTCGCTTTTAGAGTTTATTTGAAATTGATTGAAACAGATAAAACGGTCGGTATATTTAGTTTAGGTTTACTGTATATTTAACACACACCAAGTCATGTGTTGCATCCCACTCTTTGCAAATCTGCTTTAATTCTGACACATATAAGGAAGCCATGCATAAAATTTATGCATGGCTGATGCAAAGTTCAGTAGGCCTGTGCCAAACAAAACGCTGTTCAATTAAAAGGGAAGTAATGGCACCCTATATAATAAAGGAGATCTGTGCATACATAAAGTGACAGAGAAGCAATGATGGCTCATTCACGTCATGCTATGTAATTTAGTTAATGCATTTCCCTCTTGCTCTTTAAAACACTTGCACATTCAAATTTGCCATCATAATCTCTATGACAGAGGACATTAATTATGTTCGTCGGCTGATCGCTGTTTCTTCACAACATCTCTGATTAAAATTTCACACATTGTAATGATGTGCTTCAGAGCTAGAAGCTGTGAAATTTACTAAGCAGTCAGCCGGCTTGAATCCTTATTCTTTGGAGCGCACACACACCAACACACACAAAGAAAACACATATTACACAAATCAAAGCTGTTAAGTGCTTGAGGAAAAGCTTTATTTACATGCAAATGGTGATACATCTTAGCAACTTGTTCATTAAAATACCGTGCAAATGAGGGGAAACAACAAAAGCAGTAACTTCTCTCCAGATATGTGGGTTCAAATCTCATATTTGGGAAGTTTAATTAAGCAATAGATTATATTTTGAAAGGAGTGTTCACTTTAATGAATCCCAAGAGAGCGTGGATAAACACCGCAGCGCTATCAAAGCATCCATCTCTTTAATGGATGTGAAAATTAGGGATGTAAATGGATTTGAGCCTTTATTTTCATTGCTCGTGGGAATATTTAGTGGATAAAGACGACACTTATGTAACCTACATTGTACGTATGCTTTCATTTTTGGATGCAGCATGAATAGTGTTTTGAGTGTTTTCAAGGACAAACACTAAACACTTATTTAAAGTGTGCTTTTAACAGCTGAATTTGTCAAACGAAATGAAGCAAGTAGGCCCTTTCTGCTTTATTTAACCTCATTTCTATGTGTATCTTTAGCATTATTAACCACCTCTGATGCAGTATCTAAGTCTGTCTCCTCTGGGAGTGTACCTGAGGGAAAAAAAAACACTGGTCATTTTAGCTTTTTCAATAAGATGTTTGCCTGAGTGTGCCTCTATATATCTGCAATCCTGGAAACAGTGCAGAGGCAGTGAACCCTGGTACATTGTGTGATGGAGGAGTGCTACGTGCCCAACATTCACCTCGCAGAAAGCCGGCTGTTGTTTTTCCCTGTAATGTCCATTTTATTGGGAATCTCAGCGAGCCTTCACACTACCTGCTGTGCTCAGCAGTGTGGAGAAGCCGGGGCCAGTGGAGTGGTGGTCAGTGCCTGTCAATCACAATCACAAGGATCAGTTAGCAGCCATCAGTCTGAGGAGCCATACCCAGATGTTGCCTGTCTCCCAATCCTCATGTTCCACCTCCATAGGCTGCCCTTTTTCTATTACTTTTTCTCTGAGATTTTTACTTTTCACACCCTAAAGTTCACACCATTTTATTGTTTCATTACATCTTAATTTATCGCTTAAAAATGTATTCACTCTGCTGAAAAATGATGAGTTATTTTCAACCTCGAGGGAGGCTGTTTGTTGCTGTGTTTGTGTCTATAAAGGGGAGGGCTGACAATGGGGGAAGCAAGCAGTCAGAGGTGAAAGAAAAGGAACACCACAAGCAGCTGGAAAACAAACACAAAACATTGATTATATCATCTTTACAGACACCCCAAGCTCACCACGCTTTGATGTTTACCTGACACCGAAGTAAACAGCGCGTTGGACTGTACACTTCTACTCTGCATTTCATTTTGCCGCCTGTGCCCCCCGGTATACGTCCGTCTCTGACCTGTTCCCGCCCCTAATTTCCACCATCACATTCAGAGCAGACCCGCCAACGGTCAGCTTCATTACAGCCAATAACTTAAATCACCTCTCCTGTGTTTCCCGCCAGTTTGCAGCTCGGTCTCCTCTGAATCGCAGTCATTTAAATGTTCCTGTGCTGATTGCTGGGTGCAGGTGGTAATACATTAAGGGACTGAGACGGAGTGCTGAAAGACCTTTATCCATTTGCGCTAAGTTTCCCCTCACATTCGAAGGCATGTCGGTCTAATTAGGGCCAATGGTTTTGACTGCAGCCATATTCATATGGGACAGCTCACTTTAAGTTGTACAACAAGGTGATTCTACATCCTATATACTCTACCAGTGTATAGATTATGCTGCAGTCTGGGGAGTTTCGAGATGAAATTGTACATTAATGAAAGCGGAGAATGGCTGTGGAAGAGAAATACGACAGGGTTATTGCTCTTTTTCTCTCTGTTATAACTAAAAAGTCTCAGATCTCATGAGAGGTGAAGATTTATGAGGGTGTAAAATACTTCTGATGATGTCTCTTTGTTCTGTGGCAGCTAAAATGAAGATGTGTTTAAGTAGTTACATCAGGAAATCTATTTACATAACACCTAAAGAAACGGGTGTTTCACACCGTCTGTCAGATCAAAGGCTCCGGTTCAATTTTCTGAAAAGAACTTGTCTCTGTGTTTGAACCCCAGTGAGTTCCCAACGCTGTCTCTGTCTCTCAATGATGAGCTCCTCCAGCAGGTAAAAGCTTCAGAAAGCCCTCGGTCCATTTCCATTCTAGCTTCCAGCAGTGTGAGTGCTGTGACAGCCTCTTGGGGGCAAAGGGATTATTGAGATCAGGCCTCCCCCAGCTCTATGCCTCTGGCCCAGCCAGCACAGGCCGGCCCAGTCAGTTCCTCCTCGAGCCCCCCGGTGCCTTACAGAGCAGCCCACCAGGCGCACAGAGAGCAAAGAGGCACCAGGGACCCCTCTAATTGTCCATGCTTTGGGCGGCTCTCTGGCAAGCCAGCATGAAGAGGGCCCCCGGTCCCAAGGCTGTCCCACTGCTCCCCACTCAGCCCCTCACTCACAGATACTGAGGACGATATATATCTGCTTTGAGGCTCTGCGTATCTGAGGCTGTCCTATAGTACAGCTGGAAATGTGAATTTCTTTGAAAGGCTGCTTTCAACATGGTCAGTGCTTGTGTTATAGCAGGTCATAGTCTGAACTGCTCAAGTGATCCATATGATGAAGAGTTTAAACCTGTTCTGAACTTTTAGTCAGTCTTTCTTTCTCGACTCATGCAGTTTGGGTTGTTGGTTTTCTTTTAATCTGGGGATTTACGGGGCATTAGAAATACTGTTTCATTAAGGGCGAGTAAAGTCAGCACTAACAATAAATCTGTATTAGCCTTTTTACTTTGTTTGTCTCGTAGAGATAATTAGATATTTTCCCTTAGTTGTTCTGAAAGATAATGTGATGTGGGGGTCTTTTATTTCCAAAAAGATTTGATCATAATAAACATACAAGAGTATTTGTGTGAAGGACTGCTGTATACACACTCACCGGCCTCTTTTTTGCATTAAAAATATGTTACTACACAAATTAAAGTCAGCTAATTCATTTAAAACCCCGTTTGCAAAGTCAACACTAATCTGAACATTATTGTCCTTGGACAGGCATCATTTCCAGTTTGTGTTAGAATAAACATATTTAGGTAGGACTGTGAGCACTGACGCATTAATCCTAATGCAATTATATGTTCTTTTTTTCCAGTGACATACAATTTTGACCCTTTTGGCACCCCTTACTTAAGGGGCTGTAGGGTCTTTGTACACTTGCTTTTGATGTGGTGGAAAATGACGACACAGTATTGCAGTACATTGATGCCACGATTCAAAATAGTGGGATTGTAAACTTGATTAGAGATGTTATAAGTGAAAATGAACTGTTGAAATACAAGATTTGATTTTATTGCAGAAATATGACAACTGTATTTGTAGACATGTATTTGTTTCAAGTGATGGAGGACAGTTAAACTCAAGGTGTCCAGTAGAAACTGTGAAAAAAGACTGACTGCTCACTAATATCCTTATATACTAAGAGAAATATAACCAGAGTTTGATAAACTTATTTAGACGGGTAAATTCATCTGAGGGTTGAATTCTCTTTTCCTGCTCAAGTGTGGTAGAATCACTGAATTTCAGACTTGTACAGAAGAACTAAAAAACCCTCAAAGTAAGTCGGCAACAATATTTGCAGCCTTGGTTGAAGCTTTTCACTCAGAACTTTAAAACATTCAGGTTAAAAAAGTTTAGCTATTTTAATAATCTGTCTTATTACAAACGAGAGGGATGAGAAAACCTGAAAGCTTTCAATCTCAACTCAGATTGAATTTAGAGACAACAAATTGTCCAAACTGTGACTGGATCCAGGCGCATTGTGAAATGTCTTTGTGCTAAGAGAAGCCTTAACACAGACAGATATTTATCTACTTTTAATGTTAGATCTCCTGGAGGAGTTTTTGGAAGTATGTTTCAAAAGGAGCTGCTGTTATGTGAGAGTTTGAGGTTATTTGCAAGGCCTCGGCTGCTGGGAGCTGGATGAGGACTGACAAGGCCACCCACACAAAGGGAAGGGTGTTCCTCTTGTCTGGCAACGGGGGTGGGGGATGAACATGCACAACCAAATAAATAATAAGCACATAGATACCTTAATATTTGCTGCTTTTTACTCCTCTGCTCATGTAGTCTTTCCTGTCATCTCACTATATGCGGTGTCTCTTCTTCCTCACTGAAAAGCATCCATGCAACTGGGATCTCTGCTGCTGACCTCTGAGAGGTGTTCACAGCGCCGGTGCATGCATCAAAGAATTTGTTATGTGTTTTAATTACGTCTATATGTGGAGGAGAGGGTTTTTGCAGCAGTGCCCTGATGAGGCAGTAGTTAAAAGATGTTGAAAATCTGTTCCAGCTTGTGTGCTGCTTTCTCGCTGCATGACCAACCACATGGAACTAAAAGCAATTATGAGTCACAATAACATTTAGGTAAGCATGCCATTTCTGAGATTGACAAAACATCTCAATTATTGTGTATGTATTAGCAACTCATTAGCAACATACATTTACACAATATCCTCAGCCTTTTAATTTAAGCTGTTTTATTATTCAGCCACCCCTCCCCCACTCTCACATCTAATAATACTGTGACAGGAAATTATTTGTCTTATTCATAAATTCATCACACAGTAAAATCTCTGTCCGCAGTACTTTTGATATGTTATAAAAATGGTGTTTGAATGTGTCCTGCTGTATTTGACTCTGGCACACAGAAACAAGCCCAAATGTGCATATTGTGTAACCGCTGTAAAAGTTGTGTGCTCAGTAAATAGGTGGTTGGGCATGCTGGTCATGCCAGTAACAGCAAAGCAAAGGAGAGGCAGACAATAGCCCCTAACTGGACTGTGACAGGGTAATTACTGCGCGCACATAATAAAATTCTCTTTACATAGGTCACTCGGAAAGTGTAATTAAAAAAGAGTTATAGATTATTTTTATTGAAGCAATTAAACCAAAAAGCAAAAAGTAATTAAGTGTGGAGGTAATAATAGTGTTGGTCAACAGCATTTGTTTTTGAGAGTGGGGGTTTGTCAGGCTCGCCCCGTTAATGCAACACACATCCTTTAATTTACACTCCAGCGTTTATTATGTTAAACTGTTTTTTTTTTTTACTGTGTGACAATTATGTTTATAATGCCAGAAAACTGAGCAGGATTTAATGAAATCATTATCATGTGTGATAATTGTGAGTAAATGCTAGATTTGAATTATCATTTCCCTCTACGTGCTGAATTAATGAATCGTTACTATTCATACTACTGGTTTATAATTATGTTAAATTGGCCGTCTTATCAGCAGTCAAAGACTTGGGATTATCAGCGTCTTGACTGTGTGGACTGTGCCAAATTCCTTGTGGATATCCGCCTGTTCCCTGCACAAAGAGAAAAGGAGAGATAATATTGGGAGGTTAAACTCCACAATTTTCTCTTAAAAGATGTAAGGAGAGCTATTGCACAAATGCACTCCTGCTTTATGAGGGAAATCAGACAGACGGGTCCGTGGGGCATTAACATCCACTTGACTTTGAGTGCAGCCCGATTTTACAAGCCAACACATACATGACGCTTACACATCAACTGTGTTGATCTCTGCAATTGTGTCAGGTAACTGAATTCAGATGATATGTTAATGTGGAGGCGAAATATGTTGCCCTAGTTAGCATATGGGCCACTTGCATTTCAGACTCTTATTATCAGCCAGGCAGCACGTTTGTGAAAATCACAGTAATAATCTAATTCTCAGGTAGGGAAAAAAAAGCATCATTTAATCCAGTGGGGTCAAAGACAATTTAGTGAAAAGATATTAGGGTAAACGGATTTATTAGTAATTTCAAGACGTGAATGAGGATTTCTCTTTTGTGTCAATAAAAGACATAGATTGAATATTAAAGAAATAGTAAAGAACATTTATTAATAAAGAAAATAAACAAAAATAGAGGTTTGCAAAAGCTTTGTTCTGGTAAGTCTTCCTGCACATTTCTGTTCAAATAGAAAAGCAGGTTTTTACAGCTGAACGACACAGAAATCTATGATTTTCCACAGGTGTCTAATCACTACTAGATCCATTCCCCCTCCCCCCACCATTATTTCTCCTGTTGAAATCTGGGGTGTCACCTATTATGAGTAAGAAAAAGAAGTGATAATGACACTTCACATGTGTCCTTTGATGGCTCTATAAATACCCAGGTAACCATGAAAACATACAGAAAGAGCTTCACATTCAACAGCATTAAATACCACCCATGATTTTCAAAGTAAAGGCACATGAATGAACACATCAGACTGCAGGCGCAGCGGTTAGTTACCATTTGATGTTAAACTTTCCTTTTGTTGTGGCTCCTGTCATTGGGAATGCGAACAGCAGAGGGCAGCTTGAATGCATAAATACAAACTAGACAGGGTTGCATCTCTCAGTCATCAAAGGCACGCCACTCATTTATGTCTCCCACCCAGCTCAGCTCCTGTCTGACAGGCGGCTGGACCACAGAGAGCCGGGAACGGTGTGTGATCAGCATCAGTCTCTTTCACAGTAAAACTGAAGGGACATGGCAGTAGAGTGACAGGTAACTGACAAAACATCCAAAGTAGCGAGAAATGATTTGAAAAACCCGTGTCAACTTGTAAGTCACATAACAACCAACTAGTATTTAGTCCTGTGTCTTCTCCTGCAGGTTTAAAAGAGAGTTGCGGCAGCAGAAAAACCCCTCAAAGACAACACTCTGTGCTGTTTTTATTGTTAAACCTGTGTTCTGCTATTGTCTGCCCTCCCTCCTGAGCTCCATCTCTCTCTCTCTTTCTCTCTCTCTAACCCTCTCTTTCTCTCTCTCCGTGGCTCAAGATGAATCTACCAGCATGTGCCCGTGCTCTTCATCACTGTCAGGTGCCCCGTGGTGGTCCTCCTCCTCTTTCTCAAACTGGGCACCAACCGCTGGCTGGAATTATTCCTCACCTCCAAAAACTCTCCCCACTGTTTTCTAAATAAATGTGGCTGTAGTAACCGAGGAGTGTTGCTCATCCATCTTTGCCGCGCTGCTGTGCAGAGTGTGTGCTGTTTGCTGAACTAGACAGAGAGCCTAATAAGCCACACAGTCAGTGTAAAGACACACGGAGGATAATGTAACGTAATGTATTAGATTACAGTGATGCCTGCTCTTCCTCTGAGTCTTGGAGAAAACATTTGTCTTAAAAGCGTCTGAGACATGTCTTTTAAATGATTTAGCATTCATACCTGAACATCACATGAAATCATTGAATTACTTATAGAGTTAAATTAGATATGGTATCAGTATTGGTTTGGTATCAGTATCTGTATCCATGTTGATATTGTTATCAGTGTCCACTTTGGTTCTGACTCCAGTAAGGGACAAGTATGCAAGGCAAAGCACTGATTGGACACCATTATTTATTAACCTCCCCTGCTACACAGAAAAATAAACTATTTTAGCTAAACTGTTATGAGATGATAATAATAATAATAAAACAACAGTGGTTATGCTTGTCAAAGTCTGCAAATGTTAGAAACCAGTGAGTTTTTTTGAATTTTGTTTTCTGTATAATAAAATCAAATTGCAACATGTTAGTATCAGACTTAATTTCACTGTCAGTGACCCTATCAGCATCTAATTTATTGCTTTACCACCAAACACTTAGGAAATTAGTAGTTTCAGGTTAAAGCAGCCATGAGGAGCTTTTGGTTGGTGTTGATTTTGGCGCCCCCTGTGGAAACGGTTAGATTGGGTTGGATTAGATTAGGTAGACTTTATTGATCCTTTGGGGAAGGTTCCCTCAAGGACTTTAATATTCCATCAGCATCAGAAAAAAAAACTCCCAAAAAAAACCCCAGTATGATCAAAAAAAGTTAAAATTTAAAAATGCAATATCTATAAAGAATAAAGATTAAAAAAATTAGTACTTGCATATAAAATGTAAGATATAAACCGATGGACATCTGCACATGTTCCTCTTACTACAACTACAATTACTACTACTGCTCCTTGATGTCTTGAAACTCTAGTCCTGTACATGTGAAAGCAGCATTTTTAGACAAAAACCTCATCCTGCTGTCTTAAGAAGTGAAAAGTATCACTTATTTAGAGTATTTTTGTGGAAAAGGTAAAACAGGCTGTTTTTCTTTTCCCACCTGCCCCTCACAGCAGTTTTAGATATGACAAATTACAACAGAGTAATTATCAGCCTTTTACTTATGGTGTCTTTTGCTCTTGAAGGTCATTTTCAGTTTTAGTTTCAGTCAGTTCCTCAACCACTTCAAAACTTTTTGCAGTGCTTTTAACTACTGTTAGACAATTAGTGTATGAATACTGCCTCAGGTGTTATTTACAATAAATAATGAGTAAACAAGCCAGAGCGCTCACCATACACAGATGCATCATTCAGGTAAAAACATCATGGATTTGTCTAGACTCATGTGAAGGTGGTTTCACACCTGTAGTTGGTTTTGTTCTGGTCTGAATCATCATGAGTTTTTTTTTTTTTTTTTACATTGTCTCTAAATTGCCTCAAGCTTGGTCCACTTGTCTTGTACCACACGCTCTTCCTAGTCCCTTGCTGACCTGCAAACTCACTGCTCTGGCTAGAAACCACAACTATTGGACATACACTCTGAACAGCTCTATATCCTTTTGACCAACATTCACGACCAATAAAAACAAAAATGCTAACACCATGATCCAACAAATTAAACTGAAATATTTTGATTTATTCTTTAATATCTGGTTCATTATTTATAGGCCTACGATCATGTGCTGAGAGAGAGAACAACCTGTTACAAAAAACGGGAGAGGAGAGGAAGAGATGTCAGATCATTTACTAATATTTCGTGTTATGGAGTTGTCTGATCTTTTTACTGTATGTTTTGATTGTTTGCAAAATGCATTTGTCACACTGTCAGATATCTCAGTGTTCGTTTTCAATGCTGTGTGGATGTTTATTTCCATCTATAAAGTAAGCACAGTCAGCAGAGCCCTCCCTGGTTCTCCTGTGAGTTAGTGTCATGTTAACTTTTCTAAATCTCATCTACATACAGTAGGTTCGTCAGACACTGTGCTTTCTTTGTGCTGATTCACACACACCTATTATGCTCTGTTGAATCCTTAATCCCCCTTCGTCTGTTTGGACAGCAATCACTTCTTTTTGACCATCCTCCTTCTTATTCTTTTAACAAAGACGGGTTTTTCTGCTTCCATGAGAAGCCATACCTTACTGAAGTCCACCTCCTCCAGCCACCCCAGGGCTGAGGAGGCAAACCATACCTTTGTACTCTCACTCGTCACCAAACTGGACTTTGGAGATGAAACATGCCTGAGTACTGCAAAGATTGCCTCGTGTGAGTGCATTGTGAAATTAACATACCAATCTGACTTTTGCACACTCTTGTGTCTTCCAAAGTAACTTTATTTAAAAATCTATGTATAAAACAAATATTCATCGAACTAGAATCATGGAGGTTAATTGCTTATTGCTTGGCTGCATGTGTGTCAAATTGCCACATATATGCTGAAAGTTGCACTTGATCCAGTAGATTCTTCATTTCTTATAATCTGTTTATAATCTTCTTTATTTTAGTTTCCTCATTGTTTACTCCTGAACCGTTTTCACTAATGATTTGATTATACAACAGCAGCAGCACTTCTTGAGGAGGAGACTTAATCTAAACCGATGTGATAATGTTACCAAATTACATTGTGTACAAACAGCTGCACTAAGCTTAAACAGCAGCAGAAGATTGGATTTAACAGAAAAGATCCAAAAACAACCAGTTTGTCTTTAAGTGAGATGAGGGATGTATGTGTTTTGCGGGGGTGCGCGATTTCGGTCTCTGATATTTTAAATTCACCATAATTGAATAGATAGATTGACAGTTACCTGGGCTTAACACCTAGGAGTGATACCCAGGTGAACAGTGTGTTTGTGAGCGAGGACAGGATGTTCACAACTCATGCAATTATTCTCATTTAGACATCAACCTGATGAAGGAAGAAAAAGAATCACTTGTGCAGTTGCTCCTGAAGATCCCTCAGATATGGTTGTGATTTTGACACGTGTTTGACCAGCTTCAGTAGCTGGTAAAACACAAACGCGGAATGTCCCTCTTTATTTGGGTTAGATCAAGGTTGGTTCATGTCTTAAGTACAGATTTACAGCACCAGAGACCAGATAAAAGTGAACCGAGACCCACCTTTTTAAGCCGTCTTGGTACGGTTGTTTAGGCCACGCCAAAGTTCGACTGACAGCTTTCACACCAGTGCAAATGAACAGCATTGACTTGGCAAGCCGACTGGAGAGGTTAGGTGTGAGAGCCCCCTTAGGGACCTGAGTTTCTCCACCAGAAATATTCATAAAAATTCTTGTTGGGGATTTTAGAGTTTGTACCAGGAACTTCGTATCAACCAGTGTCTGAGTATCAGACTCAATATCATGACCAGTATTGATTCCTGAGTCTGTATCTGCAACACTGGTGTTAGTGTCAATATAGGTCTCAATATTGACTCAGATACTGCCTATAGGATTTGATGTACCATAAATGACAAGTATGCAAGCAGATGCATTAATTAGTTTGTTAACATCCACCCTGACACATACACGTTTGCACACAGACACACACAAAAAAAGATGTAGGTAAACTAACAGAGGATGATAATGAAAAAAAAAAAAATCACTAATTATGCAAGTCAAAGTTTGCAATATGTTGTGAGTAAACACAAATATAAATGCTTATATATATGCTTATATCTCTACATATCTGTGTATATGTATGAGTGTATTTTGAACTACGAATCAGACTTCAGGGTATTCATAGTATTGGATCATTAATGCTCTAACTTCTAGCTGCAGCATCTGTTGAGGGTAAAGATGCCTGCAGTCTTTGTGTCAGTGCGTCTACTACAGCTTGGATGTTGCGTGTCAATGGCAGCATGTTATTGATACATGAGACTCTATATAACGCTTCAGTCCTACACATCCTGCATCATCACGCTGCTGTTGAATAAGGTGTACAGTGTTCACCTTTAAGAGGACACATCCATTTGTTTTGCTTTGAGGTAATTAAGCTCTTTCACATGAGCGACATAGTCCTTTTATCCCCCGTTTTATGTAAATGTTAGTTTCCTTCAATCCTTTTGTTTCGTGTTTTCTCTCGCCTTTTGTGCACATTTTTTTAATGCAGAGAGAATACGCACAACCTTAGGTTCAATTGTTTTCTTTCCCACTCTAAGATGAAATTTCTTTAAGAGCGCAGAGGTTGTAAGTCACTAAAATAAGGAAAGCACCTGCAATACAACTTGATTAGCAGTTAAATCAAATGACCTGCAATAGCAGACCTCTGGTTGATCTCCTGTGGTACATATCAGCCAGGATTCTCTGCCTATTCACTCTGAATCTCATTCCTCAACACAAATATGCACTTAGTAAGTTCCCCAAGTTCAATTTGAAATGGTTTTTGTAATTAACAAGTAAGCCAAGCTTTAAAATGTCACATTTATTGTATTTTCATATCTCTGAAATTCAGCACTGAAACAGAATGATGTGTGTTTTATAGCAGTTATGATAAGAGGCTTACACAGTCAAAATCTCAATATAGATCATTCGACAAACGTCTTTGGTGGCCGCTCGTTAAATTGGTTTCACCCGCATATTTTGGCCTTATTTAAAAGATATCTTTGAATAATGGTAAGCAGTTTAGCTCGTCTGAAAAGAGGAGCCCGATGCAAATGAACTCCATTTCACTCTGTTTTGTTTAATCTATAACATTGTAGGTTTTCTGCAGTCCTTTCTCCCAGAGTTTATAGCTTCTATACTCCAGCGTAGATTAATGCAGCTTAGGCATACCTATCTGAAATTTAAGTCAGTCTAATACTCTTCATTGCATATCAAGGACACAAGAACATATTATCTGATCATTCCTTGCATTCATTACATTAATGAATCAAATATGAATAAGTGGCTCTCTTTAAAAAAAAAAAGTACATTACCATAAACATTAATATTAATGTCATTATGTGGGGATGCTAAGCTTAAATATCTGATAGTATGAGGCTGCGAGTGTTTGCTGGAAGAGAAAGAACACAATAGAAAAAAAAACTGCATTTCTTTTGAATATGCAATTTCTCAAACAACATGTAGAAAAATTAAGACAAAGGAATCATTTACAGTCATCATAATGCTGACAAGCCACAAAGCTGCATGCAGGCAGGAGAGATTGTAAAAGGCTTTTTCTGTATTTTGCTTCTGTCAGAGACATCTGTTTGGAATAACAATGTACATCTCACTGGATTTAGCTGGATGCATTTCACCCTGAACAAGAGATGCAGAATAAGTCTACAAACAAAAAACAAAACAACGTCAGGAGCTTCTTTTAAGAATAAAATCTACATGCAATCATCAAACTTCACACTGTAATAGCAAAGGAAAATCAGAGACCAGCTTATCATAAAGAAAACAACACGTTATGGCACACATCTCAACAAAGTGCCCTAAATATCCTGAAAAGCTGTTCCATGGTCA